GAGCCGAGTTGGTGACTATTTTACGGTTTCCAATTTTTCCCAGAAGCTCAACACTCAAATCCCCACATCTCATCGTCAATCTCATCGTCATCTACATTTTCCGACCCCCACATCGATAGGTTCTGATAAGCGGTTCTCGAGATTTCGAGCAATTTAGGCGACGCTCAGGGTGCACTACTATTAGAGAAAATACGGTACGTTGTTTAGATATTCCCGCGCCTTTTTCTTGCCTCCCTTTCCTTTGCAAGCTTTTTCGATGTAGAGTAGATTGTCAATAGCTGATGGAAGATTCGATCTGATCTCTGAATCTCTGGATATCAGTGTTTCAATGTGATAGAATGTTTTGTAAAGATTTTCAATGGAAAAGTGTCAGCAAAGTAAGTGAGAAAGCTGTAAAACTGTAAAATGAGAAGCTTTGTGAAGTTTTTGTTAAATTGTTAGGCTTTGATCAGGCAATTCTTTAAAAATATAGCCTTTTAGTGGTTCAAAATGCAATTTTATCCTTAACTCTTGCACAACTCGTTACCTTTTTCTATTTCACACTATTAAAATACGCTGAATCCATTTTTCTTCTATTATCATTTTTATATCCTTTTTATCTACCTACTATCCTCCCAAAATTTTCATTTTTTTACTGCTTCTTCACTTACAAACAATAGGAATAAGCTCAAAAAGAAGAAGAAGACATACTTTCCTTCTTCCATCCATTTTCCAATCAGCCCACTTCGAATCTCAATCATCAAACTGGATTCCTCACTCGAATCTCTTTCTCTTCCATATTTTATTCCCGCCGATCATCCCGAGGCAAGCGATCTATGGAATCACTATGGATTGCCACCATCGAATCAATATGGGTATGAAAAGAGCACAGATCAATTTATACTTTCATTTTTTGAGGACATCGTAGAACATTCTGTTCCCTCTCTCTACAGTAGGCCATAAAATACACCAATCATTTTCACGTTTCATCAACCCACTTCGAATCATAATCACTTTTGAAACTAGCAATAAATTTGAAGAAATTCATTTATTTTCTATCATTTTTGAAGTGAGTTAAAGACTCATCGTCAGTCTCATCTAGCAACAACTTTCCTCTATATCCAATGGACCCACCAGTAGCCAAAACGATCAAGCGTTAAAACAAAAAAAAATGACTTTACCGCGATGTGTTGAGAATAAAGTTTTACCATTCTAATCCACTTTTTTTTTCCACTTACTATTCTAGTTCAGGGCGACTTTTTTTTCGAAAATTCCCCTTTTTCTGGCCTAACTTTTTATGTTGATCACGAGTTTCACGTTTTAAACCCAGATTTACTGATGAAATCTCGACTTTAGGAACTTTAAAAATAAGACAAAGATTTTGTGGCCCTAAAGAAGGCCGTTGCGTTGTGCAAATTGATTAAGTCCCGCCCATCAACATCAAGATAAAAGTTTGAGTAACGGCGTCAATCGCCCGAAAGTAATAACCTCAACCCAACGACCCATAAAATTTAAGGCCATAAAATGAAAAATACCAAAAAAAAGTGTGAAGTATTTGCACTTAAATATAAAAAAACAAAAACGCTTATTTTGAGTTATTTAAAGTGCCTAAATTCGAGATTTCATCACTAAATCTGGGGGTGGGACAAATGCGACCTTTTTTTGCGCACCTGGACATTTGCGCACCTTTTTTTTGCTGGAAAAGGCCTTAGGCAAGACCGTAGAGCTTCGAAAATATTTCCATATAAAGGGAATCGTATGCGTAGATTCCGAATTTCGACAAATCAGACCTCGCTGACACGTCAAATTTGGGCTAAAAGGCAAAAACTACGCAACTTAACGCTTTTCCGCAGTTTTTGCCTTTTAGCCCAAATTTGATGTGTCAGCGAGGTCTGATTTGTGGAAATTCGGAATCTACGCATACGATTCCCTTCTATGGAAATATTTCCGAAGCTCTACGGTCTTGCCTAAGCCCTTTTCCAGCAAAAAAAAAGGTGCGCAAATGTCCAGGTGCGCAAAAAAAGGTCGCATTTATCCCACCCCCCTAAATCTAGGTTTAGAACGTGAAATTCGTGATCAACATAAAACTAGAATAGTAAAACTTTATTCTCAACACATCGCGGTAAAGTCATTTTTTTGTTTTCATAATTAAATCTAAACGTGAAACTCGTGATCAGTATAAAAGTGAAATTTTCGAAAAAAAAAGTGACTTCCTCAACTAGAATAGTATCAAGTTTTCTCTCGATTTATCGATAATTTATTTTGATTCGATTTTGCTTTTCAATCGTTCCAAAGATCATCGAAATTTACGTATTAGATTCTTAAGAAATCTCTCTTTTCCAATTTTCTCATTGGATTGGAAAAGAGAGATTTCTTAAGAATCTAATACGTAAATTTCGATGATCTTTGGAACGATTGAAAAGCAAAATCGAATCAAAATAAATTATCGATAAATCGAGAGAAAACTTGATACTATTCTAGTTGAGGAAGTCACAATGAGAAGATTGGAAAAGAGAGATTTCTTGGGAATCTAATACGATTTAAAATTTACATCCTTATTTTGCTGTATTCTTGCTGGATTCTTGCTGTATTCTTGCTGGATTCTTGCTGGATTCTTGCTGGATTCACCATTTTTCACATGAAGATTTACTTAGCTTAGATCTCCTTTTTCGGAAACTTGAAACTCCATCGAAATCCTACAGTTTTCAAGGGTTTCTTGTGCTGAACTTAGAAAATTTTCCCATTTTTTCCGAAGTTGAGTTTGTAGGGCTCATCGTTTTGTCATCAGGGAGAAGAAATTTCTAGGATCTTTGATGAGATTAGCTTTTCTTTCTTTCCTTTTCTAATAATTGACTAATCTTCTACCGTATAAATGGATCTATTGAGAGAAATGAGAATTTCTAATTGATTTTCGTATTGTTCTCGAAAATCTCTTTAGATGAGGGTTAATTTTGAGCTCGGATGAGCATTTAAAAAAGAATTATTCGATTGAAAAGTTGTCAAAAGATATGAAAGACAAAAAGAAAAAGAAATGAAAAATAATCGGGAAACTAGAAAAAGTTTTTTTGTTTTGTAAGTAGTACAGAAATTGAATATCGATGAATCACTCGGGAATTGAAAAATAAGTTCTATTATAGAAGAGAAAAAGATATAAACCTTATCTTTAAATAATTCTTATTTTGTAATTGGGTTTTTTTTCTATTTTTGAGTAGTTTCTATTTTTCTATAACAATTCAAAGCACATTTATACCCTGCTCTAACAATGACAGGAATTGATCAAACAATGACAGGAATTGCTCTAACAATGACAGGAATTGCTCTAACAATGACAGAAATTGCTCTAACAATGACAGGAATTGCTCTAACAATGACAAAACCATCTTCTTCATCCTTATTCTAAAATTAAAAATTGCAAATAGATTGGTTATGATTAAAAAATCATTCATTATATAAAAAGCTCTTTTTTTTAAAGAGAGAATGATCATTAAACGTAATAGAACATACAAATCTCACAACATCCAGCTAATCTCTACTTTAAGCACTATAAATAGTACTGTGTTTAGTCAAAAGTTGTTGTTTTATGAGCCTTTTCATCAGCTCTCTTATAGAAAATAGATTTTACTTAAACATTGATAAAAATGTGAAAAGAGATCTGTCAAAAGATTTGTTATTTCCACAAATCTCTGATATTGGGTTGGTGGAAAAGTCCTTTCGGATTTTTTTTTGGGAAAGTACCTTAAATTTGTCCAATTTTGACGTTTTATAGCTCATTCTAAAGCTGAATTCAAGACGGATCGATTGGTAAAAACCGTTTTGAGATATCTCTTTTCTAAAAGTTTTTACAGCTATTTTAGTAAAGGGCGGCAGAGCCAAAAGCCAATAGATTTCCGAATATCTGACGTCAAGCACTTTTCGACAAACAAATCATCATAATTATAGTCAGTGATTTCGAAAAATCTATCAGTGGAAATCTATCAGAGATTTGTGGAAATAACAAATCTTTTGACACATCTCTTTTCACATTTTTATGAATATCTGGCGTCAAGCATTTTTCGACAAAGATTAAAAAAAACATCGAAAATTACGTGGTCATTTCTTGTTTTTCTTTGATAGTTTAATGTGAAATAGTTTAATCGAAATCACTGACTATAAGCCGAAAATGGGAAAAGAAAAGAAAAAAAAAGTAAATCTGCCATTGTTTTATGAAGAGAAAAGAAAAAGAAAGAAAAAAAACATATCATTTCACTCAACAAACAATGAACTTTCACCAAGGATTTAGAAGAAAAAAGAAAAGGAAAATCAAATCCATTTCAGTTCAAAGATCAAAACTTTTTGGGGGTTTTTGGTTTTTGGTTTATTGACCTGCTCATCATCCCAAAAGATCACTTCTATACTCATAAAATCCAAAAATTGAGAAGGAAATTTGTTTCAGAACCATAAAACGTAGATAGACTATGGTAAAAGCTAGACAAAGTTACCGTAATCCTGTTGTCTATTACGATCTTGTTGTCTATCTATCACGAACATTATAAACTATCTAATTGCACTTCTCTAATCTCCAATTTAAGCCAAGCTCATCCTTGATTTAAACTTTAAAGTCGGTAGCTGGTGTACGGTAGTTTTTACACTTTTTAGAATACATTTTGATTGAATGAAGAAGTTTACAGTAAAAGCAAATGGTAGAGTTTCTAGTAGAGTTTCCTCTAGTAGGCCTCTAGTAGAGTTTCCTCTAGTAGGCCTCTAGTAGAGTTTCCTCTAGTAGGCCTCTAGTAGAGTTTCCTCTAGTAGGCCTCTAGTAGAGTTTCCTCTAGTAGGCCTCTAGTAGAGTTTCCTCTAGTAGGCCTCTAGTAGAGTTTCCTCTAGTAGGCCTCTAGTAGAGTTTCTCAAAACTTCTACATTAGATACTATTATCATTTTCCATCTAGAGTATATAAAAAAACAATACAGTAACAAAATCTCTTAAGTCTTTTTATCATTTCAGTATCATCGACTCGGGAATCGATGTAGAGAATTGCACAAAGATGTTGAACGGATTGTATGAATGTGAAAAAGGCGATGAACTGTTCTATGTGAGGAACGTCTATCCACCAATACAAGTAAGTCTTGGAAAGGATTTATCAATGGTATCGTTACTGTTTCAGAGTTAACCAACCAGACTTTTAACCAGACTTTTAACCAGACTTTTAACCAGACTTTTAACCAGACTATTTTGTCCCTACAATTTCCTCTACAATTTCCTCTACAATTTCTAGTGAAATCTAGTAAAGTAAAGTACTCTCTTCGATTTGTAAAGAAATTCTCTCTCTTAATCCATAGGAGACAATTGTATCTTCATCAAACAAAAGAACTATTCAGGAGAAGGTATTTCAAATAAAGATTTGTGGATTTCGATGAAGGGAAGAAATAAGAAATTCAAAGAATCGAAAGTGATACCAAGAAAAGATGGCACCGTTTTTGGAAGAAAAACAAAAACACGAAAGAAATAATGATAAATGATAGATAGGTTATAGATGAGAAAAAAAAATGGATTCTTTAAAAACGTCAGGCCTGACTATAGAGCTTTGTTAAAACATTCCTGACTAAGCATGTAGATAAAAGTATACCTAAAAGCTCAGGCTTCCCAGCTCAAGCTAAGACACATGCATATCTCAACTGCTATTGAACTTCAAGTATAGTGTTACAGTTGTAAGTAGAGTCGAATTGACGTTCATTTGCAGGAGATGCAACCCCGAGTGTTAGCTGTGGTGATCGTCTTTGTTTTGTGCTTCATTGTTGGCATTTGTGGAAATGCTTCTGTGTTGACATTGTTGCGAAGTGTTTATGATCGACGAATGAAACATTATGGAGCAAGACAGGTGGGGCAAACGTTGGCAAACATTGGCAAACGTCGGCAAACGTTTGCAAACGTTAGCAAACATTGGCAAACGTTTTGTTAATGGCATAGCTGATGATTTCTTTTTTTATTCAAGTTTTAGATATTGAAATCAGTTTGATAGAATCGATTTCAGGGAGATAACGCAATGCTGTACATTGGCGCATTGGCGATTTGCGACTTTTTGATGTCTCTCTCTTTACCGCCGGCTATTTTGGTGGGGTATACGGTGTATAGAACAAATCTTTTTCACTAATCCCATAAAAGGTCTTGTTTTGCAATAAGATGAGCAAATTCGGACGTCAGATTGAATTTAAGATTAAGACTTTTTCATGAATGAATGAATTTGGTCGAAATGAGCAAGATTTGCAGAAAAGTTGAACATTTGAGAATTTTGGAGAGTTTACGTGTTATTTGAAAGTTATTCAATTAAAGTTGAACAATACAGTATGCCGTTAACGAAAGCTGAATATCTTTTGCTTTACTATAATGAAATGAGGAAAAAGTCTAGAAAACGGGGGTGGGACATTTGCGCACCTTTTTTTTGCTGGAAAAGGCCTTAGGCAAGGCCGTAGAGCTTCAAAAATATTTCCGTAGAAGGGAATCGTATGCGTAGATTCCGAATTTCGACAAATCAGACCTCGCTGACACGTCAAATTTGGGCTAAAAGGCAAAAACTACGCAACTTAACGCTTTTCCGCAGTTTTTGCCTTTTAGCCCAAATTTGATGTGTCAGCGAGCTCTGATTTGTGGAAATTCGGAATCTACGCATACGATTCCTTTATGTGGAAATATTCTCGAAGCTCTACGGTCTTGCCTAAGCCCTTTTCCAGCAAAAAAAAAGGTGCGCAAATGTCCAGGTGCGCAAAAAAAGGTCGCCTTTGTCCCACCCCCCTAGAAAACAATAACTCTAGGGTTTAACATATTCAAAATGATGGCAAGTTCACAAAAACTAACTAAACTATGAATTTTCCATTTCATTTCAGGATAGCATTATCGGTTTTTGGGTGTTCGACACGCCAACATGCAAATTGCATCACGTTTTCGGCTCAGTTGGACGAATCATGTCTACTTTTCTCATCACAGCTATGTCCTTTGATAGGTGGGGAAACAAACAGAAATTTGAATCTATAAATGTTATTTAGATTTGTGGCCGTCTGTTATCCACATCGTCAATCATTGAGATCACGGAAATTTGTTCTCTGCACAATTACAAGTAAAAGTTTAAAAGAAATATCCTCGTTCAAGGCTATGGCCAGGAATGATCCAATTTCTAGGGCAAACCAAACCAATGCCGACTAGAGTGTGTTCCTTTCAAATAAGATATTCATACAGACATCAGACAGAAATAATAAATACACTATCAGTAAAAAAAATATCATAGGTTTTGCATATTATTCAACAATAAAAAATGACAAAAAAATCTCGAGAAGACTTTATATCCGCTAAAAAAGCTATTCTGTTGCTTGACTGAATATCTTATTTGGGGAAGGTTTATATATGTCGTAGCCGATTATGAATGAACTTTTTTGGTAAATCTTTCTAGTAGAGCAACCCTTTAATGTATGGGGCCAATATTATATCATCCTGTAGCGAATTAAATTCTGCGTCGATTGGTACCAAATTTGTGAGTTTAGGTTAAAAATTACCGGCGCTACAACGTTTCATTCAAAATCGGCGGGACCCCCGTAGCCGATTATGAATTTCAGCCGATTATGAATGAGTGGGTCTAGGAGCGTCCAACCATCAAGTATTTGGTATCATTCAAAGCAGAATCATTAATAATTATGCTAAATTTTTAAAATTAGAAAGATTTGATAAAAAGAAAAAAAAATTAGAGCAAAAAAACTGTTTGTTCAAGAGGAAACTTTGAGGCCCCATAATTTTTTTCTTTTTATCCAATCTTTCTAATTTAAAAAATTTAACATAATTATTAATGATTCTGCGTTGAATGATACTAAATACTTGATGGGTGGACGCGTCCGGACCCGCTCATTCATAATCGGCTGAAATTCATAATCGGCTGAAATTCATAATCGGCTGAAATTCATAATCGGCTGAAATTCATAATCGGCTGAAATTCATAATCGGCTGAAATTCATAATCGGCTGAAATTCATAATCGGCTGAAATTCATAATCGGCTGAAATTCATAATCGGCTGAAATTCATAATCGGCTGAAATTCATAATCGGCTGAAATTCATAATCGGCTGAAATTCATAATCGGCTGAAATTCATAATCGGCTGAAATTCATAATCGGCTACGACATATAAAATGGAAACTGAATAGCTCGCAATTCGCATCAAAATTTTAGAGCACTTTTTAGAACACCTTATTTGACGCATGCTTTAAATAAAAAATTATTTGAGTAAATTTATTCAAATATTTATTTATTTGAGAGAAACATCCTCTAATCCCGACGATAGGCCATGGCTTTTCCGTTTATATCTGTACTTTGTTAGAAAAGAACAAATGCAAATTGTTTAGTGTTAATGTGGATGGCTTTACTTCTTCTTTCCCCGATGCTTGCCTATGCTTCAGCTAAAGAGATCGTGCTACATGAGATAAAGGTTCATAGTTTACATGAAAAAAAAAACTGATTATTGCTGTTGCAACCCTTGAATCTTTTCAGGCTATCAGCTCAGAGAATATCACTCGTTTTCGTGTCTTTAAATGTTCCGATATGATGCCACCCGGCGTTTTCTACTATTTCACGACGACGTTAGTTTTCAAGATTGATTTGTATTCAGAAATTTTTGCAAACAGGACTTTTGTGATCGGTTTTATTATGCCTCTCGTCTTGATCGCTTACTTCAATCTTTTGCTCATTCAGCGATTGTATGCGCACAAGAGGTATTGTAGTGAACTATTATTAGAATCTATGAGAATACTGTATTATTTGAAACTATGGCTAATCTTATTATCTTTAGTAAGACAAGAAATTCCGACCTCGTAGCGTCTTTTTAATAGTGAAAATTTCAGAATCTTGCCCCGCTCAACGATTCCCCTTCGGAGAGTTGTCTGGTACACGATAGGTAATCGATTTCAAATCAAATCGAAAACTTTATTCTTTAGGTATCGCGGCTATGTATTTCATCTGTTGGACGCCGTATTGGTCTGAAAATTTTCCCCAAACTCTTTAGCAACAACTCTGTTTAGGTGTTCAGTATTATATGCGATCTACATGAGTCTTTTCTCGGATGGCGATACTCAATCTGGGGATTTTATGCTCTTTGTCATCTATTGTGTTCACTTATTGCCGTATTTGGGCTCGTCGAGTAACTGGATTCTATATGGAATGCTTAACACGCAATTACAGGTATCAAAAATGAAATGAAATGGGAGAAATGGAAAGAGAAATGATTTTAGTTGAAAACGGAGAGCAATCTCGATGATTGTCATTCAATTGTCACCGTTGTTAACAATACAAATAATACACACGCGCAGACATTGGAAGTGAAAAATAGGTAAGTGTAAAAGAAGAATTGAAAATCGAGAAAGTTAATGCATAATAGAACCGAAAAACTTGAGACAAAGCTACCGTAATCCGACGGATTATGATTACGGAATCCGACGGATTACGATTACGGTTCCGACGGATCCGACGGATTACGGTAGCTTTCCAAAAGGGCTACAGTCTCTCTATGGTTTTCTATTTTGCGCAAAACTCATCAGTAATCAAATCAAATTATGTCGAATTACCTGTACTTTTTCAAAAACAGTAGAACTTCAACAATCGATCAGTCGGCTGCGGTGAATCGCTCGGTGAGCACCGAATGGATTGTGCTTGGAAAGAGTGAGTGAAAAGGGAAAATAAGGAAATATTTAACTCAGATATGGAAAAGAATGAATGTGTTTAGATTGCAACTACCGTAATGGTGGATCACCATCAAATCACGCGTGCACTTCACGTAGTTGTGAAGGTGAGACAACACTCCGGTTGATCGCTGAAACTGATCAAACATTGCTCTGAATTATTCGTCTCAACGTTAAACCGATCTCTTTTCTTCTTCTTCTTTGTTTTAAAACGGGTTCTTATTGTGGAATTTTCTCTTGGAAATAAATATTTTTGATTTTTCTGAAATTGAGATGTGAAAAACAGAACAGCAACTCAAAAAAAGATGTAAATGGAGATATTTTTGTTCTAACCTACCGTAAATACTGTAATAGTACCCCACCCCCATAATGACGGTGCGGACTGTTGCGTAGTCTAGCTTTGAGCGAGTTTTTCTTGACACTGTTTTATGCTACAATGCGCGCTTAGGTGTCAAAAAATAGCCCTGAATTTCTTTGAATATTTTTTGATACCAAAGACGCATTTTTTGAAAGTAGGGGCGCTTTGAAAAAAAATGAAATACTAAAAAACTTTTGCGACTACGTGACTGTACGACGGGGGACTCTGTACTAATACAGTATTTACAGTATGTACCACGTTGCAACAAGTTGTAACTAAACATGTTGTAAAGGCTAAATAGTTGTTCAGGTCAAGTTTTAAGGCAAACACGTGAATACAGAGAGAAAAAGACCTTGAAAACCATTACCGTAACAACACTGTTTGATTTTAATTTCAAAACTTGCATATTTGTCTAAAAACGCTGAGAGTGGGACAAATGCGACCTTTTTTTTGCGCACCCGGACATTTGCGCACCTTTTTTTCCGCACCTTGCCCATTAGCACACCTTTTTTCGCGTTTTAAAAAAGCTCTAAAAAGCTAATATTAACCAATTTCTATTCCAAAAGTTGTTTTTCTAGGTAAGTTTAGGGCGTAGAATCGAAATTTTGACATAACAGAGCGTGTGGAACCAATTTGAAAGACAAAACGGCTAGATCAAATTACAGAAAATTGTCGATTTTTCTCTTTGTATAACTCCGTCCGTTTGTTTCCACAAGCTCTGATATGTCAAAATTTCGATTCTACGCCCTAAAATTACCTAGAAAAACAACTTTTGGAATAGAAATTGATTAATATTAGCTTTTTAAAGCTTTTTTAAAACGCGAAAAAAGGTGCGCTAATGGGCAAGGTGCGCAAATGTCCGGGTGCGCAAAAAAAAGGTCGCATTTGTCCCACTCCCAAAACGCTTTTTGGTTTGCGATTGTGGCAGGCGCTTAATATTTGAATTAAAGTATTCAAGATATTCAATCAGTGAACTGAATTTGGAAATATTTATAGTATAAAAATAAAGAATTCTGTTTTTGCATTTACTTGCCTAACTACAAATATCTCTTTGCACACCTTTGGCAAACATATTTTCAAAAAGTGAATTGAAAATGTTTTTATGCTTTTAAAACGTATCATTGGCTCTTCTTAATACCTCAATTCTAGGGAAGTTCTCACAAATCTATAGTCGTTCTTTGAAGGAGCAAACTATGCACTACACCAATTATCGCCTTTTCGCTTAGTTTCTCTCTCGGATCACGTCGCTTATCAATTGGACGGGAAAAAATATCCACAAATGGTTGGCTCTAACTTATTGCGATTGACCGAGCGGATAGCATTGTCAAATTTAAGGTTGTTTTTGATCGTTTCTTTTATACAAATTGCATATTTTAGAATGGCTTCTGGGGTGGCAAATTATGCGCACGCAAAGACAGGAAACTTCACCCAAACCGAGCCAGTTCTACACAACCCTTTCCAAGATGACCCGTTAATGGATCGTGTCTTGAGGCGTTTGCTACCACAAAAAGAATACGAAAGGGTAATTTTTGACGCTTCTTTCAATAGAAACTCGACTTTTTAGGTTGCTGCTGATTTGAATCGCTTTGGTGATCGTGTTGTTGCGGAGATCGACAAAAAGGGACAACAATGTGAAGTGGGATTTCTTAGCAGAACCATAATAAAATAGTTTAGATTGATAAACCAAGGCTTGAACAACACAATGCATGGGGTAAACGTGTCGACAGTCTCTGGGTTTGTCCGGAATGGCGAGAACTGAAACAAATGTGTGCCGAAGAAGGGATAATTGGTAGCCTTTGCTTTGGTTATGTATTTCCTTTGAATTTAGAATTGGGCTATGATGAGAAAGTCGATCCAGTGACGCGACGTTTACATCAAGTTGCAAAGCTCTTCCTCTTTTCGCCGTCGGCAGGACTTGTGACTTGTAATTATTTTTATCTTTTTACACAATTATAAACTTAGGTCCAATGGCTATGACGGACGGAGCTGCTAAAACCATTGAGGTTCAAAGATTTACTTGATTTTTTATGTTGTGTTAAGGCTCTTGGGTTACGAGGCAAAAATCAACGAGCGACGGAAGCTTATAATCGACTAATTTCACGAGATCCTTCAAAAGCTTGGACGAGGTAGCGAATTCAACTTGCCTTATTTAGTAAACAAACGATTATAACAGTTCAACAAACTTTAGTGGTCAATGGATGACAGAGAAACGAGGTGGTTCGGATGTTGGAGGTGGATGCGATACCTACGCTGTTCACGTAAAAGACGACGAAGTAAAATTTTAAGATCAAATTTTCTACTAAAACTTTTAGTATCGTTTGCACGGCTACAAATGGTTTAGTTCAGCAATTGACGCTGATGTTGCTTTAACTTTGGCGCGGGTTGTAGATGACAAAGGGGACGCAGAAAAGGTTAGTTTTTGGTGGATTAAAATTTTAATTGAAAAGTTTAGGGTTCAAAAGGCCTTTCATTGTTCTTGTTGCGAATCAAGAAGGAAGACTCTAATGAACTTAACGGAATACAAATGGTCAAGTTGAAGAACAAACTAGGTAAGTAAGATTAAAAGGAAACATCGTTGCAACATCGTTTTTTCGGCACTCGTCAACTTCCAACTGCCGAATTACTACTCGATGGCGTGGTGGCTCATAGAATTGGAGATTTGGGACGGTAAGAAAAGGAAATTTTTGCTTACAGCGTGAAAATATTAAGAGGGATTCCTGGTATTGCCAACATGCTAAATATTACTCGAATCCACAATGCCGTTGCAAGTGTTGCTGCAATGCGAAGGTATTTTTGTTTTAAAAGTAAGAACTAGTAAGAACAAATAAATTTCCAGGGTGATTTCTCTTGCGCGTGACTATTCTACAAGGCGAAATGTTTTTGGACAAGCTCAAGAAAAGTGGCCGCTCCATACGGCAACGTTGGCAAAAATGGAGGTAAATGTTCTATATTGAATGGTGATTACAGTTTTTAGGTAGAAACGCGTGGCTGTTTCTTGATGATACTCGAAGCGGCAAAACTTCTTGGGATCCAAGTAACGAAATTCTACGACCAATTATTAATTTCTCTTCTAGGAGAGTGGCCAGGCAACACTCAACGACCAGATCATGTTACGCTTAATTACACCTGTTTTGAAACTTTACGCTGGAAAGCAGGTTTGACAACTCCTTCCAAACTTTACGTGTTTTCTATTTAGTGTGTTCCACTTGTAAGTGAAGGTATTGAGTGTTTCGGTGGACAAGGGTACATCGAAGATACTGGCCTTCCAACCATTTTGAGAGATGCGCAGGTAAAAGTATTTAAATTTTCGAACTATCTAATTTAGGTGACTCCAATTTGGGAGGGTACAACAAATGTACTTTCGCTAGACGTACTTCGTGTGTTTTCGGGTAAAGAAAATGTGCTCCAAGCTTTCAACCAGTATATCAATGCTGCTCTCCCAACTAACGGTATCTTGATTTTTGAGATAGGTTCATTAACTGTTTTTTAGATGATGAAAAATTGAAAGAATGTGTCCTTGCGATAAAAAAGGCCCTAAAATCGTTTTCTTCTTTGCTTGCAAAAATACACGAATCCGCGCTCGACAATATCCGTATTGATGTCGGCGCCAGACATATCGCCTTTGCGATTGCAAAAATTCTATCAGGTTTGTGTCTTTGCCAAAATTAACTAGATTCATTTAGGTGCTCTTTTAATTCAACATGCGGCCCATCCAACGAGTAACAGCGTCGACTATGAAATTGCAAAAAGGTATGCGCCACTTTATTTAACAATGACAATTTATGTTAGATGGTGCCTGGAACAAAAGCTCGTTGATGTGGAATTTGATTGGTTTACACATAATCGAATAGAAAAAGATCGAGGCATTGTATTTGAAAATTATGCTAATCGGAGTCGAGATAGTAAACTTTAAGTAGACTTTCAACTCATGTGTGTTTCTTTGATGTGATTTTTATGTATATTTTGTTTATATTATGTACTTAGTCATGGATTTAATAGAATATTTCAAGATTGTGAAGGGCAGGCAACGTATCCCGCTTTTTCGAGATTTAATCAAAGTGAATGCCACGGTTAATTCAAGGTTCTTTAATTTTAGAAATTCCAGTCACCTCCAGTAAGTTTGTGTATAACTCTTTTCCAATAAGAACTCCCAGAATTTGGAATCGACTCCCCAAAGTTTTGAGAGAATCCAATAGTCTCGAAACCTGTAAATTATCTGTAGTTGATCTTGATCTTGAAGCTCTAGTGGATTCTTGACGTTATCTGTGCTACCCATATATTACCCATACATACATACATTATCGTGTTGCTTTTTATCGGTCCTTTTCGTGTTTGTGTGCATTAATTTTAAATCTTGCGCACTTTATTTCATGTCCTGAATAAAGTATCTATATATGTACACTAAATGATCGAATAAATCATTTTCCGAAGGTCTGTTTGAAAATTTATACTTTTGGTGGCATACGTTATTGAAATCACGAATACAATCGTTTGGTGAATGAGGAATTTTAATGAAATCGAACAACTTGGTTATCACAAGGCAACAAATCGACAGGCACTTAAATACACGGGTAAATTGATAATATTCTGGAGCACTTTTAGAGCACAAATTTTGAAAGTACTTGATGATCTAAATATGAAGCTCATCAATCACAAGTGAGCAATCATCCGGGATAGAAGGTTGGCTGAAATGATTTTTGTGACTACAGATAGGTTGTGTGCATCCAATTATGTGTATGTACCTTTAAGACCTACCGCACTAATTTGACCAGCGTCATTTCCTTCTTGATCACTTTCGCCGCTGCTATCACTGGCGTGATCTTCCAATTGATCGGATTGTCCAACATTGGGATTATCTCTATCCTGACCGCTTACCAGTTTGTTGAAGCACTGAAATTGGAGATTGATAATAGCATTAGACTGTGAATGAGCTTTAAGCTTACCGGATCACACACTCGAACCGGTCTTTTTCCGATTTTTTCGATCTTGTAGGAATGTGATGAGCAAGCTCCACAAACCACAGCTCCGCACTTTCGGCAATGATGCTGTAAACGGTTTAAATTCATTTTGATTTTTCAACTTACTCTGCGCTGCATCAGATTGAATTGGGTTCGTTTACAAACCATACAACGAGATGCCTCATTATCCGGGATCCAAACAGGTGCATGAGCCGCGCCGCTATTATTACTGCCACCTAAATTTTGATCTCAACTCAACAACTCAGATTTTGTGTTGATTTGAAATTCGTAAGACTCTACTTTTGTTTGCATACCGTTTTGAAGATCGGTTACACAACGTACAATGTGCATCATCCATTCTAAAGTTTCACTTTAAAAAGATCATTCTGAAATACTTATCAGTCCAGCTAAAACTCTTTTATAGCTGACCTCGTTTCTCTGTCGGGGTAGCAGCGTAGACAGCAAAGCTTTTCGAAGGAGATTTAATGACCCAGCCATTTTTTAACCCTAAATCACTCTTGTATTGATGAGTAATTTTGAAAAACGGACTTCCTTCGTCTTCCAAATCTTCTAATTCAACAGTGATTAGTGGAATGACATGCTGCTTGTTGTATCGCTTTTTGCTGATCACAATGCTTCCGTAAACAAGTTGATCGTTGAAGAGAAAGAACTGTCGTTGCTTTGAGTCTTTCCTGAATTTAATTAATCTGTGAATTACATATGGCTTAAACAATGTTTTGTGTGTTTGCCAATCACAACTGTATTAACTACCTGCACATTTTGACGAGAACTCCTTCTCCGACTAGTACTCGACCAGGCACTCGCAAGCGCTGCCCACTATTTCCAAAACATGTTTCCACATTTGCTATCCTCCGATCATTCACTTCACTATTGACTAAAATGTGGAGTATGACATGTTGGGGCGGGGCCTTTTTTTCTTTCGAAAACACTTTTTCTGGACCAGTTTTTTGTGTGCTGATGCTATCACTTAGAATTTGGGAAACTTCATTTTAAGGCTGTTTTTGACGTATTTTTAAAACTTTCAAAAATCGTGTTTTTTGGTCGAAATTAGCATTTCACCTGCGTTTTTGTGATCGAAAATGCAGAAAATGCAAATGTCGGGAGGAAAACCCCTTTAAAATTCTTGTGTCATTTTTTAAAAAGTGAATAGAAGAGAGAAACAGTGAAGTCCAGAAAAAATCTTTTCGAAAGAAAAAAAAGACCCCCAACATGGCATGTTTCGTAAGATTTCAAACTGGCTCATTTTGCCAATGAAATTAGTGTTGCCTCAACAAAACTTACCTAAACGATCGACCATCAGAAATTATTTTAAGGGCAAATAGCAAAATTCGATGAGGATAAACAAATTGATTGCCTGTAATTTTCTTATGGAGTGAGTGTGCTAGAGAAATAGAGGGGTTGAGAGAGTTGCAACAGGTCAACAATAATCTCTACCTCCGAGGCTACGGTACATTGTGCAGCAAATCACAGAAGTATTTGATAGAAACATAGGGGTAACTAATGTGGCAGGTTTTTGTTGTCTTTTATTTCTTTCCTTTGATTTCGATTTTGATATTGAAGTTCATAAACTAAAAGTTCATTTAGGATCTATAAGAAGTGCCTCCTTGAGGGCAACAATTCGCCAAACTGGTGGGCTTTATCCTTTTTGTTCTTATTTATTATAAATTTAGTCTGCGATCTTCAATTTCCAAAGTCTTATTTGTGTTATTCTACTGCTGATTTGCACCTGTACGTATATTCGAGCTTTTGCGCCTAGATTGCTTGATCGAAATAAGGAGGGGTTAGTTTTTTAAAAATAATATCATTTAAAGATTATGAATTTTTCATGAAAAAAGCTGAAAACTTTATTTTTAGACTTCTCGGTATCTTCTGGAAGTTAGCGCGAATCGGTGAACGATTGAGTCCTTGGGTTGCAGCTAGTTGCTTTTGTATGGCTGTTATTGTCCTCTTCTTCTAAGGTAAAGAACTCATTTGTATGTGAATAGGTATTTAGAAAATTAAGCATGTTCTACATAAACTAAGGCTTGTGGGTTTAGAATGACTGGTCGATTTGATCCCGCAAAACAAAGCGTCAAGAAACGGCCTCCGACAAAAGTTTCAGCTAGAAATCAATTCTACGTCAAAAAGTAAACTTTGAAGCTAAGCTAGATTTTGTTTGTGCATTTTCAGAAAAACGTGCCTTGCTCAACAGACAAAACGCATTGAAGAACTTCTGCAAAAAGAATTCGATGAAGTTTATGTTCATGGTTTGGGCGCTTCACTCAACAAAGCTTTGACATTAGTCTTAGAAGTAGGCATAACACCAAAGTAAAAGTTATATACTTCTTTATTCTAGCTTCAACGCCGAAGTAATGGGACCTTGATGGCGGATATTCAAACTTCCACTGTCAATGTAGGCAATTTTTACTAATGAGAGGGTTTTTTTATTTTTTGAGGAGGACGCAAAAATACATTATTTACTAAATAAATTTTAGGTTACCGATGATATTTATTCGTTATCCGACGAGGCCGAAGCTGGTGAACGTTCCCGACCTCTTTCGGCAGTTCATGTTAAACTTTATATTGGTGTTCGTTAAAATTTTTATTATTATCGTTCCTGTCAAATTTTCTTTTTTTATTAAATTTTCTGTGATTTTTAAATTATGGGTATCGGTTTGGAATAAATTTTTTCAAGTATTTTTCTTGTAATTTCAAGTAAATACCTAAATGTGGTTTATTAATATCTTTTTCCACCAACCTGCGCTAAATATCGGCCTGCATCGTAATTTAGATCACATTATATGTTTTGCAGAGTTGTTGCCACTTCATCCAGGTATTTAACGTTATCCTCAGCCAGAAATGCACCACGTGTCGCGGTTGTGGGAAGCGGACCAGCGGGTAAACTTTAATCGTTAAATGTGGCATTTTTGAACTTCAGGTTTATTTACATGTGCAACATTACTACGACGGGTACCTTCATGTGTGATTGATGTGTTTGACGCTGCGCCAGTTCCGTTTGGTCTTGTTAGGTACGGGGTTGCACCCGATCATCAAGAAGTTTGTCTTTTATTTATTTGATAATCATAAGTATACTTTAGGTAAAAAATTGTATTCATGGCTTTGAAAAAATCTTCAATGATCACCCCAATCAAGCGAATCTTTTTTGTAATGTGAATATAGGGAGAGACGTCAAGTTACAGGTAATTTTTTTCTTTTGCACTTTTAAAAAACCTTTTAGGAATTATTTGATAACTACGACGCTGTTTTATTGGCCTACGGTGCACATAGGCCCAGAAGACTAAAAATCCCCGGTTATGATGCTAAAAATGTAATTTCTGGTAAACGCTCATTTCTCGATAATGTACCTATTTTTGCATTTTAGGTTCTGATTTCGTGTCTTGGTACAATGGGGTTCCCGATACACAAGCCCCAAAACTAGATGGAAAAAACGCGGTCATTATTGGTAAGTTTGCTTCAAATTACATTTTTTGAAAGTTCTCCTTAAGGGAATGGAAATGTGGCGTTGGATTGTGCAAGAATGATTTCCTCATCAGACAATCTCCAAACAACAGACATTCCTAAAGAGCCATTGGAAATTCTCTCCAAATCTCAACTGTCAAAAATTACTATTGCAGGACGACGCGGCCCACAAAACGTATGTTTTTACAAAACAACAAACAAACAATCACAAAACCTTTTTGATACCATGGTGAAACTCTAGGTATCCTTTACGATAAAAGAGCTACGTGAGCAATTCAAAGTTTCTACGTGGTCGTCTTTTGTGTCGTTACGCGATTCCGAATTAGAAGATTTACAAAAAGCGCTTGCCAGTGGAGACAGACGAAAGAAGAGATTGTTCCAGGTGCGAATTTTAGTAGTTTTATTTATTACCATTCGGCTTTAGGTTATGTTAGACAATCTAGCATCGCCGGCAAAAACTCGCCAAACAAAAGAGTGCAATTTTGTCTTTAATCACGTCCCAGTTTCGGTTGAAAAGAATAACGAAAATTTTGTGCAGGTCTAAATTTTAAAAAATCCAACAATTAAAGTTATTTTAGAGTGTCCGTTTTAATGATCAAATAGCTCAGAAAGAAGTTTCTTATCCGTGCGATCTTTTGATATACAGCATCGGCTACGAGAATATCATACTTGATGGATTACCTGTCAACGAAAATGTAATGTTTATTTTGCAGATTAGTGCCAAAATATTATTTAGTTTTTTGATGTTCCATTCAAATAAATTATATCTGTAATAAAAGTTTTAGGGGTCACTCAAATTGCTAGATGAGTGTCGAGTTGATGTATCTAGTGCTGCTGTTTTTGCTTGCGGATGGTAAGTTTGGCAGTCTAAAAATAGAATTAGATACATTCTTCCATATATTGTCTGTTAACATTATATATATTTAGGTGTTCACATGGTCCACGGGGTGTTATCGTTGATACTCAACAACAATCGGTTGCAGTGGCACAGCGAATAGCCGAAATTCTACCCTCGAATTTAGAAACAAGTAAAAGTTTGCCACAATTTTTTTGAGAGTAATTATTTTTTAGAGCCGGGAGTTTCTTCATTGCTAGAATCAAGAGGTATTCGATACATCTCGTGGAAAGAGTGGTGTTCGATTGATGAAGAGGAAAGGAGAGCTGGTCATGAAATGGGAAAAGTTAGCTTTTGATTTAGTAGGTACTTTACAAAATTTTTAGATTCGAGAAAAGATTCTACATTTTGAACCGATTTTGAGCAGAAAATGAAGAGATTTTTGTTTAGTTTTCAGCTAGTGATTTGTGTAGTTTTGTTGTTTTATCAGGTTGTGTGTTTAATAAGTTTTATAAATAAACTTTCATTAAATGCCATTCTTTTTAATAATTTGTTTGTCCAACTTTATTTGATGATGTATAAAAAGCGTATGTGAAATCTTTGGGGTAATCGCCATTGATTCGCCAAGCTAACAATAATTTAATAGGTATATTTTTTTAAGGTATGGCAAGCTTAGAATCAAAGTTGCTTGACGGCGCAAATGCAGGATATTGCAGTAGTTCGGAAGGAGAAGACGAAAGTGGATGGAAGGTGTCTAATTGTACGAACTATGCACTAATTTTTGCTAATAATGTCAAGCTTTAACTTTTATTTAGGTCTCAAATGATGATGATACTCATCAACAAAACGTGATGCGACAACTCCCTGGTACGAGCAATACGGGAGCTAAAGGTGTACTCTCTGATTTTCAATTATTCAGGTAAATCACTTATATCATTGTAATTTCAAGTAAATTTCTATAGAGAGGAAGTGATGCATCACCGAGAACAAAAAAATCAGCAAATTGTCAAACAAGCTCAAAGGGGGATGATGGAAAGCAGTAAAGAAGAGAGAGAAAGGGTAACACTGATATTTATGTAGTTGCTAATGTTTTATACATTTTGCTAGGTTCAAAACGGAGATGATGATGATGATGAAACATTAGAGAACATGCGAGCCAAACGACTTCAAGAGATGCGAAAAGCGTTGACGGGGCGAATATTTGAAATTACTGATTCGGTTAGATATTACCTATTTTTTATACATCGACGTTCTCAATTTTAGAAGCAATATTTGGAAGCATCTGAGTCGAACACATCGAGCCTCATTTTGGTGATGATTTATGAGCCTGGTCACGAAGGAAGTGAACATTTAACGCATATTTTCAAGGTACTTCTAAATATTTCTTCTTTAATGGGTTGTTTTTAGATCTTGGCAGCAGATTTTCCAGATGCCAAATTTTTGCGGGCAAATGCGGCTCTATTGGGGACGACGAAGAACTTTGTAAGTTTAATGCTTAAATCTTTCAAAGTAAAGCGCTTTAGAAAACACTGGCACTCCCAACATTGCAAGTCTTCTTCAATGGTGCTCTTGTTGGAAATTTTGTCTGCGTTGATAAGCAGCTTCCAGAAGAATACACGACATTTCAGCTGATTCAATTTCTAGAAAGGTTTTGAATATTTTAATCACTTTTAACCATAATTTCTTTAGAAAAAGAATCCTGCTTCGTCAAAACCGTTATGTGGAAGAAATCGATGAAGATGATGATTATGATTCGGATTAATTGTAGGCTTTAATGGAACTCTTCAATTGATCTCTTGAAATTTTGGTTTTTTATTTTATGCTAACATAATAAAATATCGCATCATAAAATGCACCGCAGAAATCTAACAATTGCTATGTCAAAGATTTATTCTTTTCATCAGAAAGGCACCTTGTAAAACATTTAATGTTTATAGGTATGGCAAGGGTCCATTATTCATCCGGATCAGAAAAGGCGTTGAAACAACGTGCTGCAACCGAAGAAAAAGTCTTTCAGATTTATATAATGCACAGTTTTTATTATTTTAGATACCCCTGGCTATGTTATTTACATGCAGAGGTAGTACACAGCAGGAATTACTCTACCTTTATCCATATAACGTCGAATGCGAATTCGCTGAACCATGTAGGAGTTTTCTGATTTTCAAATGTTTATCATTTAATTGTTTAGTGTTCACGGGCAGACGCTGTTTTATCAAAAAAGATCAACCAAAGCGTTTATTGCCTAAGTAAGAACACTTGAATTTAGCTCAACAAAAAAATGCTTTTAGGATCACCGACACCAAAGAGAGTCTTCGTACACCGTTCGGTCTTTCCACTGAACTTCTCGCTTCTTTGCTTTGTGTGAAAGAAAACGCCAATGATTTGCCCTTTGAGCTTAAGGTAACATTTAGAAATTTCAGGATTAAATAATTGATTGCTTTAGTTGGGTAAAGTGATTTATGTGGGCTTCCCAAAATCTGTGTCGCCGGTGCCAAATCCGTGGCCTAATCCCGATGGCCATTCACTTGACGCTTTTCATGTCGTATTCGTTTTACCCGAAGGTGCTCCTTATCAAATGATTGAACGATTTCAGGTTGATTTTCTTGCTGTTCCTTATTTGAAAGCCCATTTTAGTGCCTCAGTCGCAAATTAGCCCATGGAATTGACGCTTTACAACAAATCAGCAATTATCTGAGCATTGAGGTAATTTTGGCAGAAGAAATATTGTTATTTGTCAATTAAGCATGGAATAATGCATTCCGAGTTGGAGAAATTTCGTGCAATTCCCGAAAACGAGCATAAACTGCCACCCTGGGAAGCGGTATGTCAGCCTTTTTCGTGAATTAAATCAAACTTCTTCAGATTCGAACCAAGTCCAAATTGGCAGCTCTATTTGCTCAGGTTTTTGATGATCTTCATCGAACTGGTGTTGTTCAGGTGGAATCTGATTTTTTCGACAAAAAATAAATATTCCTAGGTATTCATGGATAATTTCGTCGAGATCGGATTCTGTATGGAAGAGAGGGCACTGAAGCACGCACGTTTGACTCCAAGAACCGCAGCCGAAATTGATCGACTCGTCTCACGAATCAGGCCATATCATAGTGTTCTCTTATTGGAGGTAATCCAGAGTTAAATCGTTAAATCTTTCGACTTCTAGGATGTAACTCCATCTCCCGATGCGAATCCAAATGTTGCTTTGATGATTCGACATTGTGATCCGGATAGGTCGATTCTGGATATTAGCACGGCTAGTGGAATTCCTTTGATGCAGGTTCGAATTAGTTTTTTGAGGAGCTAATTGTTTCTTTTTAAGGTACTACTTGTTGTTCGTCATCTTCTCTTATGGGCAAGAGCTGTGGTCATTTATCCAATCGTCAATACAAATGTCTATTCGAGTGCAACAACGAATAAGGATTTAGAGAGGTTGCTTTTGGTAAAGTGTTATTTTCAGCTTTGATTTTCAGGGAAACAAATAGATTTTCCCGATTCTTTGGACATGTCACTTCTTTGGGAGAAACTTTGGCAGCCTTTAATCCTCCAATACAACTCGATTTGTATGTTAATCGTTGTTTTTTTGCATTTTTCATTTTTATACATATCAAGCAAATCCCTTTAGATATGTTGATCCATCAGCTCCATTATCATTTCAACAGGTGCGAACAAGAATCGTTGTTTATTTATTACGTCATCAACTTTTGATGCAGGTGAAAACATTTTACTTACTCAAAACAAAAATTTTAGTTACACAAGTTTGCATATTTGATGGTACCATATAGTACCAAAGAGAAGCCCACAAATAAACATTGCCCAAAAGGAATCCGAGATATTATCGATCAAGCTAATTTTTTGGAGCATGAAAGTTTTAAACGTTAATTGTAGGTTCCAACTTTTGTGCATCCGTCAGAGAAAATCGGTCCGGGAAGCACGGATGATGCGGTGGATTTGAAAATTGAAGGGCCGCTGCATGAAGAGAACGAAAATGAACGCGAAGAATATGAAACACTCATGGCACGGATTTCGGATCGAAAAGTTGGCCCCTTGAATGTTTGCGTCGAAAATTATTTCTAGACTTTACCTCCAACCGCTGGAATTTCGAGTGAGGTGAAAGATTACCTCAAAAAACTATGTGGGCAAATGCTCGAGAAGGAGGGTTATGCTGAGGTGGATAACTGTTTTTGGTGTTCCTTTAATCGCTTTGTTTAGGTTGAAGCAAAAATTCGGCGATTCTGTCAGTTGGCTCCTCTTTTAAATGGTTCACATCACGTTGAGGATCTAATGTATCGATTCGATATTCCGCGAAAAACCGTACTCGATTCATTTAGTGCTTTTTCGCCTGTGATTGCTACATATCTGCGACCAGATTTTATTTCTTGTCTAGATGATTCTTTGGCTTAGATTTTATGTTATTGTACAAATGTTGTTATTATGGGTGTAGATACCGTTAAATAATAAATATTTTAAAGTTTTTCGAGACTGGGTACAATAATATTGCTTCGGTGGCAAAGGAAATTTTCAATTATCATTTATGCAACATTCAATTGCTGTAACATTACATGTTGTAGCTCATTCTCATGTCGATGAATAAAGTACCAGATCAGATACGAGAGCCACTCGTTAATGCGATGATTGCTGTGTCGATAAGCTCAAAGCAGGTAGCTCTACATGATAAAAGCTATTATTTGAAATTTATAGGTTGCTAATCCAAAGCCAATGTCAAAAGACGTTTTGCCGATGCTCCACGCACTCACAAATGAAATGATCAAGGTAGATTTGTGCTTTACACATTTCATCTTTTTATTAGCTCCTTTTTGAATACATATTTTGATGTTTCTAGGAGATGCTAACGCGGGCTGCTACCTTGGCGAGTAATTCAGGACGAGATCACGTAACCAGCGAAGAGTTTCAACGGATTCTCCCTCAAATATTACTCGACTTTGCGGCATAATGAAAAACGTTTGGCTGTTGTTTTATAATGTTTGTGCACTTGCCCTTCTTTTTTAAAGCTGTTTTCTTTGATTTGCACATAGTATTTGTTTCCATTGGTAACGGGTAAAGCTGTTTTGATGCAATACGTGTAAGGGATTTTATTTCTTGTTTAGATGATTCTTTCCTTTAGATTTTGCGTTTTCGATTAGGGTTCACTTTCAAGTAAATTCGGGAGTGAAAACGTGAAAAAATCTATAAAACTTCTATGAAGAAATTGGCTGAATGAATTTCTCTAAAAATTTGGCTATATACCAAACTTTTTGTGCTCTATCTTTTATCTATAGGGACCAGAATATGTTTCCTTGGCTGAAAGTGTCTAAACCAAATTTCTAAATCATCGAGCCGTCGCCCTTTTTGACCACCCAAATTCACGCTCCCAAAAAAACCAGACATAAGACCGTTAAGCCCGTTTTAATATTGTTTTGCAGAAAAATAATTGGCCTTTCTAATGTACAGTCATGTGCAAAAGTCTTTTCACATTCAATTTTCTAAAAAGTTTCATCAATTTTCTTTGATAAAGTTCATGGCGCTCTTTAAGCCATTAATAGTTTGAGTTACACAAATATATGTACAATTTATTTACACGAACGTTATCGCTATACAACACTTATTCATTGAGAAAAAAATATAATTGTCAAAACACCCCCAAAAATCGTGGTGCAAAAGTCTTTTCACATTTGCAAAAATTTTTATTATTTTCGTTCGCTTCGTATTTACTGGTACATTACATACTAGAAGACCTGCTCGCAAGCCTATGATGACAGTCAAACACAGGAGGCAACGCCTTCAATTTGCTCGGACCTAATCAAATTGGACAATCAATGATTGGGCTCGAGTGATTTTCGTTGATGAAACAAAAGTTGATATTTTTCCTTCAAATCGAAATCACCTGATCCGACGTCCAGTCGGAAAGCGATATCAACTCAAGTACTTGTAACCTACAGTGAAAAGAGGCACAGGATCAATTATGTGTTTCGGTAAGGATAGTTTTCTTTTTATGCAGTCCAACGTGATTTCTTTAGGTGCGATGTGTAGAAGTTCAACAGGTCCGGTTGTCCTCGTAAAGTCAACAATGGATTCCCGCCAATATATCGAGATATTGGACAGATGTCTACTTCCATTTGCGACTGCTTCGATGAATCCAGGATGGTTTCTTTATCATGATAATTCGCCAGTACACAAAAGCAAATTTTTGATGGGCCGCGTTGTGACTCTCTCGAATGGAGGAAAAGCACATTTACCGGGATGGTTTGGGATCAATCACGTTTCCTTGATCAAGGCTCCACGATTCTCACCGGATTTAAATGCTATCGAGAATTTATAGGCCTATTTGCGAGGAAAACGTTTCAATTCTAAAGTCGTGCTATGGTTTTACATCAGAAAAATTCGGAAGACGATTGGACCTGGGATTCTTCATGAATTAATTGCATCGATGCCTACTCGTATTAAAGAAGTACTTTTGGCAAAAGGAGGAGCGACTAAATATTGATTAAAGCTTAATTTCGTTTTATGTGAAAAGACTTTTGCACCACGATTTTTGGGGGTGTTTTGACAATTATATTTTTTTCTCAATGAATAAGTGTTGTATAGCGATAACGTTCGTGTAAATAAATTGTACATATATTTGTGTAACTAAAACTATTAATGGCTTAAAGAGCGCCATGAACTTTATCAAAGAAAATTGAATGTGAAAAGACTTTTGCACATGACTGTAACAAACCCGTAGTTCAATTTGTGCATTTGTTGGTTTTAAAAGGGAATTACGAAAAGGGACGAAAAGACTTTCTGGAAAGCCTAATACAAATGTTTTTATGAGTTCAGATGCCGTTAAATGATAAATATTTAAAAGAATAGCAACACACTATGATCCTATCCTTGTTTTGCTGTTTGTACAGAGATTATGTCTACGCTAGTTCACCGATTCAAGATTTACCCCTGCTCCATTTTTTATTTCCGGGATTTTGGTCATGCCCCCCATTGTCTCCCTTGCTCTATACATATCTAACTCCAACGAATCAATTTTTTATTATCTCAAAAAGTGGCTCTACATAATATTAAATTCAAAATTTATCACAGAAATTACAAATAAAAATTAAGACTTCATGAGATCCGATTCTCTATGTTGACAACAAAATTATAGAACTCAATCTCGAAGAGCGAAAAGATGTTGATGCATAGTCAAAGCTTCCCATTCGGCTTTGAATGCTGCTTTGGGATCCTGAGGGGCAGCCATTGCTTGATTCGACATTTGATCCTCCATTATCTAAACCGATAAAATTGAAGATTTAATGAGCAGAGACTGATTTGTGCACCTTTGATTGATCGGCGGCATTTTCCTCTCCTAATACTAAGGTGTAGATCGAACGTAATCCAAAGACACAAAGGAAATACCACGACGCCGAGGAAACCTAAAAATGGATTTTTGAAAAATTTTCTAACTGTAATATTACCCAAGCAGTATCCAGTGAGATAAGATCCACACCACGCTGGAGCATCGGTTTGAACCGAAGTGTAAGTGGAAACGGCAAGCGGGTTGTTACAAACCCCGAAAATGTCCAGTTAATCCATCCACCAACAACAATCATTGGTACCTTAACTTTTCTATTCAAAAAAAAGTGCACAAAAATTAACCATGTTTAGCATATTTCCTTTCATCATTTCGGTCATTGCTGATGGATCAGCCATTGGATTGGAACCCTTTGACGGTTTTTTCATTGCCTAAATCATTATCTACATTAATTTGTGATATTGATCCAACCTTGGATAGATAACCATTCTCTTCGTGTGCAAGAAACTGTCGTCTCATATTGAAAGATGACCTCGGCAGAAAACGACCATTTTCTCTCAATAACCGCGATCTAATGAGATATTGACCATCCTGTATTTGCTCCAGTTCGACCTAGAAAATTATACATATAACTGGCATTAAAAACTCAAACCCACTTTCTTTTTGCTCATTAGTAGTAACGACACATAATGCCGTAAAACACCAATCATAAACGTTATAACCACAATCGGCAAAAATACCCAAGTGCGGAGCGCGGGATCAAGAAGTAACTCGGTCATCCTAAAGATTTCACTTAAAAATCAAACGATGATATTTATAGAAAAGAAAATAAAGAGAAAACGTCTAACTCCCAACAAAGAAGAATGATACTTTAAAAATTTATTAAATATCTTCTGCAAGCAACAAATTATGATTAAACATCTAATCCAAATTTATTGAAAGCGTAACTTCATACTGAAGAGATTGCAAAGTCGAAAAAACAGGCGCAAAAATCCTTGTATGGTTTCCGGGTTAACTAAAGAAAAAAAATAAGAATTATAGTGGCCTCTATAGTTCTAATCTATAGCTTAAACAGTCGTCTGTTTTCGCGGAGCCAATGTGAAAATTACGCGAGGCTCCGCTTTCTGTTCTCGCCCTTTACTCTTTACACAAACCTCAACCTCTGGGTCCTCACATTTTCTAGTGGCCATGCCAGCGTTCTTTGATTGATCTTTTTCTCACAGCAATGTCCTGAAAAGACTTGATTCAATTAAAAATCTTTGAAACAATGGAGGACGATGGTTTCGACTATCTGTTTAAAATTGTAAGTTTGATAACTAAACTTAATCTAAATTTAACTTTTCTAGGTCCTCATCGGCGACATGGGTGTAGGGAAAACGTAAGATTTAGTTAGCAAAAATCCCATTGAGGCCTTTTAAGATGCGTTGTTCAACGCTTTCGAAACGGAACATTTGTCGAGCGTCAAGGCACAACTATCGGAGTTGACTTTACGATGAAGACAGTCATTATCGATGGTAAAATTCACTGTTTCATCTTTTCGTTTTTATATACTTATTGAAGGAAAGCGTGTAAAGCTTCAAATTTGGGATACCGGCGGCCAAGAAAGATTCAGAACAATTACACAAAGTTACTACAGGTATACCACGGCTTAAATTATTAATAAAAAACAATGTTTCTTTCAGACTGAATCTTACTAAAAACATTTCAGATCAGCAAATGGAATTGTCCTTTGTTACGACATCACATGCCAACAATCATTCGAAAGTTTGCAACGGTATGTCTTTTTGATGTTTTGCTTCAATTAAATGAAATAAATTTAGATGGATCGATGACGTTTCAAAATTTGCAGCTTCAAACGTCGTAAAAGTTTTAATAGGTAAAAGAAATTTATGTCTGCATGCACATTTATCTACTTGAGGGACCAAATGTGATTTGGAGGATAAACGGCTTGTCGAACGTGAGGATGGAGAACATTTACAACGATCACAAGGTTCATTCTGTAGAAAAATTTGAAAAATAGCTTAAATTTTTAGGGATGGTTTCATTTATTGAAACTTCGGCAAAAACAAACGTCAATGTCGACTCTGCTTTTATGGAGTTGGCCAAAGTGCTGAAAAAACAGGTAATTTTCCCGTTAAAGCCTGACAATGCTGGCAAGTCGGATTGAATAGGCTCATAAGTTTTTAGTACGATACGACATCGCACATTGAACAAACACCCCCGGCTGGGGGATTTCGATTGGGCACGGCAGGGACAACACAAATCCTTTCATCTAATAGATGGGAACAATGTTGTAAATGGAATTAACAGCAATACTATTGAAATTAACCAAGTCATAATAGATCTCTAGATTTTACTCATGTTTGCCTTTCATTCATTTTCTCTTCTTAATAGTATTATTGCGCCCGTTTTCTTGTTTAAATGTTTTTGAAAATGTTTATTCCTATTTATTAAACTCTATTTTTTTATCAACTGGGCGTAAAATAATTGAGCGTCGTAATCTTCCAAAAACCCAATGGAGAAATAGTTCGAGTTAATCTGTATTTTAAAATTAAATGGCATCAAATATAAACTTACGTAATATTGCAAACCAGAAGATCCTCAATGTGTTTGTTCAGATACTCCTTTGGCGTAAGGTCGTATGGAAGGGATTGAGAAGTCCGAAAGAAAACAACAGCCGTGAAATACCCATGCACGGTTCCAGGGTTAACTAAAGAGCAAACATAAAGTTCCTATTTATAACAGCCCCCATTCTAGCACATCAACAAAAATATGCACAACTCCTTTAAAAGAAAAAAAATTGAAACTCACATTGATAAATCTTCTTGCCAGAAAATAGCGCCGAGTGTAAAAAAGAGCAAAGCACATCGCCTTCCGTAACCCTATATTTAGTATTTTGTAAAACCAATATTGTTTACTAGCTTACTTGAATTGAGAAAGATCTGCTTCGGAACAGCGATCCCTGATTCTTTCTACTAGGTCTTTTGTACATAAATGAGAGAGGCCATCCCAATTGTTGCTTGTGATATATTCTGCGCATAACGACGCCGCCTAAAGTGTATTATATTATATACTTATGCCTATTTGCAGAAAAAAAACTAAAGTTTTTACCTCCATGGCTCCACGAAGAAAGCTTTCTTGCGTGTAGTCCGGCTCTTTTCTTTTGTAGTAAAGTTCCGCAAGGTTGGTTGTCAAAAGACGAGAAACTTCAAAGTGAGGCGTCGCTACTTTCGGCTTCACAAAAAGTGAAAAGCTTGGCTAAAATGAAAGATAAAAAAGCAACGCGTAAAGGTTTACTTTTGCTCCTGATGAAGATGGCTGTGGGGCTGCCGAAAGAAACCGCAAGAAGGTGCACGTTTGCGGATGACGAACACGATTGATGACCATCTGAGAACCTGGAAAAATCAAGCATTTCCATTGTTATGTTTAAATAAGTAGAACAATAAACAAAACAAGAAACGTGAGGATACTCCTTGCTTCGCTAGAAGTCTATGCGATTTCAGGGGGAGGCGAAGCCTTCAATTTGACTCCAAATGTTTTCTTTTTGAAAATAAGCACAATTGCCGAACATTGTTTCAAACGAAAAATGTGAAATTGAAAGACTGTCGCAAAAATTTTTGTTTTAAGTAGTTTTTTTTTTGCGAAAACAACTGAATAACTTTTGTTTCAGAAATAAAACAATAAAGCATGGCAAAATCGTAAGATATTCAGACAAGTGTTAAAGCATAAAGGTATTTCGTAGTGTTGTTCCGTTTGTGTTTTAGTTTATCAGGTTTTTTATGTTTCTCATCCATTCTTTTCAAAGTGTTAGAATTTCAAATGTCGCGCGTTGACTCTGCACGACCAGAAACGATGGGAACATGGAAAAGGAATTGATAAGCAAATGTTCCCACTCTTTATTGTGAAGCGCGAAAGATTTCTTTGCCTTTTTCTTGACCTCTCGTAAGTGACTCATTCTATAGGAGCAAATGCCTTTGGCAAAATGAAAGCAAAAATGACTTGCCCCGTTTTTATGAGATCTATACGTACAAAACTTTAGATTTTCGCATAATTTCTGTTATCTATTGGTTTCTTTTTATTCTGTTTTGGTATCAATTCCACTTTTTAGTCTATGCGCGAGTTTCGACCGATTGAGTTGATCAAAGGGATAAAACCCCATGAAAACTTGGACTACTCGTACTCTTGGGAAAGTAAGATCTGCCGTAAGTCGTTTTTTCTTTTTTGCTGGCTAATGTTAATCTTTTAGAATTTCTGGCGGATGACAGTGATTCGGAGAACATCAACATCAGGAAAGTGCTCCCAGTAAACGTTTTTGACGATGCTTGCTTCCGCGAGACGATTGCTCATCTTACAACTGATATCGCAGTTAGTTCTGAGTTATTTTCGGGATGTAGTTAGAACAGCGCCAAAAATAGAGCGTCGGCGTGTTTTTAGTTCTCAGCCACGTAGTTTCTTGTACAATTTCGACGCTTTTGCACCTTTTTCATACTTTTTGTGCAAATGCGTTAATTGGAAGCAAACCATACAAAAGAAGCAAGGATTAAAAGCTAATCGCTCTAAAATGAACGTTTTCCAGGTATTTTTTGCTCGGCGCTGAATTTTTAGCGCTGTTCTAACTAGATCCTTTTTTTCCATTACTTTTCTTTTAGCTTGAAGTCGAAGTAAAAGAACCTGGGACAAAAGATTGTGTTGGTAATGTTAAGTTGGTCTGGTTGGCAACCGTCAAAAAGGTAAAGAAAATCGGCATTTTGAAGAGAACAATATTATAGGTTTGTGGATACCGTGTTTTGATGCGCTGGATTGGCTGTGATAAGGAGGGCGATGACAAACATGACTTTTGGATTAACTTTTGCACTGCGGACTTGCATCGAGTTGGATGGGGGTAATAAATTTGCTTTTTTGGCTATTTAACTAACTAACATTTTAGTGCTGAAAATAAGGGCGATGCCGTAAGCTATGTGACACCATTGGTGATTAGCGACAGACGAACTGATTGGAATGTTTTTCTTGTAAGCTTTAATGGCTTTAAGAGTTTGTTTTGAGTTCTTGTTTACCTAAGTAGCTAATATTATTATAGGCACAAAGTCTAACTCCTATGAGAACCTTGGCTCGGACATTTGAATCAATGAAACGACAAGTTCAAAAATGTAAACTTCAAGTATGTTCAACTTAGAATATCTATCCTCTTAAATTAAATTTAGGTCGGAGAAAGAGTGGAATTGCTTGACAACAATGTTTCTACTAGAGTTCGCCCTGCCATTGTGCTAAAAACCGTTGGCCGTCGTGTGTGTCTTCAGGTGAGCTATTACATATCACTCAGAATAAGACTATGTAAATTGTAGGTGAAAAGCGTCGATTACGATGTTAAAAAAGATCCACACAAGGAAGATATAGCCGAGGAACGCCAGGTTAAAGTCTTCCTGAAAACTTCGTAGCTTTGATTTTTTTTTAGTTTGAAGGCGAATTTTGGTGTGATCAGGATTCACATTACATCTTTCACATTGGCTGGGCTGCGCGAAATGGTTATAAATGTTAGTTAGTTATCAGAATGTTATTTACCATTCCCTTTGTCTTCTTTATTGTAATTTTAGGTTATGCTCGGGATGGATACTTGAAGCATTGTGAGCAGATTGCCAGAGCTATCGAAAACGTGTTTTTAAATTTAAAAATAATTAGGATTTACATCTTTAGGACGTTGAACCAGAATTTGCTCCAAATGACGTCAGGCCAGAAATTGTTTTTGGTTTTCACAAAACCATTGAGCCCGGGACGGTTTGTTTTCATTTTGTCTTTAAATCTATATTTTTATAGCCACATTTTGAAGCCGGAATGAAACTTGAGTTTCTCGATCCGCTAGATACTAATTTCAACAAGCTCAAAGTGGGAACCGTGGTTAGACTTCTCAAGGTGTTTTTAAAATTCAAAGTGAGGATGTTTCTTAACCACTTTATAGGATGGATATTTGGTTGTCGGTGCAGATGGAGATGATATGGAAAATGAATCAGTACCGTTCCATTGCACCAGTGGCTTCATTTTCCCTGTTGGCTACGCAAAAAAATACGGGATTAAGCTTATTCCTCCAGGAGGCGATGGTTTGCTTTTAACTCATGATCAATATAATTTTTTTCAGAAAATGATGAGGAAAATTTTAACTGGGATGTCTACTTAAAGCAAACACGGGCAATTTCAGCGCCTGAAGCACTCTTTCAAAATGTAGCAGACAAGGAAAAAATGATGCGGGATTTTCCGGTAACATTTTTTCGCGAATTTTGGTAATAGCTATTTAGATTGGCGCAAGCTTCGAAGCATCGGATCTAAACGAATCTCAGCTCATTTGCCCTGCACATATAGTATCGATCAAAGGACGACTACTCGAAATTGGTTATGACGGTTGGGGAGCCGAATACAATCAACTTTTTGATTACAGGTAAAAATTAGTATAAAGTCATTTGCACTTGTTTTTCTCTATTTAGGGCACATGATATTTTTCCCCTCGGATGGTGCGAAGCCCATGGTTATAAGGTAATGAATTTTTTTTAAAATCAACATTTTTGCTTACCTCTATTTAGCTTGAAATGCCCAAAGGTGAAGAACCACTAAAGAAAAAGAAAAAAATGTTTTGAATCTTTTGCGATGAAAATCATTTCATTATAAGTTGTTTGCTTATTATGTCTTTTAAAAAAAAAATTCCGAGTTTTTTTCTTTGTAAAGTTAACCGCTATGTTCTAATTTTTTCAAAATTTCTAATTTTGGATACTTTTCGTTGATTTAATACTATTCTACTGTTGATCTCTCATGAATTCGTTGAATTTGTTTTTTGGTGATAATAAACATTTATTGTTAGGTTTCACTCTTATTTTGAAAGCAGTGTTAGCCTTCAAGAGTCTTTAAACAATTTGGTTAATAAATTGTTAATCAGTGTCCTCTAGGCGTGTGATGGTTATGGCTTCTTACGGCATAAAGCTGAAGATCGATTTAAAGTAAACAAGAAAAAGCCTTGATTTTCAAATAACTTTTAAGAAATGTTTATATCCCCGATGGTGCGAGTGGCGTTCGAACGATTGCTAGCACAAAAATGGAAAATGACAGCTATCTTGAGGTCGACGAGAGTTTTTCAATAAGATTCATGGCAGGCACTTGGTACACTTAGATACTACTGATTAAGAGCTGTTTGTTACATGTTAGAGTGGAAGCCAAGTCTTTAAAGGCCATAGTTATCCAAGTATTCAAATTTAGATAGCTCAAACGGAAACACTATTCCATAATGCAAACCCTTCTTTCTACCAGCGGATATCACTTCAATATAGATTCGACAATTTTCTCCGGATACGCCTTGATGTGTATGTTTTTGGCCTTCTAAATATAAAAAAATCTTTAGAGTGTTGGTAAAAGATCATCTAAGTGAGCAAATCGTCGGGAAGCTAGGAGAGGCAACATTTGATGTACCGGTGTTACTTGCAAACAAAGGCCGATTAACACTACCAATTACTTCGCACGTAAGCATGGCTTGATCCAATTTGCAAATGCCTTAATTCTAGGCTCAAGTAGACATATTCTTGGAGTCAACAGAGTTTTATGGGCATGCGGCCAACTTTCGATTTGTTGGGAACCATTTGCATCACCCCGAAGTTTGTCCGACTATTGCCCCGTATTTTGTCTTCACGCTCGTATTGGAGAAACGTTCTCTTCTGCTGCATAGGAGTGAAGTAGGCAAGAATATTAGCGTTTATAATTAATCGTTTAGGTGATCCAATCAAGAAACCCTCAGTGGATGAACTTTGTGGTGCCTCTGTACATTATGCAATTTTACCAAGAAGGTCTTCTGCAGCTAAATGTTTACAATCATTTCGTAAGTTCAATTATCAAAGTTTAACGACGTTACTTTTAGCCAAATCATGATGATTTATTGATTGGATCGTTTTCAACTACATTCATTCAAATACAGCGTGGGCCTGGTTATCTCAACTCATATATGGTGAATCATTCGAGTGTTCTGTATTTTATTTTTACTTTTAGCTTGTGAATCCCGAAGGCAAAAAGAAAGAAGAAAAGATGAGTGTCGATCTCGTGCACTTTGAGCAAACATCGTGCGACAGTTATTTCGATCTTTTAAATCAGGGGTCAGTCCTCCAATACTATTAGTTTAAAAATATACGGTATGTTGTTTTTCAGATTAAATGTCCATGTGGGTGTAGCGATTGACTTTACAGCATCGAATGGGGATCCGACTCAACCAGAATCGTTACATTTTATTCACCCACATCATCCGAATTCGTATACAAAAATTATGTTAAAGTGAGTTTACTCTTTTTATTAATACAAAAAATGTTTAGAACCTTGCCTTCAATCGTTGGTCATGCTCGCGATAATAGAATTACGGCTATTGGATTCGGAGCAAAAATCGGACATGCTCATCAAATGTCGAATTGTTTTCCCCTGGTAAGTAACTCGTTTTAGTAGGAGTTCTAAAAAGTTTTAGGATTCCTCACAAATCGACGTTTTCCTTCGCAATCCTTCTGAAGCGAACTTTCATGTCACCGGTTTTGATGGCTTATTAAATTGTTATCGTCGTATTCGCCTTGAAGTTATGCCATTCGCGCCTACCGAATTTGCTGATTCTATTTATCACATGAGCAAGTTGGTTCTGCTTTAAATGTAGCAAATCTTGTTTTAGATTTGCAAAAGCTGCAACTCGATTAAATATGGGATTATATTTCGTTCTGGTCGTCCTAACTGATGGTGATGTCACGAATCCAAAAAAGTTTATTAGTTTACATCTTCTTAAAGGTATAGCTTTTCAGTACGCGGGATGCTTTAATCGATGCTTGTGAGGCGCCAATTTCTGTTGTTGCTGTTGGGATTGGGAATAAAGATTTCTCCAAGGTTTGCTTTCTGTCAGTTTAAAAAAAAGTTTCGTGTTTAGATCCGAGCGTTAGAGGCTCCAAATTTGAAACACTCTGATGGACGGCCCCTGACAAGACAGGTATAAACAAGAGAACAAAAGATTTTAAATTCTTGGAAAATTGTATTTAGGTGCTTTCATTTGTACAAGAAAGTGATTTGTCAAATGATGACTCGCTCGCCTTGCTGCCCTACAGAATTCAACAATGGAAATTGAATGTGAGTAGCAAGTAATCTTCATTTGTAATATTAATCTGTGGATCTAAACTTTGTATTTTGATACTTTTTATTATTTCTTTTGTGATATGTTACTTTCTCGTGTGTTTCAATACTTATCACTTTTTTTTATGAAGCTCTAATTACTGCATTTCTCATTGCTCAATAGTTATTTTGGTATGTATTTTTTGAAATAAAACGATTTAAATCAGGTATTCCAATAGATTTTAAAAACGATTAGATTGAAATCCGATCCAAAGACTAGAATTTTTGCGTCTTCATTTGTGGAAATGGAGCGAATTGTGACTTCATTGGAATTGCTTGAAGAATAGACAAGTTGTGAAGAAATTGAGGTTTGGGAGCCAAAAATGACTAGACATGCCCAAATTTCAGTTCCCATTTCTCCCTGAAAAAACCTCGCGTTTTCCCAAGAATTATTTTTACTACCTTTTTGATTACGGTAATTTGCAAACGCGATCGATTGTCTGAAGAAAGTTGCAAACGGATTGAATCCCCTTGCATGGTAGGGATTTCACATTGAAACGAGGGGAAATCATCCTGATTTGATGTTGTCACCTAAATTTAGCGGGCTCTCGTGTTTGCACTATTCATTTTCGTTTGCTTACCTTAATTGTGGTACTTGATACTGTTCTGGAGCTGATATAGACTTGCCAGAATAGAAGTTCGTCTCCATTTTGGCCCTGAACTCTTCGATAAATCATTTTTTTATTTCATAAAAACCTCGAAATCTCTATAAAGACTCTGAAGACTATCGAAATTTTCGCCAAAATTGAGTCCAGTTGTGTTTAATTTGAGAGAAAGCTAAATGTTTTTAATGTTAAGAGTCAAGAATGGGTGAAAATACTGGTTTATCGTCTTTTGCGACATATTTATAGGCAATTAGCTCCGTGTTATTCGAGATCTTCGCTTTTGTGTTGAAAATGAAATATGGTTGATGGGTTTGTGAGGAGATCGGTAGATAAACACCTGCCGTGAATGGAGAAATACCGGATATTGTTGTTGAATCGCTGAAATACCCGGTTAAGACATTTTACTGAACTTTTAAACCCTAATTTCTTTCTTGTTATCGTAAAATCACAATATCTTTAACTCGTACAGTAGGCTACAGTATTTTTATTAAAAGATATCCAGTCTTGTCAGCTGCATACTTTAATGAGACAGGACGACAGTATTCATCTAGCGGGAGTGGGACAAATGCGACCTTTTTTGCGACAAATGCGAAAGGTCGCATTTGTCCCACTCCCCATCTAGCTTAGAGTGTTCTCCTCTCAAATCTTGTTTTCTAAAAGGTGCTCGTTAGCAAAGTCATTTTCTAAAAAGCGCGCTTTTCTTTTATTATTTCTGAAAGTTTTATTTCTTTTTCTATCATTATCGGAATTTTATAGTTTTAAACAAATATTTATTTTTGGAAACAACAAACAAGGGAAGAAGATGGTCAACCAAAGGAGAAAAAGACGAACAACGAACAGAGTTTTCTTTTCTGTATATTTTCGATATTTTAAAAATCTGCCGGGGTTGATTGCTTTTCTTTAGTAAAAGAACGTAAGAAAGAAGACGAAAAGAAAAAGGCGAAAGAAAAAAAACTTCAGGAGGCAGGGCAAAAAAGAAAGAGAAGTCAGAGGTTACTCATTTTCTATATATGCTTTTCGTAATTATCTAAAACTCACTAACGTTCGCGTTTTCCACGCAATCTAAGCCCCGCTCCTTTTTGAAAATAGCTCATCTGACATCTGTCCGTTCGTCTGCGCGCACGAACAGATGTCTCTTCGGTACTTTTCCAATATCGGGGGAGCGAAAGGAAAATCAGGGGAGCAAATTTTGCCCCCTCGAAAAATGCATTCCCAGGAGTGTATTTTAACTGCAACGTTTTTTTTAAAACTTTAACGACGATGCGCTTCTCCGACATTTGTGGAAATGAATACAATCCCTTTTTACAGTTAATTTGTGATTGCTAGAAAGGTTTTTGTTTCGGTTACTTCGTTTACATTTGTTCGTTCGGGATTGTGGAGCGTTCGGCAAAAAGAGAAGGGGACCGATAGGGAAGGTAGAGGTAGGTTTGGTGTTAGATATTTAAGTCACTTTTGTGATCTAATATAAAGGTTGTGAGAATAACGGGTAATTCGCGGATTTTATGGTGGTAATTTGTATAATATAGGACATATGTAGCGCTGGCAAAATTTGCTCCCCTGATTTTCCTTTCGCTCCCCCGATATTGGAAAAGTACCGTCTCTTCTACTTTATATATAGTAGCTTAATATCAAATCCTGTTTGCAAAAAAAATAGAGGAAAAAAAAGCAATAATTACACTTCATTTTGACTTTGAAGGATGAAAATAACTTTCTACTTATGAACTGCGAGATTACGGTAGTTTGGCACTTTTTAGAAAACATGATTTGAGAGATTGCACACTCTAATCTAGCTATGTTTTAAAACTTTGACTCACCCAAAAACATTGCAGAAATCGGAATTGCTGAGTTTCGCGCAACTCTCACAACAATAAATCGTGTCCATATCATCACATTCGTTCTAAAAATTCTTGAGGATTATCCTCTTCATTTGTTCTCAATACTCTTTGGCAATTTTCTTCGATGTAGTGAATTTGACAGGATGAACAAGCATAATCCTGAGTGGCAGTTATAGAATAGGTTTTTTTAGAGATCACTAAAAGAGAAAAACTTGAAGCTTAAACATCGCTCAACACTCACAACTCCCGTTTGATGCAAGAAAAGCAATCGTTGAAGTTTTGAAGTCAAAGAAAAGAAATGCAGCTGGAAACTTTGGTAAGCTGTTGATGTTTTTTGAGACTCACGTTCTCCGGTAGAAGATGGATAACTGACGATATTGACTTGATCACTAGACAAGGTGGAATCGCGAATACTCAAAGGAACTTTATAGGAATTTGCTTGTAATTTGGTAATTTACGCGATTGTTTGATTCAAGATAGTTGCTGGTGGAAGACTGGAAGCAGGAGGGGATCTGGTTGTCTCAGTGATTCGATTTGTCCTTGTCGTTGTCCCCACAACCGATGGATTGGGAGATTTATCTTTGTCTACAACTTGATTGATCTATTTCTATTGCTTCTTGTACCTTTAAAGACAAAAAAGTGTAGACAGAGTCCAACAATGGTGAGAACAATAGCCACTGATACGATTACAAACAACCACATTAAAGCATAACGAAGCCATCCACTTTTCTCTATAGAAAAAGTTCAGATGTCATCAAGAATTTCTCACGTTTCTCCGTTTGATACTTTTGCTTCCAAAACGCTTCATATGATGGTGGGCTTGGTCTGATAAAGTTGTTCATTTCTTGAACGCGAAATCTTTAAAAACCTGGACTCGACGCTATTCATTTTGTTGCGAAATGTTCATAGTGATTCGGATATGAAATGAATTTGGTGAAGCTGGTGAATGATTGAAAAGTGTTGCTGAATGAGGTTTGGATCTTTTCGGGGTCAGCAGTAATTCTTAGTGAATGGAGAAGAGAAAAGGAGAAATGGTTTCTTTGTAAAGTCGAACAAGTGCCTGTAGAAGAAGGGAATCAAATGCTTATCATTTTCTTCTTTTTCTCCCAAAATTCCCTAAAGAACAAACAAAACGCTCGAACAACGAGAGGGGGGAAACATCAAATGTTTTTCCTTTTAAGATTAAACCAATTTTATACTGTTATTCTTAAATTTCCTTATCATCCGCACGAATTTTCTCAATTTGCAGTCTTTCAATGTCTCATTGACAGTAATTTTTGTATTTAAATGTCGAGTAAAAGGAAATAGCTCATTAAATGTTTCATTCATTTTCTACTCTACTTGCAAAATGGCCACTTAATTTATTCGAGCCAATCGCTTCACTACGAGACTTCTCGCCTCACTCGGAGCCGCTCTCTATGCTTTCACTCCACAGATTGTTGTTTATATTGTTTTGTTTTAACACATTTCCCATTTCGTCTTTTGAACTTACTTTGTTTTAGAGTACTTGAGCTCAAATTGCAGCTATAATATTACTTTCGCAACAAATTGAAAAGCCTACATTTTCTAATTTACCCGGTTAAAATGCTCTTCTTTTGTTCGTTTCTACTCTACTTGCAAAATGACCACTCAATTTATTCGAGCCAATCGCTTTACTACGGGACTTCTCGCCTCACTCGGAGCCGCTCTCTATGCTTTCGATTCACAGGTTGTTGTTTATATTGTTTTGTTTTAACACATTTGACCATTTCGTCTTTTGAACTTACTTTGTTTTAAGTACTTGAGCTCAAATTCCAGCTATAATATTACTTTCGATTTTGTTAGTTTAGCAACAAATTGAAAAGCCTACATTTTCTACTTTACCCGGTTAAAATGCTCTTCTTTTGTTCTTTATATAGTTTGTTTTTCAGGCTTCGATGTTCGCAAAGACTGACGCCGATTCGGAGACAGTGAAGAAAATCGAGGAAGCCTACAAGTAGCTGAATGGATCCGACGGAGAGAAATGCAAATCATTGTTGAAGAAACACTTGACAAAAGAAGTGATGGAGAAATTGAAGATGAAGAAGACAAAATTGGGGGCCACTTTGTACAATTGTATCCGCTCGGGAGTCTACAATCTTGATACTGGTGTTGGGGTTTATGCGCTTGATGCTGAGTCATACAAGGTTTGGCTTTGATTATTAATTCGCAATCTGTTATTTTAGGTTTTCTCTGACCTTTTCGAACCGATTATTGAGGATTACCATGGCTTCTATCCAATCAGAAGCACCCGTGAGCGAAAGACTCTGAGGGCGGAGTATTTTCCATCTCAAACAAGGTAATTTTTATTGTTGATTTTTAAGAACCATATGTTATTATTTGTTATAACTTAGGCAATTATTTTAGGCTCGTCTTGGTTTTTCGGAATACGAGGCGGTGAAGCAGATGTATTAAAGAAACTCATCGAAATGGAGGAGAAGGAAAAATGAATCGATACGAATCTTCGCTCGGTTCAACAAATGATTGTCATTGAACAAAACGGTTCAACAAATGATTGTCATGATCTATTCGAGTTCTTAAATAAAATGCTTTAAGCCTTTGCATGTATTTTGTTGATAAAATGATAAAAAGCAGAAACAAAGAAATCCATTTCTTACGTTTTGTTACATAGATTGCAATTCTTGACATCCCAATCGATGAAAGTTTTCCAAAACCTAATTTATTAGTCATATGTTATTTTTATGATCAAGGCGTGTCTATCACGATGATTTGCTTTGAATGGAGATAGGTTGAATGTTGAAAAAGAAGAAAAAGATTAGACATTGTCTATCTTTCTTCAAGAGAACTTCACACAATTGCCAAGAGTCGGAGATTCTTTTGAAGTCGAAACATGAGTGATTTTGGAAGAGGACTTATAGTTAATGAGAGAAGAGGGGAGCAAAAAGAGATATTGTTCTGTTGTTGTTTTTATGTATAAAAATGAGAGAGATAGAGAGAGGGAGGGAGCAATGGTGGGGATGAAAGCAAACGAAGTGGAACAACGCGTCTCTCGACACATACACACCCAAAAAATGGCAAAATGGGGAGCAAATCTGAAAATTTCGCCTAAAAACCGCATTTTCTCTCTCAATCAGCGCCAACCAAGGACCCAAAAAAAGCGATGGAAATGAATGGGGAATGAGAGAAATTCCCGAGAAATCCCTCACAAATGATCATCTCCTCTGTGATCTCTTTTTCTTTTCTTTTCTTTTCTTTTCCTTTCTATCAATTCGTTTCTCTTTTCTCCTTTTCTCCCCAACTTCAACCACATCATTTTACTCGGATTCTAATTTATTTCACTTTTTGACTGAGTTTAATTGCTCGTTATTGTTGAGGTTTTCTCTCTTTCTTTTTTTGGGATTCTAGGGCCCAGATCGTACTGTCCTTGCAAGCGCACGCTTTCTGCCACACTCACCCATTTATTTTACGCTGCTCATTTTGAGAATGTTTATAAAAACTAGCAATTAGATGCGCTAGCAAACGTACGTTTTGTTCAAGCATATGATTAGAGCAAACGTACGTTTTGTTCAAGCACGGCAAGTTGAGAATCCTCAACTTGCCGTGCTTAGATTTTACCCCATTCTTGTAATCCAGAAATTGAGCTTTCAAATCTGTCCATTGTTTTATAAAACCGATCTTATCAAATAACGATTTCCTCATTTTCAGATAAGAATCGTGTCTCCGATCTGAAAAAGAGAATCCTCAACTTGCCGAGAAAAAGAGAGTGATCTCTAGATATTATGGGGATGGGCAGAAATGGTGCCATTTGTGTCATTTCCTCCATTTATCTCATAGCTGTCATTGGAGCATGGATTGGCCTTCTCTACATCATTCACGATCTTTTCGATCTCAAACGCGAAATCTCTGATGGGGTACACAATTTCCAGGTGAGTACTAGACATGGGGAAATGCCAAGCCGAACCTAATTCCACCTTCGTTTTCCTCGGCCGTTTCTTGGCTGATTGCTCTGAAATTTTGTCTACAAGCTGAAGAAAGGTTGATTTCTATCTGTAGACAAAATTTCAGAGCAATCAGCCAAGAATCGGCCAAGAAAAGGAAGGTGCTTATTGACTGCTTTGGCTCTAAACTTTTGGCTATTTATTTTTGGAATAAGATTCAAAATATCTACAGGCTGCCCACGATGAGGCGTGGACAAGAATTCATTCGGAGATGCCATTGAGTGAAAGGCGAAAAAAGGACAATGAGGAAAAAGAGAGTGAGTTTTGAAAGAGCCACATTTCACCCGACAAATTTGAGTCGCGATAGCTTTACTAGTATGAAAATTCTCAATTAAGAATTTTTTTGATTGACTCAATTCGTGCAACATTGACTGAATTGACTCAACTAAGCCATTCAGGAGAAAAAGAGCGAAAGAAACGAGAAGTGAGAGTGACATATCGGGAAGTGAATAGCCCGGGTGGGAGAGTGTTCGACAGCGGGAATGCATTCACATCGGGATTCGGAAATTCCCCGTCAACATCCAGTGGATCCGGTGAGTTCGTGGGGGATTGATTGAAAGATTTTTGAGGATTTCAGAAGATTTCCTCGATTTGGATCGAATGCTTCGAGGATTCGGTATCGACCCGAATCCCGCACAGAAACAAGGAGGAGGTCAGTTTTGAGAGATGAGACAGACATACAGACTTACTGTAGACAGACAGACAGACCGACAGACAGAAAGACAGACAGACAGAAAGGCAGACAGACTTACTGTAGACACTGATCTTTTATTTACTAGATACAGATCTCATTCAACATATTCAGGTGGTTGTTCTCGTTGTCCATCGACTCGTCTTATGAATCTTCCCACTTATAAAGCTTCATATAAATATGGGCAAAATCCGGGCACTCTTCACATCAAATTTGGTGGTGGATTTGGTGGACAACCACAGGTTTGTGTGATTGGAGTGCATTTTTTTTCGCTTAATTTGAGGTATTTAGAGATTTTCTATCAGATAAGATGAAAAAAGCCTTTCATAGGCACGAAATTTGCTTAAAATTTTGTAATTCTGCTAATCAAAAACCCACAAAACACACTGGTGAACCAAATCCCCCTTTCATTGGGCACAACTCACTCGCACAACTTTTTTTGGCTTCCACCAAAAACTTTGCGCACACTCATCTCGCTCACGATTCACATTTAGACGATAGATTTGAGACCGGGTGAGAGTGTGCAAATCTCGGGCACAATCTCTTATCCACAACCAACACAACAGCCATGTCATCGATGTGAAAGCAGAACAAATATAAAACAACAAACCCCACAACGGGCGATTTCTCAAGCCAGAACTGATCAAGAGAATGTGGATGACTTTGGAGGAGGAGAAACGGATAAAAAACAGGTTAAAGAATAGTTTGGGTGCACAGTGCACAGTTTTGAATCACGGGATCACTTGAAATCTATCTAGATGTCAAATATTACAGTATTATCACAAAAGTTACTTACTTTATATCACCAATTCACTGATAAGCTCACCAAAAACCTATCACTTTTTCTTCAGTATGACTTTCAGTATCAAAGTCTTGAGTAAAAGCGTTGACGTTTTCTAAAACACTTTCAAAAACTACGGTAATCTTATTTCTATGACAACTAATAGCTACAATAGTTTTTGAAAGCTTTTTAGATAAGATATTAAGAATAGAAGAAGACACCAGTCTTGACTTGAAGTCTTGACTCATTCAACTAATTCAACTAACGCTTTTTTTTTCAGGTGATTCAAGTACACGAGAACAACAAGGATACCTTTCAATTACCGGATGATCTTGTCACTCAATCCCCGTATCAACCACCGGCAAGACCACCAGTTTCTGATGAATATTCATCCGAAGAAGATGGGGGAAGTCAAGAAAATAATAAACAATTTGAAGAGGAATCGACTACAGCCGGATTTCCAGAGTTGCCACAAACGCCGGGGCCATACATTCCACAAAGGTATCCTTTAAGAAAATTTCTGTAATCATGTTAATCTCATCGAGTCTTTTTAGAGGAGGCGATGGTTATGTGCAACCACCAACAACTCAAGGATACGATTCCCCAACAACTCAAGGATACGATTCCCCAACAACTCAAGGATACTATTCCCCAACAACTCCTCAACCAAGCTATATTCGACCATCTTATGTCACGAAAACGACTCCTGGATATGCTCGTCCATCATATCCATCATATAACACAACTCCTTATCCAAAAAGAAAACCGGTTGATGAGTCAGAATCATCTGAGGTTCGTTGAAGAGAAATCTCAAATCAAATGTGATTTTAGGAAGAAGGCGGTGAGGAAAGAAAGGGATCGACAAAAGAGGAGAATTCTTATATAGCGACGACACCTGGATATGCTACACATTGTCATTGTACTTGCCCAATGGTACCACCTGAATCATGTCCACGAGGACCACCTGGTAAAAATGAAATTGGTAATGTATAGAAACAATTTGCAGGACCTCGTGGACCACCAGGAGACAAAGGACCCCCTGGCCCGATTGGTGGACACGGACCACCGGGCAAACCTGGACCCCCATGTGATGAGATTATGTATAGTGGATTTGGAGGGAAACTCGCGGCAATGAACAATCCGAATTCGCCTTTCTTTGGCAATCGACCAACCACGTATAGCAGAGAAAAAGGACGATACTGTATTATGTGTGAGATGGGAAATCGAGGACCCCAAGGACCGAAGGGACCTTCTGGAAAACCCGGGTATGATGGACTAGGGTTAATAGATTTAGATCATTCTAGACACAAAGGCTTCAAGGGACCTCGCGGAGAATCGGGACTTCCAGGCAAAAATGGAAAACCCGGTGCACCGGGCATAAAAGGACCACCTGGATCGGATGGGCTTCGCGGATTTGAGGGACCGCCTGGAGCACCCGGATTGGTCTATACAAAAGGTTTTTGTTTAGATGAAAAGGATTGAAAGTGAGAATTTCAGGGCAACAAGGACCTCCAGGAAATCCGGGCAAAGGTGGACCACCGGGAGATTCAGGAGCACCGGGAGTTAGTGGACCACCAGGGAACCCTGGATACTCTGGTCCACCTGGGCCCAATGGATTCCAAGGGCCAGAGGGACCTCCTGGACAACCAGGTGATTGAAATAATAAATGGAATTTGTAGAAAGATCACTTCTAGGAGAACCGGGTCCACCAGGTCGACCGGGAGACGATGGAAAGTATTGTGATTGTCCGCCGGGAAGATCTCGACCAAGGCCAACCACTCCACAAACATACATTGTGCCGACAACGCCACCCACTTATCCGATGGTGAGCGGGGGATGAACTCGGCTTTTTTTAATTGACATCCAATTTTAGCCACCAACCTATCGAACGCAAACTTATCCGGGGTATATCCACGCACCAAGCAGATATATTTCGGTGGTAAGTTGGACAAGAGTGTCTCATTGGATTTACGATTCGTTTACTTTCAAAAATTACTTTCAAGGTGTACTTAGTTATTATATTTCTTTCAGCAAAAGAAAACCTACTCATTCGTTTACTTTCCAAAAATCAAGGTGTACTTATTTATTATATTTCTTTCAACAAAAGAAAACCTATACATTCGTTTACTTTCAAAAATCAAGGTGTACTTAGTTATTATATTCCTTTCAGCAAAAGAAAACCTATACATCGTTTCAACCACCCGCCATTCGATATGGTCGATATGGATAAAATGAGAAATAGAAAACGGAAAACCATTTCTGAAAATTGTCGATCTCTTGTCTTTTTCTTTTCTTTTATATAGACCCCTCCCGGGTTTTTGGGTCTTTTCTATATCAATCTTTTTTTTTATATTAAAGCCATTGTAAAGTACCAGTCTCTAGACTCACTACAATACGCTAGAATGAAAGGATTCGGCTTCAATAATATTCAATAAAATATTATTGAAGTATTGTTGTCAGATCGACTCGGGGTTTCTTTTAAAATGATCCTTATCAAAATTTGGTTATAGAATATTCAAGAAATAGTCTTTTCAAAATATTTGATTTCGGTGTCTGTAGTGAGAAAGGGGAAAAAGTTGATTTGTTCACTGCCATTTCATCAAAAAGCCTTCTTGAGGACTTTCAACAATTCATTTTTGTGTACAGCTAAAGAAATGCTTTTCGAATATTATCGATTTTTGTTTGTGATTGAGAAATGACATTAAAAGAGAGAGAATTTTGGTAGAAATCGGTGGGGAGAATCTCAAATAGAACATTCAAGTATAACTATTGAAAGATGAAAGATATCATCAAAAAGAAACAGTTTTTTGATAGAAAAATTTCTCGATTTCTCACTGGGGATTTTGTTGTTTTAAGTTGAAAAAGAGAAATGAAATTGGAAGTGATTAGTGATGTGGAACTGCAAAAGATATCAATTTTTGTGTTTTGGGAGAGAAGATTGGATGAGAAAAGCTTGAAAGAAAGAAGATTTGCCGTGTTTGGTGTGAAAATTGGGTACATTTAATACGATAGACCGATTTCGTTTCGTATTTCGTTGGCTGACATCATTGAGTTCGACACAATTTGTCCGATATGGCGTTTGTCTCGGGGTGTCAGAATCGGCTTCCGTCCAGTCGTCTTCTTAGTTCCATAATTCAGTGGATTTTGAAGGTATTGATTGATGACGTTGTGCGAGCGACCAAGTTGTTCGGCAATTTTGCGATTGCTGGGTCCATTTGCGGTCCATTTGCGTGTAGAACGTCAACTTTTCCCTGCTCCACCAGCGTCAACGCATTTCCTCGGCCCATTCTAAAGGAAAAAGTTAGAATCTGTAGAAAAATAAAATTTGCATGCAAAAAAAGAAAAAATAAAAGAACAAATCAGCAAGAAAGTGGCAAGGCATTAAGCGCATAAAGTGGTGGACCTATCATTTTGATAAAGTGGTGGACCTATCGGTTTTTACCTCAATTTTTGAGTTTTTCCAAAATACTCAAAAATTTTACCGATAAAAACTTTTTTAAACTTTTGAATATTTATCAAGAATCAAATTAAAATTCATCTACAAATATGGATTTTGATTTTGCTTGATAGTTTTTGAGAAATCGGGTGGACCTATCATTTTGACGCGCACTGTATACCGCTCATTCCTGCTTTAGACTAAACCTCTGGATCCATGTAATTGTTGGTAAAAGAACAAAAAATAGAAACAAAGAATAGAAACAAAGAAATACTAACTCGTTAGATATTGAACGTCCGTTATCGAATCTATTCAATAACGGACTTTTATTGAATATTATTGAAGCCTTTTTTTGAATCTATTCAATCAAAGTGTAGGTTGGACGATTCAAAAACGGACGAAATTCAATAAAGAACGTAACATAGATAGTTCTTGACATCCCAATCGATAATCATGTTCTGATTGGAGATACTCTTTGATTTACTAGCTCTACAATCTTGTAGAATTGTAATTAAAAGGGAAAGTCTCCTTCTACTCTACCAGTCTACTTCTACTGTACCAGGGGCTCGCCAACCTCGATATTCTGATCCCGGTCCGATGAGTACGATGAGAAGCTAGGCGAAAAGCTAGGCGAAAAGCTAGGCGAAAAGCTAGGCGAAAAGCTGGGCGAAAAGCTGGGCGAAAAGCTAGGCGAAAAGCTAGGCGAAAAGCTAGGCGAAAAGCTAGGCGAAAAGCTAGGCGAAAAGCTAGGCGAAAAGCTAGGCGAAAAGCTAGGCGAAAAGCTAGGCGAAAAGCTAGGCGAAAAGCTAGGCGAAAAGCTAGGCGAAAAGCTAGGATAGATTCAAAATTTCCATTTAAATTACTGACAAGAGATTTCTTTACGCGAGTTTTGTTTTATTTTTAAATTCCCATCTGCCCTAATTTCGGTTTGTTTTTTAAAATTTGCTTTTTTTTACATTAAACTCTAGTTGTAAGGTTACTTTTTTGAGTGCAACGGTTAATTGTTTATTTCAAGTGCATAAATGTCGAGAAATTCTGCGAAATCACCGGATCAAAAACCAAAGTAAGATCTATTTTGTTAAGAAAGTTAATCTTTTATATAATTTGTGCAGGTTTAACTATTAATTTCTTTTTATTTTGTTTTTAGAACTGTTCAACCGCGAGTGGGAAGGTCAAAAGGGAGACAAAGCGGATCGAAATCGAAGGTATTTTGTCGACATTTCGAAATTGTAATAAATTTTAGTAATAAATTCGAATCTAATAGTTTTAGTAGGGTTATAAAATATAAAGTATGGTGTTGTTTTGATAATTTATCTATTTTTAGGAACGTATCCCGTCTAGTGAAGGTTCCGGCATATTCGGTGAGTGTTTTAACAAGTTTTGTTAGAAAAAAATATATACTACCTATATATTAAGCTCTAAATATTAGAATTTCTATTTGTTTAGGTCATCTTCAAAACATCTCGCGCAATTGGTATACAAAGGTAGATTTTTTTAATTTTGTTAGTCAGTGTAATAAATAAATTTTTATCAATTATTCATGTTCCTCTTTAGATTTTCTCGCAAGTTGAGTCAAAAGAGGTGATTGCTGGGGATAAACAAGGAGTGGTGAGTGAATTTAATATTGATATCTTTAAGTATATTCATTTTTAGTTGAACTCGTCTACCGAAGAAGAATTGCGCAAGATTTTCCACACGCATAAGGAGGTTTTCCCGGAGAGCTGGGTGTCAGTGAGTTTTTAGCTTTGATTTATGAATAGACCTAATAGAAAAGAGGTTTAATTTTATCCTTTTAGCAGATTGCTAATGTTATATAAATACTAGTTCATTTGATGTGTTTTCTTTAATTTTATTCTTTTAGCAGATTGCTAATGTTATATCAATACTAGTTCATTTGATGTGTTTATTTTTAGGCAGACATGCCCGACACGCCGCATGCCGACTACGAGCGAGTAACGCTTTCACATGGAATTCGTGTTATTGAGGTGCCCACCGTTCGAATGGTTTGTTATTTTTGCTTGCACATAGATCTAGTTACAATAAAGAGTCATATGCAGAAGCTGTTAGTCGAAAAGATTTTAGCTTTAGAAGCTCCAACCGCGTCTCTCTAGCGGCATCAGCGATCCTTGGCGCAAATACGGACCCTATTTGAAGCTTTGTGAGGTTGGAATTTATAAAGCTTTACAGGCGTTTTTTATTAAATTTTGAGTAATATGTTTCTAATTTAGATTGGCGGTACGGGAGTGCGGTTAAATCGCGAAAAAGAGCTGCAAGTGTACACGATCGAGAAGGGAGCCGCTCCACCACCACCACCGGGTCGGTTTAAATTGATTTGTACTAAATAAACGATTATAAATCGTCTTTGAGAGTAATCCAAGAATTTATTTGCTTTAGCTAGAAAGCCAATCATGACAGCCGATGAGGTGGAGACGCGTTTGGAGCAACGACAACTCATCCAAGCACAACGGCAGCCACAACAACCTCAACAACAAGCACGACAAGCACCAGAAGAGAACAGTCAAATTTGCTCGTGGGTTATTTTGGAAGTATATGGCATTTTAAAGATAGATAAAGTATACAGAAAGTATGCTGTTTCATTGATGTAGAACGATATAAACTTTTATCTTTAGGGAGAATCGCAAATCGAACAACGGAAGCCAGGTAAATTTGATGCATTTAGTTTAAAGTTAGTTTTTTCTTCAGGACAAGTCCAGTGCCAATTCCAGGAAGAAAATCGTCCAGAGAACCGCAAAATCATCAAAATCTGGGGTATTTTTTAAAACTTCAATATTGATGATTTTGAGCCAGTTAGCCAATTTTGTTTTTTCAAGTTTTGATTCAATTTGAGAACTTTTTAGAATAGCACGCTTAGCAGCGAGAAAAGAACAGGAAAAATGTTAGCTTTTTTGAAAAATTGGATGACTTAATGCGTAATATTAGACGTTTATCGCTTAATCTAGTAGGTTTTACATTTATACGGTTTGTTTTGTTAATTCCAAAGTTTAGTGTGATTCGCGCCGCACAAAACACCTCTTCAACGTGAATTTTTAAGGAAAGATGATGAAAATGGCAGTGAATTTATTTGTTTATGTTTCTTTCGTTTTATCCCATTTATACTCGAGTTTTGTGATCTTTAAAAAGTAAACTTCAATTTTGAAAGGCAACGAATTTGTTTTTCTGTTATTTTCTTGTACTTGATTGGGCTTGGGTGAATAAGCCTGCCCATTATTTGTACGCCAGCCCATTATTTAGGGATGAATTCTTTGAAAGAAAGATGAGATCGCGCAATAGGACTCATCGTTCAAAGAGAGAAAGAGAGCTGTGTAAAGCCTTTAGGATCCACTTTGAGACGATTTCCAGTTGACGAAAAGAAGAAAGGAAAATCCCCATTTTGACCCTTTTTTCTTTTCTTGGGTCAAATGGCATCTTTCCTCTTTTCACTTTCAGCAAAGAAAGTGGCACTAAATTTAACAAAAAGTCACTTGCTCACCGGTTCTCTAGGCTTTCATTTATTGGTGGTCCTTGAAGAATTGAAAGATTTGAAAGATTTACTCATTTAGAATATCCTCAAATCTTTTTCCATATTATGACATGTTCTCTTCATCATTAGTAGTCTTGTTTATTTTTCCCATCATCAATAATTCATCTCAAAATTGTTTCGATAATTAGCTTTGAGTGGACTCTTGAAATGAGACACAGCTGAGCGGTTATTATATATATCGAAATAGGATTTATTGTAAGGATTCATCAGCTTGCAATACTACAGGCAAATTCCTCGATTGAACTTTCGGAATATTTACTGAATACTTTTACTCGTCGTGCATTATCGACCCCCGTTACAGTAACCGGACATTGCAGGTTTTCTAGCTTGCAGGTTTTCTAGCTTGCAGGTTTTCTAGCTTGCAGGTTTTCTAGCTTGCAGGTTTTCTAGCTTGCAGGTTTTCTAGCTTGCAGGTTTTCTAGCTTGCAGGTTTTATAGCTTGCAGGTTTTATAGCTTGCAGGTTTTATAGCTTGCAGGTTTTATAGCTTGCAGGTTTTATAGCTTGCAGGTTTTATAGCTTGCAGGTTTTATAGCTTGCAGGTTTTCTAGCTTGCAGGTTTTCTAGCTTTATCAATTTCTTGATTGATTATTTTCATTGCATCTTAAGCACTAATGACATGTACACCGTCAAAAAAACAATAGACTAAAAGCTTTCAATCTTGATCGAGGGGGGAAATAAATGGCGTTACAATGAGTGACACACAAAAGAGATTGGGAAAAGGAGAGTATTTGAGGGTGATTTGGACAGGGGATCACATCACTATGATCACATTTTTCCAGTTGAACAACATTATCAATCAGCGTTTTGCATCTTTCTTAAAAACAGCTGGCAGAACTTTTGAATGTTTAAAGAAAATCGAGATTCAAGTTTTTAGAGACACAGTAGCCCGTAATTTGACTGTTTTAGAATTTGAAAGATATTCAGCTTTGACATCTCGATATGGCTCTGACTTTGGCTCTGAATGTTTAACTTAAATCTTCAGACCCAATGAACAATCACTTATATCCATCAGTCGATGAACAAACGCGTTTTCTGTCGGATCCCACCTCATATTATGGAACCTATCCGGGTGGGTGTTTGATAGAATTGTAAATGAATTTACATAGAAATTAGCATATCTTAATGCGGCCCACTTTTAGCCACAATCGAGCCAATCTATCGCCCGCCGTTAATCGGAAAAGATTCCTATCGACCGCAAATCGTACTCCGACCCTCGAACTCGTTTCCCAGTGATACGGTAATTTAGATATTGCATAAGTAAATCGTATTTCTAGAGCTCAAAAGCTGTCACTTGTCTATCGGCGTCACTCTCGATAATCTCCCCGTTGATGGCCGAATTTGTGAGCGTTTTCGTGACGCTTTTCGTTTTCAATCATCTCGACACCGAGCTGGCTGTGGTTTGTGGTTTGAAAATATTGAAATATAAATGTTTTAATAATAATTATAGGCTTAAAATTAAACAAGTTATATTCCACAAAATCTCGATATTTTCTAGATGCACACAGCGTCACTCAATCGCTCATCGATTCTCGCTCTCACGCACGCCGTTTGTTTCGCCGTTTTCGCGTCCGCTTTTAAAACGTTAGTTCTTTTTAATGGATTTTATATTCATTAAGTCAAGTCTAAGCTTGTTTTGATATTATTGAGAGGCTGTAATCTGTAGATTGAGAGGCTGTAATCTGTAGATTGAGAGACTGTAATCCGTTATTGAGAGTCTGCAATCCGTTATTGAGAGACTGTAATCCGTTATTGAGAGACTGTAATCCGTTATTGAGAGGCTGCAATCCGTTATTGAGAGACTGCAATCCGTTATTGAGAGGCTGCAATCTGTTTCACCATGTACAATAAAATTTTAACGATGTTGATTAGGAGAAATTGAAATGAAGAACTTGAAAGATATTCAATCTAGCTGAATACGTTGCCTGTTTATTGAGAGAACTTTTCAATTCCTTTACTTTATCCAGATGAATCCAGATTTCCAGTGTCCACCTCTCTCCAGCTGTCACTTTGACTCATCTTCTCACTGGATCAACCTCTCAATTATTTTGTCTTCTCATTGTTCCTACTCAATTTCTTGCCGGCTTTTTAGCTGTCATAGCTAATGTTGTGAGTTATTTAGTCTGTTCTGAGCTATATTATATTACGAATACTACAAGCTCGGCAATATCCGTGACTCTCTGGGGCACTGTAGCTAAACTGTAGCTTTACTGTAGTTCTGTAGCTGGGTACTATAGCTAAGCTGTAGCTTTGCTGTAGTACTACAGCTAAAGAACGATAACTTTGTGGTAGTATTGTAACTTTACTTTAACTAAAGGGTTGTGACTACTGATTTAGCTTTATCATAGCTAGATTCTGTAGCTATCAACAATTGAAAAAGCTTTGGATTAGGCTTAATGGGATTTTGAAATCTTACATTAAACTTTCAACTTTAGAACCTTCGTTCTGCCTCCTCATTACCACCACCTCCTTCTTTAAAACATGATCTCTCGATTCCGTGGACAAATGCAGCCTATCAATTAGTATAATTAAAAGATGACTCTAAATGACAATGTCTTTAGATAATTTCTCAAATGATCGGATCGTTTTTAATCTGTTCTTCGCATGTTTCAAGTTTTGGTGTGAGAAGAGAGGATGATAATCACAATGGCTTCATTTTGTCTCGTTTCCGAATATCTGCTTTGCTGAATCCGGCCGTACCGCTCTTTTTGGCCACAGCTATTGCTTCGTTTTTGAGGTGAACTTCAAAAGAATCATGTGAAGTCGTACAATTAGTTTTTCTAGCTAAGTAATCTGAAAGCTATTCAATAACATCGACATACCGTAGTTAGATGAGAGCTTTTTACCGTATCTCTCAGCAATTTCAGTCTAATTCAATCGTCAGTGCCTTGTTGTCCTCTTCAAGCTTTCTCATTGTGTGCCTATCGTTTCGTCGACAATTTCGCCGATCACTCATTCACTTCGCATCACATTTATTGGATTGGTCCTATTGTGGGATCGCTTTTAGCGTGCGCCATTTGCAAGTGAGCATTGTAAAAACGAATTTTTCAATCATTTATGCAGATTTCTTCTTTCCCCAAAATATTTCATGGATCGAAATTCGGATATCTAATAGTGAAGGATGAAAAGTATTGTATTGTAAGTGTAAGAAAAGTATTGTGATTCCTAGTTTTCCTATTTTTTTTTGTTGATTTTATCGATTTCCTGTGAGAAACGTTATTTTGATTTTGATGAGAATTTTTGATGATTTTGATGTAATTTGCAAAGCATGTACTCTTTTTTTTTTTCAATGAAATCAATCGGTATAAGGGTATCAAAATGTGGATACGTTTAAACAAAAGTTGATTTTAAAAGAAAACAAAATAAAGATTTAAAACATAAAAAACATAAATTCACTCCTATTTTCATCATCTTTCTTTGAAATTCTAAACGTTAAGATTGAATTCTTTGCCTTAGAAAGCCTAAGAAAGCCTAAGAAAGCCTTAGAAAGCTTAAAAAGTCAAATCTTCCTTACGTTTTTCCACACACGGTATTGCGGATTTGATGTAAAACTCTTGTAACAAAAGATTATGATGAGATTCAGGTAAAATCATTAACATTATTCATGGTGTTATCTTGTAGATCTTAACCTTGTAGAACTTGTAGAGCTTTAAGCTAAGCTTAGGCTTAGCTTAAAGCAATTTAAGCGCTTTTGCAAGACAAAATGGGACTTCTGTGCATGAATAAAGAAATGGTGCACAATAAATAAGAGTTGAAATAAATTATAAAAAGTTGTAAGGGAATCCCTAGCGTAATACCTGTAATAGTATCCCCCCCCCTATAATGACGGTCGGAGCGTCGCGTAGTCTAACTTTAAACGCACTTTTCTCGCCACCTGTTTATGCTACAGTTTGCGCTTAAGTATCAAATGAAAGCTGAAATTCAGGGCTATTTTTTGATACCTAAAATGTATTTTTAGAAATTATGAGCGCTTAGAAAAAATGATTTAATAAAATTTTTTGCGACTACACGACTGTACGGGGGGGGGGGCGCTACTAGAAGTATTACGCTTTTAGAAGTATTACGGTAAGGTTTTCCAAGAGGCACCTATTTACCGTAAAAAAAAGTTGAAATAGACATTTTTCTGTACCTGGAATTGTCTCAAAAACAGCAAAAAGGATTTATTAATTGTTTGGTCGTATTTTTGACAGGCAATTTGCGGATTCCTCTTTCGTAGTAGGATTTTGGTTTGTGTGTGAGACAAGTGTGAGACTCAAAAATGGAGAACTGGAATGGAGAACCCAGTTTGGGCACTTTCCGGATGAGTTTGATGAGTTCTCTTTTAAATAAAAAAAAAGTCAACAAATCACTTTGAAAGTGAACGTGAATCGATGTGGATGGGGAAAGGGAGAAAGGGAGAAAGAAAAAAGAAAAAAAGAAAGAAAAGGAATAAAAATGTTTTGTTTGTCTCTCTATTCTCTCTATTTTCCGTCTGTTTTTCGCAAAAAAAAAAAGAAATTTCCCCGATAATTTCGATCAATTTTGATGATGATTGAAGTTTTTCTTGATTTTTTTACTTAAAACTATCTTTTCATTTGGATATCTCAAGTTTTTTTAGACTTTTTCAAGTAAATCTACAGTGAGTAGTGAGTTTTCGGTGAAATATTTCAATTTAGCCAAACAACACAGCCAAAACTTTCGCAAGAAGTTTATTTTTCTGCTATTGTCCTTGATAGTTCACGAAAATGTCCTTTTCAATGAACTCGGAAGAAAAACATTCACAAGTCACATTCATTTTTGAAACATTATGTTTTAGTTTAATCAAAGCTATGAAAGCCTTTAGCACTAAAGTGGCTAATGTTCTTGTTCCTTTTCTTTTCTTGTCCTTGTTTTTCTTCTTTCTTTCTTTCTTGTTCCTTGTCTTTTCTAAAATCTGTGAGCTTTCGAAAACTAATGTAATCATCTACTTATCTACTCTATCGTTTTTAACTTTAGTTTATCGTTATGAAAATTCACAGAATCGGATCACATCGTTGAACAAAGAGCTATAAGCCGAAATTTCTTAAAATTACCACATTTTAGCAATCACATTGAGCAATTATTGTCTAAAGTTATGAAGAAATTGTTTTATAAAAAGTGTGAAAACATTCCGAACTTCTCCATTCCATCTATTCTCCTTGTTTATCCACAAAAAGCTTCACTTTTTTTTTTGAGAATAGTTCAGCCATGTGCCCACTTTTTTTAAAAAATATAAACGAATTCTTTTGTTTATCGTTTGATCATTTGATTGTTTATGTTTTCTTTGTATTAGAAATCACGAAAGCAATCAGTTAGAATCAGTTAAAATTTTCAATTTTTAGACATTTCCCGTTTTTTTCTTCAATTCTTAATTATTCCATTTTCAGATGAAATCCCTATTCATTCTCGTCGTTTTCATTTGTTTCTTAGCCGTTTCATTCTCGGCTGATCGCGAATTTTGTGTTGCTTGTGAGCCGTTCATCAACGATGTTGTTGAATACAAGAATGAGAATCCCGATAAATTCGTCGATGTTGGTAATTTGAGAATAAAAGAACTGACAAATGAGCTGACAATTAGGTAGCTTCAAATTTCGATTTAGAATTTATAAAGATTAGAAATCTTGTTTTTGAGTGAAATCAGTTTTGAAGATTTTGAAGAATTCATTCAAAAACAAGATTTGACTTAGCACAATAACTTGTCGCTTAGCTTAATCGATAGCTTAATCTATCTTAGTCTAAGCTATCTTAATCTATCTTAGTCTAAGCTATCTTAATCTATCTTAGTCTAAGCTATCTTAATCTATCTTAGTCTAAGCTATCTTAATCTATCTTAGTCTAAGCTATCTTAATCTATCTTAGTCTAAGCTATCTTAATCGATATCTTAACCTATCTTAATCTAAGATATCTTAATCGCATAGCTCTTCTCTTCAGAAAACGCGTAAAGCGCGTAAAGCAAAATCAAGATATCGAAATCTTGACAATAACTTGTCCCTTAGCTTAATCGATATCTATCGATCTTAATCTATCGTAATCTATCTTAATCTAAGCTATCTTAATCAGCTTAATCTTAATCACTTAATCTTAATCGCTTAGCTCTTCTCAAATCTCTTCTCTTTAGAAAGAAGAGATTAAAACATAAAGCGCGTAAAGCGTGTAAAGAGTGTAAAGCAAAATCAAGATTTGACTTGACAATAACTTGTCGCTTAGCTTCAATCGCTATCTTCATCTATCGTAATCTACCTTAATCTCTATCTTAATCTATCTCAATCTAAGCTATCTTAATCGCTTAATCTTAATCGCTTAGCTCTTCTTAAAGCTCTTTTCTTCAGAAAACACGTAAAGCTTGCACGAAGCGCTTCAACATGGTCTATCCGACATTCTGCAAAACACTTGTCACACCACAAATCGATGATATTAGGGTAAGAAAATAAGAAATAAGACTGATTTTTCTTACAGTATTCTAGAAATAACTGAAATATATTGATATTCAGGATAAACTCCAAAAGAATCTCCCGGTTAAACAAATCTGTCGCGGATTGAGAATGTGTTGAAGATGAGGAAAAGCGATTCAAGAATGTAAATAAATTTGAATAAAACGATTACTTAATTTGTGAACTCTTAAATGACGACAACTAAATGACGAAAAACATTGACTAGCTCTGTGAAATGAGAAAAGAAGAAAAGAAGAAAGAAAAAACACACAAATCAGATGCCTTTTTGTATATTTTTTGGTGTCAGCAGAGAAATGGAAAAGAAAAGTGATAAACAGTCAACGGGGGAACCGATTTTTTTTTTCCCTTTTAAAGAAGATATTTTATTGTTTTTTTCAATGCAATTTCTGCTTGTGCTTTTGATTTTATTATGGGAAAATATTGATGGAAAAGTTGTGGGTAATGGTTCGTTTCGAAGTAATTTTTTTATAGATTTAGTGTTGTGAGTTAAAAGCTTTGATAATTTGCATATTTTTATGTCATTTTTAGGCTGTTTAAAGCGTCAAATCGATCCAAACGATTCAACGTCGATTGTCTGTGTTTGTAATATCGATCAATGCCATCAAATTGTATCTGAAAAGGTGGCGGCTTTTGATTGTGATCGTAATTCACAAGCAACAATTCCTTTCGACTAAACCGTTAGTACTTTCCCCTATAACGGGGGAGGGGGGATTTTTCTCTTTACCTTATTTCGATTGTCATTTAAAGTGAACAACATATTTCAAAAACTTTTCCAGGAAACGGCTCATCACATGGTTTCACAGTTCACTTGCGGTGGGCCAAAAAAAACTCGCAAGTCAGACGAAACACATTTTCCCTCTTTCGTCACTCCCGCGTTTCGCTGGCCCGTGTTTCGTCTGGCTACCGAGTTTTTTTTTGACGAGTTAACTGGGAAACCGTGATGCCTCATATCCTCATATCCACATATCCTTATATCCTCATATCCGCTTATTCGCAAACACGAACACGAATAATACGGACACATGGAGGGAGTGTGGCGTCTCACACTTGGCACGCCGTGTGGACATCGTTTGATGCAATTCCGGAGGACATCAAGGCTTTTTGGCCACCTGCTACTCCCTGGATCAATTGCCTTTTACCAATAAGCCCATGTTTGAGTGAAATAAATTGTTGTTGTAGAATTTCCTTTACTGAGTCTAAATAAGGTGCAGACCCCCCTCCCCGTTATAGGGAAAGTACCAAACCGTTTTCTAAAACGTATCAATCTTTGAAAGTTATCGTAATCCTGCTACAAACTTTTAGAAATCTATTTATTTTGAAACTATTTTTTTGAAAAGGTTGAAAACTGGCTAGGAACTAGGCATTAGAAAAGGTGAAAAAAAAAGTGTAAAGATAAGAGATTCCAAAAAATCACATTGAATTCAGCGGTATTTTGTGATTGTGAGAAAAATGAAGAATTTCAGGAAATTCCTAACCATTCTGCTTACTTTTATGAAACAACCGCATCAGGTCTTCGCTTAGAGAAATCGGAGATAAAAAATAACACAAATAACACGAAAAATGAATGGGATAAAATGGGATTTCGATTGAAAGTGATCACGACGGAGAGATTTCAAGAAATTATTGGATTTGGAGGTAAGAAAGGAGGTGTTTGATTGGAATTGATAACAAATAAATAAAAGGTGCGATGACTGATGCAGCCGCGATTAATATTGATCGATTGGATAATGAAGAATTGGAGGAGATATTGTTGCATTCATATTTCGGAGATCAAGGTAAAAGAATGGAGAGATTAATTAATGCAAATGAATCTAGGAATCGAATACAATGTCATTCGAATTCCGATTGCTTCATGCGATTTCTCAACTCGTGAATATTCGTATTTGAATACTCCGGGAGATTTCTCTCTCAATAGTTTTCATCTTGCCGAAGAAGATCAATGGAAAATTAAATTTATTCGAAGAGCACAAAAAATGGCTAGATTACCGATAAAAGTATGATTTTATGGGAAAATTGAATGAAAATCTAAAAATCTTTGAGAATTTCGGTAGTCCATGGTCAGCACCAGCTTGGATGAAAACAACAGGACATATGAAAGGCGGGGGGAAACTTCTGGAAGGAGAAAAATACTCGAAAACCTATGCTGAGTATTTTGTGAGGTGAGGAACAGTGGAATGTCTTCGAGTACTGATTTGAGATTCATCGAGGACTACACGGCACAGGGGATCCCCATTTGGGGTGTCACGATTCAGAATGAACCTGAAGAGGGTTCCGATGATAAATGGGAATGGCAAGCAATGTATTTCCCACCAGAAGTAATGAATAATCAAGATATCAACAGCTATTTATTCATTTAAGGATCAATCCGACTTCGTTGGAAGATATCTAGGACCGGCTCTCAGAAAATCAAATGTAGCTAATGGGACATTGATTATTATACATGATGGACAAAGACCCTCACTCCCAGAATGGGCTGATAGAGTAGGACGAAAGGGATAAAGAGTTAGACCTATTTCAGGCACTCAAAGATCCGGTTGCTGACCATTTTGCTTCTGGAATAGCCGTCCATTGGTATAGAAATACGAGAGAAAACGCTGACAGACTATCAAAGACAAAACAAAATCATCCAGAGAAGTTTATTCTGGCTACAGAGGTTGGAAAGAGTTTTGTGATTTGATAAGGATCACCTAGGCATGTACTGGATTTAACAAAAAAGGACCGATTCTCGGGAGTTTCTCTCGGGGAGAACGGTATGCCGAAGATATAATCGAGGATTTGCAACATGATGTCTCTGGATGGGTTGATTGGAATTTGGCTTTAGATTTACAAGGAGGTTATATGGAAAAGAATGACTATCAAGCGGGCAATCAAGAATTCAGGACCAAATTGGGTGTCGAATTTCGTCGATTCCCCAATAATTGTCAATCATACAGCAAAAGAATTCTATTTACAACCAATGTTTTATGCAATGGGACATTTCAGGTAAATTTGAAAGACAAAAATCTGTATATCTAAATATTACAGTAAATTTATCAAACCTGGCGCAAAAAGGGTTTCGATTAAGATGCAAAAAGTGAAAGATGTTCAAGGAATTGCTTTCATCAATCAAGATGGTAAATGCGAAGAAAGATTTTTTTAAAGTTAATGGAAATGGAAAGGCTTTTAGGTACTGTGGCTGTTGTTGTGCAAAATAAAGGAGATTTTGGAGTGAAAATATCGATTGAAGATGAAAGGGGAAAACAATATCGAGTGACATTGCAACAAAGATCCATCAATACTCTCGTTTATAAATAAGATTTTAAACTGTAGTAGATTTATTTCTGTGATAAAGATTTTAAAACTAATAATCTATTACCAAACGCGAGACATGTTTAAAGGTAAAAGTAGACAAGAGCCGTTGAAATCGGCGACAAATTAGAGCAAAATTTGCGGAATCGGTGGCTCCTAAAGATAAAAATGCATTCTTTTTAATCAAAAACCCGATATAAAACCTAGAAAACAAAGAACAAAACGCTACCTTCTTGTTTGGCTCCAGGTGTGCTCCTTGTCGATGATTCTCGAGCGTAACTCAAACCTAAACAAATAAATGTATTACCTGTAAGCTAATTGTAAAAAAAAATACAAAATAAGCATTAAAAACACGAGATTTGAAGCATTTATCATAAAAGTGGCAAATTTCTACATTTTCTCCGAAAAAAATGGATAAATCGATCTAATTTTGGTCTTTTTTGAGCACATTTGATGTGTATGGCCGCGCTCTAGGTGCAATAGATGAAAAAAGTGCAAAAACATTAGCAAAACCATAAAAACATGCAAAAACAACGCGATGGTTGAGAATATTAAAATCTAGTCGTGCTGAAATGAACGTTTTCAAGCATTTTTTTGGGCGGCGCTGATTCGTTCGCGCTGTTCTACAGTCATGCACAAAAGTCTTGTAACATCCAGTTTAGCAAATTTCAAAGTGTAATAACTTTTTTTGCAAAGAGGCGAATTCCCAAACAGTTTTTGGTTTTCAGTTGTCAAAAACTTCTATTTTTATATGCAAGAAAAACTTTAGTGAAACGATTAAAAAAAATTAAGAAAAACAAATAAAAACAAAAAACGGGCGTATTTTTGATGCTCAAAAGTCTTGTAACATTTGAAGTATTTTGCTTTTTTTTGTTTTTCTTAATTTTTGTTAATCGTTTCACTAAAGTTTTTCTTGCATATAAAAATAGAAGTTTTTGACAACTGAAAACCAAAAACTGCTTGGGAATGCGCCTCTTTGCAAAAAAGTTATTACACTTTGAAATTTGCTAAACTGGATGTTACAAGACTTTTGTGCATGACTGTAACTAGGTCCCGTAAACGCTAATGAGGAAAGAGTCATCTTTTCGATTACAAAATAAATAGCTGAATATTTTTTGCAATAAAAGTTGCTAAAATTCACTTCCCAAAAAGAATTTTTGTCGGCGAGTTTTGTAGCTGCAACATTTATTTCTTCATTAAGCAGCTGTGCTTTACTTCAAGAACATAGTTTTTGACTACTTTTTTGCTTTGTTGCTTGAATCAACTTGATTCTGGAAGTATTGTCACCATTTCTGTGGCTTTGATACTTAAAATGAACCGATAGTCGAATTGAGGCCTCAATTTTTATCAATAATTAATTGTTTTTTTTTCGTTTTTTCTTTATTTCAACAATTCTATTTTTTTAGAGAATGGGTGCAAAAGCTCAAAAGGAAGATGACGTCTCTTCGGTAAAATCATCGGATCACTCGACGACACATCCAGCTGGCAGTTCAAATGGTAAGTTTTTAAAATTTTAACGAATAAAAAGCTTTTGTTTGCACTTATCCGTAATTTTCGGTTTGATTACTGTTGCAACAGACTGTTGCTCATCAGATTCTTATCATAGTTCACGTAGCGAATTTTGATAGGTAAAAAATGGCACTCTCGACTCCTTTGCACTAAACAATCATGTATTTAGACGCGAGCAACTCACCCAACACATCAAGCACTGGAATCGAAATTGTCGAGCGGACGAAAACGGTTGTAGCTGGAGAAGGTAGTTATTTTTTTTTATGGGGCTTAAAACGAGAATTAAGAATGTAATCAATCGGGGGAGAAGTGTTTGTGGGATTTGTTCAATAAAATAAAGTCTTCAGATCTTGTAACTGCCGAATCACTGGAGACAAAAAGTCTTGGTATGAGTTTTAGATTGTTTGGAATACATATGTTTAGCAACCTTTTCATTTTCATCTATTTAGAAAAAGAAGAGAAAAAAGACGATATAGTGGACGCCGGTAAATCATAAGTCCATTGCATCTAATTGTATTTCTTTAGGTTCTGGAGATATCACGGAGCAAAAGAAGAATGGTTTAATGGATACAGATAAATTGGGTAACGTATAATTTTACGGCATCTAATCACATGTTCTTAGACTTAGGAGATATCAAAGAACACCGAAAGAAAGAACTCGAAACAATGACCGACCAAAAGGTATTTTTATAAGAGAACCTTTTCATTTTCATTATTAGAAAGTCGAGCGCACGTCGGCAATTTTGACCGCTGGATTCGAATTAGCTTATCGCTTCAAAGAGAAGCAGGAGCTCAACACATTCGCAGAAAAGATTCTCGATGGAAACTTTGTGGGAAACACGGATGCTGCTACCACCAAGGTTTTAGCTTTGTCTTTTTTCACTATTGATAACATGTAAATTTCAATTGGAAGCATTTTATGTTTATTCTTTTAGTCCTTGGCCGAGTATTGTCTTCTCCTTGATTCCGAACTTCGTGACGATTTGCTCACCATGTACACCGAGTTAAAGGGGAAATTGGACAAAAATAACGGTTATCAAAGATTTCAATTTAAGATGTTTCTACTTTAGAGGACGACTGGTATAACTTATGGGAGGACGAGGTGAACCTTCTCGTCGAACATTGTGAAAAGCGAAAAAGTGCATCGATTCGCGCACGTGTCATCAATTCTGGAACAGACGGTTGGCTATTTTCGCTAGTAGGCTTTTTTGCTCAATGGTTTTGAAAAACTTGTTTCTACATTTTAGGTGATAATGATAGATTCTTACGTTTCTCCATCGGGCTCGGCGATGAAACGATCACGATCACACTTAACGAAAAGCTTGTAAGTGCTTGATCCAGGCCCGTAGCCAGGATTTCGGTGTTTTTGGGAGAATCGCTAGAGCTTCGTCCAGAAACGCCCGATCAATTTACACCCAAAGAGGAAAGAAAATTTAGCAAAATCTTTAGGCTACATCATGGCTACAATGAAATTTTTCTGAAATAAAATTCACTCGAGAAAATTTAGGGGGAGGGAGGGAGGGGGAGGGAGGGTAGAGGCGCAAAAAAAGCCGTGAAAACCCAACTTTGAGCCCCTCTAGCTTGCTCCACAAACTTTATATCGGATTTCTAGCTCATGTGTCCTATGTAAACCGACACGGAGAAACGACTGGTGGCGAATAGAAGTTTCCTGGATAGACGCAAAGGGTCTAAAACCTCTGCTTCCCTAAATTTTCTCACAAAAATGCAAATTTTTCCAAGTTGATTTCACTTTAGAAAAATTTCATTGTAACCTGAAGATTTTGCTAAATTTTATTTCTTCTTTGGGTTTAAATTGATCGGGCGCTTTTGGACGAAGCTCTAGCGATTCTCCCAAAAACACCGAAATCCAGGCTTGATACCTTGCTTAAGAACATTTTTTATGTAGAAACGAGTGATGACAGGACACGCTGGAGTCGAGAATCTGCTCACAAAATGTGCTGTTTCGCAGAAGTTGGGATTTATCGACACATTGATAACCTACCTAGCGCCCACCTATATGAATTTGCTTAACGGTTGTTGAGAAATAGTAGATTAATGTTTTTGGCATATTTTTGTCTTGCTTAGTTATTTTTGCGTGTTGAAAACTTCTGTTATGTTTAAATTGTTGTAGTTCATTGAATCATTTTGTCAGTTGTTCGGCGAGTTGTTCGTGCAAGTCAGAGTTTCTCATGGGAATTGGAAAACAACGGCCGATTGTTTAAAAAGAGCCAAGCATCGGCGGCACAATAAACAGACATTCCATGGAATCACAACGAAAGTTTCACCATTTTCCAAACAACAACTCAAATGCTATTCTTTCAACTAATTTCCACTTTACTTTACACAGCTGAAAGCACAAATGGGAAAGATGGTTGGTCCTTAATGTTAACTTTTCCAAATGAATTATCCAAAACTTAAGATTGCGTGAAGCGTTTCACAAATCCCAAAGACAAGACATCAATGGTCTGCGTTTGCAATACACAACAGTGCCACACATTTCCACGAGTTAAGGTGAGAATGATCAATTTTATAGATTATGGTTGGTTTATTAGTTTGAGATTCAAGTAAACGAAAAATGCATAAAGTCATGGAGTTTTAGTCCCTTTCTGGTGATTCTGCTTACTTCTATGAAACAACCGCGTCGGGTCTCCGATTCGAGAAGTCGGAGATAAAAAATAACACGAAAAATGAATGGGATAAAATGGGATTTCGATTGAAAGTGATCACGACGGAGAGATTTCAAGAAATTATTGGATTTGGAGGTAAGAAAGGGGGTGTTTGATTGGAATTATTTGATTATTTGATAACAAATAAATAAAAGGTGCGATGACTGATGCAGCCGCGATTAATATTGATCGATTGGATAATGAAGAATTGGAGGAGATATTGTTGCATTCATATTTCGGAGATCAAGGTAAAAGAATGGAGAGATTAATTGATGCAAATGAATCTAGGAATCGAATACAATGTCATTCGAATTCCGATTGCTTCATGCGATTTCTCAACTCGTGAATATTCGTATTTGAATACTCCGGGAGATTTCTCTCTCAATAGTTTTCATCTTGCCGAAGAAGATCAATGGAAAATTAAATTTATTCGAAGAGCACAAAAAATGGCTAGATTACCGATAAAAGTATGATTTTTGAAGGAATTGAATGAAAATCTAAAAATCTTTGAGAATTTCGGTAGTCCATGGTCAGCACCAGCTTGGATGAAAACAACAGGACATATGAAAGGCGGGGGGAAACTTCTGGAAGGAGAAAAATACTCGAAAACCTATGCTGAGTATTTTGTGAGGTGAGGAACAGTGGAATGTCTTCGAGTACTGATTTGAGATTCATCGAGGACTACACGGCACAAGGGATCCCCATTTGGGGTGTCACCGTTCAAAATGAACCATCATTGGGTGAAGATGAAAAGTACGGCTTTCAAGCAATGTTTTTCCCGCCAAAGGTAGCACTTTAAGTACTTCTGATTACTGTAGTACGCTGAGGAACTGTCTTTACAGTATGCTACGGTAAGCATTACATGTAAATATTTCAGGATCAATCCGATTTCGTGGCTAATCACCTTGGGCCGACAATTGCAAAATCAAAAGTGGCCAATCGAACATTGATCATGATACATGATGATTTTAGAGGGAATCTCCCAGAATGGGCTGATATTGTAAAGAGAAAATTGAAATGGAAAGATTGAAAAGGTTACAGACTTTGGCTAATCCGAAAACCGATGATTTCGTCTCGGGAATCGCCGTTCATTGGTATGGAGATAGGGATGCGGATCCGATGAAATTGACACAAACAAAAGAGAAACATCCAAGGAAATTTATTCTCGGAACAGAGGTATTTACTATTACTATTTATACAGAGGACTACTGTGATTGTCTGTATTTAGGCTTGCACGGGACCCGGCATCGATTTGGGAAGTTTCTCTCGGGGAGAACGGTATGCCGAAGATATAATCGAGGATTTGCAACATGATGTCTCTGGATGGGTTGATTGGAATTTGGCTTTAGATTTACAAGGAGGTTATATGGAAAAGAATGACTATCAAGCGGGCAATCAAGAATTCAGGACCAAATTGGGTGTCGAATTTCGTCGATTCCCCAATAATTGTCAATCATACAGCAAAAGAATTCTATTTACAACCAATGTTTTATGCAATGGGACATTTCAGGTAAATTTAAAGAAGACAAAAATCTGTATATCTAAATATTACAGTAAATTTATCAAACCTGGCGCAAAAAGGGTTTCGATTAAGATGCAAAAAGTGAAAGATGTTCAAGGAATTGCTTTCATCAATCAAGATGGTAAATGCGAAGAAAGATTTTTTTAAAGTTAATGGAAATGGAAAGGCTTTTAGGTACTGTGGCTGTTGTTGTGCAAAATAAAGGAGATTTTGGAGTGAAAATATCGATTGAAGATGAAAGGGGAAAACAATATCGAGTGACATTGCAACAAAGATCCATCAATACTCTCGTTTATAAATGATTGGAAATTTTTGAATAAAAGCTTTATTTGATACCCAGAATAAGGCACGAGTGAAATTGAAATTGAGAGGAAAGGGGAAATGAAAGAAGAGACTGAAGGGAGAGACTGAAAGAAGAGACTGAAGGGAGAGACTGAAAGGAGAGACTGAAGGGAGAGACTGAAAGGAGATTCGATTCTTTCTAAAAGATGGGAAAAGCTACCGTAATCTTGACACCTTTCAGCTAACAATCCAGCTACAAGAGTCTGGAGAGAGCTCTATATAGTCATTGCATCAAATTTTCCAGAGTACTTTAGTTTTTCCCGAGCATCTTTTAGAAAGCTCGAGAGGAATAGATGATAGAGAATCAAGAATCAAAACAGATCAAATCAAAAGAGACAGATAGAGTCACAAAGAATCGAAAAGTTCTAACAAATTACATTCTTTAGAATAAGCACAGAATATAATTAATAAGTGACACGCGTATCGATTAGCGAAACGCATTCCTTTAATCCCAGATGCGAGAAAGCCTCGCGAAGAAGGGAAACTTTTGAGCCGGGAATCATCTGAAAAGCAATTCAATTGTAAATACAGAGTACGTTAGTTTCTCACGAGCATCTTTTAGAAAGCTCGAGAGGAATAGATGATAGAGAATCAAGAATCAAGGTAGTTACAATCTATCTTTTATTATTCATTATTACAATCAATTATTATTTTTATCTATATTCTTTTAAAACGCACCTCATATTGATCAAGGAAAATCATGGTCGGACTCGAGTGTTCGTCGGCGCAAATTTGAATCAACTCCGTCATATGGGCACACTCGAGTTCCTAGAAGTTTTGAAGATTTACAAATTCTCATATTCTTATTCAACTCACCATGGCTAAATCTTGCCATTTCGCGTTTGTGTCCAAAATCTTCGAGAGTCGGAGCCGAGTGAGATAATCCAGTGAACTGATATCATCTAACAGATCCCATCTAACAACTTTTAAATGTAAATTTACCTTTAACAAATGTGCTTGTCTCAAAACGACTTTTTCGGGGTCGACGTCTAGCAGTTGAAGATGAAGGACCCTGTTCGGGAGAAATAGCAATGCCTGAAATTCTTTTAATAGTGCCAAGCTCCTACTTGTGTACCAGATCGCAACTATTGCATTTTTAAGGTTAGTACAGGATTGACATAGATCTATTGATCAATCAGATCATTGATCTATTGATCAATCAGATTATTGGTCTATTGATCAATCAGCCATTAGTCTTACATCAAATCTAACCATTCCATTCATCTAATCAAATCTAACCATTCCATTCAGCTGGCTATTAGCCTAGCTTTATTCACCATTCCATTCAGCTGGCTATTAGCCTAGCTTTATTCACCATTCCATTCAGCTGGCTATTAGCCTAGGTTGAAAGCAAGTCTGAATCTACTAACCTCCATCTTCGAGAGATGAACTCATCGGGACCTGGATTGGTCGGCCTGTCGATCGTCTGGAATTGAGCAAAATGATTGAACAAAATCTTCGTTTCCCACCTGCTCGTTTGTGGACTCTGATCGATATGAATGGGTATCTCTTCTCCAACTGAATCTTCATCATCCGTTTCGTCGCCTCCTTCCACATGTTTTGTGGAACTTCTTCCAAAAAGCGATGAATGATTTGCACCAATTGTTTTCAATTCAGGTGATATTCTGCATAAGCTTTGTTTTTGATTCTTTTTTTTTTTAAGAAACCTTTGCCCTCCGATCACTCCTTGAATCGTTTGATCATCAATATCGGATAGACTGATCTAAAGACATTCACTGATTTCTTTTAAGAGTTTTCTAAAAAGCTAGCTTTGCAAAAAGTGATAGCTTAGTCACAAAGAGACAGAAAAAGTATTTTTTTACTTTTTTAAAAGTAAAATCTACCCCTTTAGCGTTTTTTCGGAATGGATCCGCACCAGCGTCAAGTAGAGCACCCATCACATAATAGTTGCTAATCTGAAATCTAATCAAATCTAAATAAAAGGAATAGCTATCGTTGTATATGTGATTACGGTAGGCAGAACAACTTACCTGTTTAGCTAAAAGTAGCGGTGTTTCTCCTTCAATATCTTCGTGATTAGCATCAGCTCCTTTCTAAACAATTCTAGAATTTCAAGGCAATGCTAGAAATTCTATTCTACTTGTAGCAAAAAGAAGACAATATCGGGATCATTCATTGTAATCGCATGCATGAGAGCTGTCCTTTCTTGTGAATCGCTTCCATCAACAGAAATACCGCACTCTAACAGCATTTCAACCAATGAGAGTTTCAGTCTAGAAATTGATACAGCTGAAAGATGTTGGATTGAATGAAAACGAGACAGACTATAATAGTTTTGACACTAGCAAAGCTGCAAAGCTGCAGGGAATCCTAGTTCTAGTTCTGACGAGGTTTGCTTCCATTTTCCCCACCTTGACACAGCCACAATGAGCGGTGTTTGGCCTTGTTGATTCTTTTTCTCCAACTCTTCAATCATTGCGGATCCTGTCTCGAGAATTTCTTTGAATATCGCATCGCTGTACGTATCACCGAGATAATGAAAAGCCTGAAAATATATTCTGATTGAATATCTAACATTTCTTCTTACTGAATTTTGATGATTATCGGGTATTTCGATAGAGGCTCCAGCATGAAGAAGGTAATGAACAGAGTCAGTGTCGCCGGCTCGTATGGCACAATGGAGAGCCGTTTGTCCTCGTCCATTGCGCTTGTTTAACAAAACTGAAATTGAGAATTTGAGAAATTTGAGAAAAGTTTATCTATTACCTTTCTTTTCCTCTTGATCCAGTTGATCGCAAGACAATAAAAATGTTCTCATCGCGAAAGATTGCTGATTTCGAGCCGCCACATGGAGAACACTATTTATGAAAAAAAATCTTCAACTAAATGAGAATTTTTATACGTATTTCCTTCATTGTCGGCTCGAGAGAAATGAGGGGCGAATGGTCGCGTCAATTCTTGGGAATCTCCATTTTCAGCAAAAGCGAACAAATGTGAAACGGATTCGATCGAGGTACTCGCACGAGTTTCCTCTTTGTCAACGATTGGCCTGAAATGTTGTTTTGAAACTTTTGAAAATCTAACAAGTACAATAAATTTGATTTAAAGATTTGCTCGAGACCAAAAACTTCGATCGATTCTAAGAAATGCCCCAAATTTCTTGCGTAGCTATATGGCTGACGATTGCCTTTCGCTGAGCACCCACGCAAAAAGCAAGAGCGTGTTTTAAAGTTTCAAAATCGTATGTTGTTGTTGTTGTTGAAATTGTTGTTGAAATTCTCTCATAGCCTGGATTTAGACCCAAGAAGAATATGGGTTATCAGTTAGAATCCAGTTAGAATCCAGTTAGCTTCCAAGTTTCCATTTGTTCTCACCTTTCGTTCAAAAGCAAGGGCTCGATAACTTAGATTTTATCTAGCAAGAAAACAGACTTTTGTTAAGCACTTCTTCTATTATCTTCTATTATCCGTGAGCATTAAATGTAACTAGTAATGTCAGTGCTATAAACACTTCTTGACGTATAAGATAACTTCTTGCCTCTCCTTTAATATAATCGGAATCGTGACTGAAGTCTCTTGTGTTTTCAACTTCAATGATCCCTCTCCAAAGATTCCTTGCGAGAATTGGGGAACCGTGAAAATTAATAACTAAAAATGTTTGTAGGAAAAGCAACAGTTTTTTTTCTTAAACCTTATCTTTTTGCAGAATTCTCTCCACATTTTTCTCTTCTTCTCGAAATTTGAGGCCAATCTCTGGATGTTCGTCTGTCAATCGACTGCCCAGCAATAGCCACATCTGAAAAATTGATCATTTGGGAAGTGGTGACTTGTGATTTTGTATGTAGGACTTAAAAACTGTGAGTAAAACTGACCTTGTCTCCAGTTCCGATCTCCGGAGAAGAGATCTCCTAAAAAATTATCTTTGTTTTGTCAATGAATGTTTTGCCAATGCCAAATTCATTTAAAAACCATTTTATTGGCCTAAAATCGCTATAAGCCTTGATCAAATAAGTTGAGCTTGTTGATTTTCGAATCTTAACACTTTCATTGGTGATAAAATTTGAAATCTTGAGATTCTTGACATCCTTGAGACTCTAGATCATCATTTTGACTGAATATTTAAGCATTCGATAGTCAAAATTATCGCAAACAGGCTAATAGAAGTAAATGAAAGATAGCCACTCTAGAGTGAAAGGTGCCATTTCTTGAGCAGCACTTTCCTCGAGTTCTGCAGACTTAAGGAAAATGAATGAATGAACACTTTCATTGGTGATAAAATTTGAAATTTTGACATTCTTGACATTCTTGAGACTCTAGATCATCATTTTGACTGAATATTTAAGCATTCGATATTTAAAGATTCGATATTTAAACCAATGAATGTTTTGCCAATGCCAAACCTCAATAAATAGTCCTCTTGAATTCTCGGGTTTTGGTGGTGGTTGGAACATCTAAATTGAAAAAGATTTCATTTTGTTTTTGAAGGGTTTCTTTTGTACTTGTGTATCAGAGTGCGATTTGGCGATAGAGCTGCGTCGACTCTCCGATGATATTGATGTATCAGCGGCCATCTATCAATAAAAGAATTGTAATGATAGGAAAATGAATAAGATACAGAAATTTTTGAAATGACAATGGAGAACTGGTCATGTAAATGTATTCAAAAAGAGTTCTTTTGATTTGCATAAGTCCTGAAAGGTGCAGAAAGGTAAAAAGCAAAAAGTTTGTGTTTTAAAAAGATTAAGAAATTCGATAAAAATATTGTAAAGAATATTGTAAAGAATATTGTAGAGTATTGAATATCTGAAATAGTAATATTGAAGAATGTATTGGTGGTGTGAAGTGGTGGCCGGGGTGAGGGATTGTTTGGAAGGGAAGGGATCTTTTCTCTCAACGGAAAAGAAAGACAAAGCTTGAGTCGATCGGTGTAATGCCCGTTTTCTCTTTGAAATCTACTTGGGAACTGAAATGATTTCTCGAGCGATTGGAAATTCATTTAGAAACCATTTTATTGGCCTAAAATCGCTATAAGTCTTGACCAAATAAGTTGAGCTTGTTGATTTTCGAATCTTAACACTTTCATTGGTGATAAAATTGAAAATTTTGAGATTCTTGACATTCTTGAGACTCTAACTGATAACCTATATTCTTCTTGGGTCTAAATCCAGGCTATGAGAGAATTTCAACAACAATTTCAACAACAACAACAACAACATATGATTTTGAAACTCTAAAACACGCTCTACATCATTTTGACTGAATATTTAAGCATTCAATATTTAAACATTCGATATTTAAACCTATTCGATAGTCAAAATTATCGCAAACAGGCTAATAGAAGTAAATGAAAGATCCATATTGCCTGAGCAGCACTTTGCCTTGAGCAGCACTTTCCTCGAGTTCTGCAGACTTAAGGAAAATGAATGAATGAAATCCTGAACTCTATCCGCAAATTTCATAAGCAGAAGATCGTGAAGCAGACGAGATTAATGTTTATTTCTTGAAGTCCATCCACCCACAGGTTGATGAATGCTTGGGGTAAACCACTCGATAGGATCGGGGAAGAGAAGAGAAGAGAAATGAAAAACATGCAAACAGACTCGAGACGGGGATATTTGAGGGGGGAAAAAGGACCCACCGAGAACTTTTTTCCTTTTTCTTTGCTTGAAATCAACCGATCAGCTGATCAAGAGCTTTTGACAGGGTGAGTAACTCGATTTTTTTTGACGTCAATCAAATTCTATTAATACTCTGTAAATAACAATGCAACAAATGAGAAAAAGCTATTTCAAAGCTCAAATAGTTAATATAAAAGAAATTTTGTTTCAATGTTCAGTTTCAATGTTCAAAATTGTTTCAATGTTCAAAATCGATCCGTGTTTCAAGAATGCAATTCTATTTCTCGTAGTGTAGATGGTTTTTTAGTTCATCTATGATCTAGAAAATGTGTATTAGAAACAGATGAGTCAATCAAAATCTCTTTTGCTGTTTAGAGCACTTGAAAGGACAAGAATAGCAAAGAATAGCCACTCTAGAGTCTCTGGATTGTGTGAAATCCTGTATTTTCTTCAATCAGGTCAAGGAGTTCCATTCACGGAAACGTTTAAATATGAGCAGAAGTAGAGTTTGTTGACATTTTTGTTGACAAAATGTTGTACCTTGTATTTGTTGTACTATTTTCTGTTGGTTTTTCGAGAAATGTACAATTGCGAATGAGGGAAAAGCTCACTCAACCATGTCCCGGAATTGTCAGTGATTTGGTCGACGCAAGATCGGTTGCCGTCGATTTTCAATTTGTTGGCGGAGCTGGGGATGGTGATGAGGTGATGAATTCTATTACTTATTTTATGTTTTCTATTAGGTTACGGTAATCACAGGTGATCAAGTGAGAACTGTTCGCTTTCCTGGTTGCTACGATGTGAAAGTTTCATTTGCACTTAAACGACCCCTCAAAAATCCGTTAGTTTTTTTTTAATTTATAGATTTTCGTATTAATTTCAGCTATATCGAAGCTTTCTTACAATTGGGTACCAATTTGCCGTGCAGAACTGAGCATTCATCGATATTGAAAAGTAAAACTGATACAATAATCTAGCTAAAAGAGTTTTCAGATCCAGGAAATGATATTTGCACAAATATCACAAAAACCTCTTGGTGTCCACAAAGCCAAAATGCTCAACTAAGGAAAATGTTGAATGGGAAAAGTACTTGGTAAGTAAAAAATTATTTCAGAATCATTTACAAAGCTTTTTCTACGTGTTTCAACAATACAGTTATCAATTTTGCCAATTTTAGCCAATTTTGCAACGTTTGCGATTCAGCGAAAAGAAACGAAGATCTGCAGAGGTTGAAAAAAAATTAAAACTGAACCTCTTGAGCTTGCAATATCTTTAGATATGTTCAAAGTTCGACTGAGCAAAAATGTGATAACGATTCGGGCCGGCAGACCGTCTCTTTAAGGGTTCGTTGAGGAAATTTGAGATCAAAGAATGAAGATTGAACATAAATATTCAAGATGTGCACTCCATCCCGGCAGGAAATCCGCGAAAAGGAGGGTGACGAGAAAATGGAAGAGTATTGGAGCTATCTCAAGCAGGTTTCAAAGTCAAAATTATTTCAATGCTAACTTTTCCTTTGTCAGGGAGTGTTGACCACAGTGATTCATGTACTTGATCGAGCCGGTCCTCAATCGTCGAAATGTGTGCAAATGTGCCACACGCACCGATCGCGCAAGTTGATCAGCAAAAATTACAAGGTTTCTGCGGAAAAGTAGATGAAACATCAATTCCATCGAATTCATCTTATACTTACAAAGTGTCCCACTCAGCTAAATATCTTTTAGTTTCGTGGGGAATTTCAAAGAAAAGGGGCAGCTACGAAAAATCTACGCAGAAAAAGGGGCAGGGCTTCGTAGCTTTCATAGCTGTCCCATTTGTTTGAATTTTTCCACAAAATTAAAAGATATCCAACTAGAGCTTAGGGCGACACTTTGAAAGCTGAATAGCTTTGTTAACGAGATTTCTTTCAGAAAACTCTCCTACAATCGATTCAAAAAGTGTGCTCACCCCAGGACATTTATGCTGCATGTGTTTTCCATACTCAGAAATTCGATGTTGTTTCCGATTTTTGATTGTTACAGAGCGAAAAGAACCAATAAATCGTGTACTAGGTGATATTTGCATTTCAAAAGCTGATAATTCGTGTTTAATTTTTCCCGACCGTTCATATTTAAACAAATTCAGTTTGTTTTCACAAGATTTTCACAAGAAAATAACAGGCAAATAGTTGAGGGACGGGGGGTGGGGCAATTGTGACCTTTTTTTGCGCAACCGGTCAAAAGCGCAACTTTTGTTGCACAATTGAGTCAAAAACGCAACTTTTTTGGAGTTAAAAAACTCCCAAAAACTAAATATTGAACATTTTTGTTTAAAAAGCTGATTTTTTTAGGTAATTTGGGGGCGTAGAATCCGAATATTGACATTTCAGAGCGTTTAGAAGCGATCTCGTAAATACGCCAAGGGGATCGGAATTTAAGGTCTCCTAACAAACACACCCCCTTGCGCATTTACCAGATCGCTTCTAAACGCTCTGAAATGATTATATTCGGATTTTACGTCCCCAAATTAACCAGAAAATCCACTTTTTAAACAAAAATGTTCAATATTTAGTTATTTAGTGCGCTTTTGACTCAGTTGCGCAAAAAAAGTTGCGCTTTTGACCGGTTGCGCAAATAAAAGGTTACAATTGCCCCACTCCCTTTTTCTTCTGTTCTCACGAACCTCAAGATATTCAACCAAAGAAATTGGAATGCATTTTGGAAAAAAAAGAACTTTACTAATAGGTTGTACTCGGCTTTGTTGTTTTTAATTTCAACATTTTGTTCTTTTTTTAGCTTTTATTTTATCATCATTTTGCTCTTTTTAGCGTTCATGGGCTTTGAATCAATAAACAAGCCGGATAAGAATCAGAAAAAAGGGATTCTCGAGCGGGTTAGTGTTTTTACTTATGTATCTAGAGGTGCACAAAATTCAAATACTGACGATGTTGTCACTCTATTCCCACGAATCGGAGAAAATCCAAAAGTTGGCTACTTATAGACTTTTAATGAGTCATGAAACCATTTTTGTGTTCAATTTATCCAGACTTCAATGTCGGTCTGATGCTGATTCAATGCTTTGGCGGGTGCTGAATTTGATGAGCTTTTTCTCTCACAAATTCCCTCCAAAAGAATTGATTGTTTTGCAGACAAGCAACAGTCCCCAAAAAAAAATAGTTTGATTCAGAGGCGTTTCTCTATACAGATAGACAATGTTATTGTTGAGAAATATTTTCTTATGAGAATGATTGACTCTATGTTTCCCCTATCATAAATATCATTCGATTTTTATTGAACTTAGCAATATAAATCAACATTAGCTAGTCTTAAACCGATGAATTGTTTGTGTGCATAATATAAACTTGCTTTAGGTTGGGCAGATGTTCGGTGCGAAGAGCAAGCCTTCAACGGGAGAATCGAAGCTCGAACAAAAGAAATCGGAAAAAAGGAGCCAAAAACCCTCCGAGATTTCAAACTTCAAAGTAATGAACTGCGCGATTGCTGATAGATTCACTTGATTTAGGATGAACTCGCCACAACCTCGGGAAACAATGGAGAAAGTAGTTCAGAGATGGATAATAGGGTATCTATATTGCCTTTGCAACTTAAAGTTGAGTGTTTTTAGGCTGAGAAACGCAACTCTGTGCCAATTGATGAACAAGTGGCCGAAGTTCTGAGGGAACGAAATCTACCGGAAAAGGTCATCCCTGTGCAAATCAGCAAAATGACGGAGAAAATGAAACAAGACCTTTTGGAGGCCAACTCGCGGCAAATAAGGGAAACAAAAGTATTACTTGCATTATTTCATTTTTATATGATAGTTTTTAGGTGAATTGCCGGCCAAAGATGTTTATAAACGAATTGACGCAACTGCGGCATGGTCCCGTTGAGAATGGTAAAGAGAACTTGGCGACTCTTCGTTATGCTTTACAATATCAAACTGTTCAATGGGTTTCCGAGGTAAATTCACTTCTTCTGAGTCATGCGCTATATTTGTGTTTAGTTTGCGACCGAAACGGGTGAAAATGAAACTGGCTTGGAACTTGTTGGATTAACAATGGTACGAGTCACGGAAAGCATATCCAAAATTTGTACTATTAAGTATGTTTCTAGCACTTTTTAGTGCATAACGTTACGTACTTTAGAGAGAATGCTCCAAGTCAACTGTCAGTTTTGTTAACTATGCTCAAAGACTGTGTTCAAGCCCTTCATGGTATCGCCAACAATTTTGTATGGGGCATTGCATAAAAATCAATTTTCATGCGTTTCAGCCGGGCTTGAGTCTCATTATGAGGCGAGATGATCATTCGTTGGGCCATTTGCTCTTAACTTTGTTGACGCTGAATGAGTGCAGATATGAAGAGCACAGGCTGTTACAGGTATTTGAAAAAGTTCATACCACACAAAAGTTTGTTCAGAAGTCGGCTCCTGAAATAATTGCAATCCGGGCTGAGATTTTGAAAATGGTGCGAGTAATTGCGGGCGTGTGTGAGCGCTTTTTGCAAGGAACAGGAACGGTACTAGAGATGAATGGGTTAGTTGTTGCTTATTGATTTATCTATGTCATTTCTAGCGTTGACAAGCTGCTTGCCGAGTTAACTACTATTGCTTCTCAACGAAACTGCCAACGATGGTCGCCAATACTTTCTACTTTGAGATGCCTATCAAACGATCCAACTTTAGAAGAAAAACAATGCCTGGTTAGTTGTCAAAAAGTTATTAACTCAATGTTCAACTCAGCGTCGAGTTTTGCAAATAATTAATTGTGTCGTCAATCCAATCAGTTCGCTTGCTGCAGATGACATATCAGAAGACGGCCAAAGCGTCGAAGAAGATATCAATTGGCAATGGAGAATGAAAATTCGTAGCGAGATTTATCATCAGGGTCTCAAGGAATATACAGCGGTAAAATTTTTAAGGTTTTAGACCTACCGATTCATTTAGAAAGTCATCGCATTATGTAGCAAATGCGATCACAGTTTGGAAAGATCTACGGATCCACCCATTCAAGATTTATGGAATTTGTATATTCAATACAGAGATGAGGATTTCCAAGAACTTTGCTCCAAATTGGGAACAATGTTTGCTCATTTTATCTTCAAGGTTTATAGTTTTTTTAGAAAAGTCGACAATGAAAGATTTAACACAATAGAGGGTTGTGCATTGGCCCTAAAAGAAGTAGGGCATAGCATTGGGAGCAAGCGAGAACAAAAAAATCGTGGTGCCGATCAAACGATGATTTTGTCAATCTTACAATTACTTCTGCTTATCCCGGATCGAGAACAGGCAATAAGGTATTAAAATTTAGTTTATTCAGAACGAATAGTGACTTTTCATCTAGGTTTGCTTATTTGCGATTGATTGAGTCATGTGTCACGGAAATTGTCATGTACCGTGGCGGAGTTTATCCAAATTTTGAGGTATTTTTTTATAATAAAGATTTCAATATTAAATATTTTAGAACAAATTCGTTTTTGAGACGCCGATATCGGAAATGATTGGTGGGAATTTGTATTAACACTTGTCATCTGTGCCTACGGCTAGTCTTTAGAAAACTTGACCGATTCGGATGTGACTCGTCATTTGAACAATGCAATCGAAGATAAACAAGTAGCCATCGCAAGACAACAACAATATTGGGCCAAATTACAAGAATTTCAAGCTGAGATTGAAGTTTTGCGGAAACACGTATGGTATTCATGGTTTCGTGAAAAACGTATGCTTAGATCACGGATTCGAAAACTCCCTTACCACCAAAAACTCTTTGCAACCTCCCTGCTCCAGACGCAATCGACGCGACACCAAAGCTTTCTATACGGGAAAGTAAGAACATTATCTCTTGAAGAAGTATTGTATGCTATTTTAGACAGAAATTTGTCAAATATTGCTGAAGAATCATCTTTGGTCTCTACAGATGATTGCTCTTTAGTTGGTAAAGGTATTTTTGGGAGAACTTGGATTAAATAACGGTTATATAGCAGCACCAAAAATTGCTCCTGTGACAGGCGGACCTCCTGGGCCACCACCTCCACCACCACCACCACCGCCACCACCACCACCAGGTAAGCACAAACATCTATTCTGGTCTGTACTAAAAAGTTCAGGTGTTGCAGCTGTTGTTCGTGGGCCACCAGTTCCACCGCCACCGCCGCCTCTAGGAGCACCGCGAGCACCACCTCCACCTCCTTTACCCGGTGCTGGAGGAGGACCTCCACCACCTCCACCTCCTTTACCCGGTGCTGGAAAAGGACCTCCGCCACCACCGCCTCCAACTGGTAGAAGTTATCTATGCCAACATCTTTATGCAAAATTTAGGATTTGCAAATCCGTTTTCCGGCCCGACTCTACCTTCGTTTTTGAAAAAGAAGCGTGAAGTCAAAGTCGGAGTGCCGTTAAGAAAATTGCCTTGGACGTCGAATGTGGTTTGTATTTCGTAAAGTTTGTAAGTCAAATCGATTAGATTCAACCAAATAAACTGGCTGAAGACTGTTTTTGGGCCAAAACGCAAGAAGAGAAACTCGTAAATGACTCTTTATTGAAAGGACTGGAGGTATTGCTACTACGGCACTCAATCATGACAAGATTTTGCGATTCAGTTGAATTTCCCATCAACTCGACCGGGCGCAAATGCTCCAGCATTGATCGCTGCCAATCGTGGGTCTCGAGCCGCAAAGCAACCGCAAATTATCGACGATGCTAAGAATCTCCAAGCTTTGGGCAAGTGCTTTGAACATGTGAAGATCACCTCTAAATTTAGCTATTTTATATGGCTCCTCTAAAGTGACGCGTGAGGAATGGGAGCGAAGCATTTTCGAGGTGATCTCTATTGTTTTATGAAGATAGTTTTCTTTTTAGATCGATGATTCAAAAATATCAGCAACTTTGCTCGAACAGTTGAGGAATAATCTTCCACCGCCAGAAAAGATCAAAGAACTAGCCGAAGCAAAACAAAACGTGTTTGACTTGATGCCCGAAGGAGAACAAGTATTCTCTTTTGAATCGCTCATCTAATTTTTACTTTAGTTTGCAGCCACTTTTGCGAAGATTCCTAATCTCCCTACACGACTAGATCTGATGATATTTCGGCTACGTCTAGAGGAGATAGTCAATGAAATCAAACCGGTAGAAAGTGGCCTCGTTTTGGAATTATTTTGTTTGTATTTAGGACATCACAAATGTTATTGAAGCTTGTCGCGAGATTCGAACCACTCGCCCATTTCAACAATTTCTTGAACTCGTTCTCTTGGCTGGAAACATCATGGCGGCAAGTGGTCCTGCACATAAAGATACCTTTGCTTTTGAAATGGCCGTTCTTCCGAAAGTAAGCCAGCACAAAAAGTTGCTATGGCCTAACTTGCATTTAGTTAATTGATACGAAAGATGTAGACAACAAGCAAACTTTTCTTCATTTTCTTATCGATCAGATGATTAAAACTTCTGGTGAAAAGGCGGCTCGGTTTCCGATTGATGTTTGTCTGTTTTGATATACAAAGCTTTTAATTTGTTTAGGGCTTTTATCATGTTGTTCTGGCTTCTCGAATAAACCCCGATGAAACCTCGAAAGGTGTCCAACAATTCAAGTCTTCAGTTACAAAGGTTTGCAAATTCCGCTAACTTTTTTAATAGTACTTTTAGTTAAATAACTTTATCACGAACTATCGACCATTCCAAAAAAATGATCGCTTTATCGAGGTATTAATATTTTTGCGTATTCTTACTACAATATTAACTTAGGTAATGGTTCCTTTTTTGAAACAAGCGCAATCGGAGCTGGATCGAGTTGAAACGGTTTATAAATGGATCTTAACTAAATAAAAACGTTTTTAGTTATATTGCAAAATGCAAGCTGATTGGACAGCAGTTACTCATTACTATGCTTTCGATCCAAAGAAATACAAAATGGAACAATTGTTTGATGATATTAAGCGTTTCAAAGGAAATTATGAAGTTACTTTTGTACTTTGAAGTTGATCACATTATTGTTTAGCAATGTCTACGCGAAATCGAGGAATTACGGATAAAAGAAGAGAAGGAGAGACTTAGAAAAGAAAAAGAAAGTCACAAATTACGAAACCCACAGAAAACTATAATAGCACCTTCATTGAAGACAGGTTCTTTCAAACTGAATTCAAACTCAAAAGTTTTTAATTTAGCTCAGGATACGGCCGGTGTTCTAGACGAATTGGGCAAACTTTTGGATAGCGGGATGTTAACGAAACGGACGCCCCGACCTACTAAAGGGACTACAAACGAGGGTCGCGCTAGAGCAGGTTGGATTCCTTGTTATACAACTAGTCTTTGTGCTTGCTTTTACGCAAGTAGTTTACATGAATTTCTTTAGCAAGGATGATCCACCGCCAACGGTCAAGAATTAGCGATCTTCAGATGCCGTATGCTGGATTAGATGATCTTCGAGTTCCAAAAGAAAGGACAAAGCCATCGCCTATAGGGTTACGTGGAACTAAGGTGAAATTAGGAAAAAGTTAACAATAAACTGTCTAGTTTAGTCGCCAGGCCATTTTATGCATTCTCCATTGTCAGCAAATGCTACCGGGCCAGATAAATCGCTTTCTCCTCAAAGGTAAGTTTTTTCTTTTGAGTTTATTGAACTTTAACTCCTCTAACAAATTGCCTTTAGTAACTCCCCAAATGGAAGAAGTGCAACCGGCAGAGATGCTTCACGCCCTACGCTGTTTACCTTCCCACCACATCATCGTTATTAAACTCAATGCAATGCTAGTTAATTAATCGTCTATGCGTATTGCAGTTTCGTTCACTTTGTAAAGTGTAAGATTTCCAATTATTAGTCGATCGACGGTCGATTATTAGTTTTCATTTCTTTAGTCGTTTTTCTCATCTCATTGTAACGGGTACTCTAGATTTTTCAGGATCATTCGATTGTTTGTTGTTTGATTCATTTCATTGGTTGATTGTATAATAATTTGGCTTGTTTGTTCTCTATAAATTTTTATGAACTTAAATTGAAGGTGGATCCAATGGCAAATGGAATGACTGGCAGTAAAATACAGAAATGCATCCCTACAAGATTCTTACTAAAAAGAATTGAACTAATAAAAAGCTGACATTTTCTTTACCTAACGTAACGGGAAAAAGTAGATTCCTAAGTTTAACCACAGCTTTGAGTTTATTTTGCGCAGTTCAGGATGCCCGAACTTTCAGCTCTGTTTATATGTCGTAGCCAAAAAGGTTTGAATTTTCTCGACTAGCTTTCTACAGACCATATTGGCTAGCCGAAGAAGTTAGAAACCTTTTCGGCTAGCCGATATGATTTGAAATTTAAAACACCTGCCATTGGAAGAAATTACTCTTTTTCAGCTTGATGGCTTGATATTATGATATTTAATCTCCATTTATTAGAGCACTGACAACGAGTACTCAGACGTACTCGTATCAATACAAATATCAATTTGATATTTCGAATCAGCTAACTTTTTTACGTATGTTTCCACCAAGTTTTCAGCCAAATAAGGCCATCCCCGAATTAAATTTCCGATAGACGGACAGAAGTTTTACTTATTTCGTAGTCGATATGGTTGAATATCTTTCAATTTGTAGAAAATTAGGCCACAAAATTTTTAGCGGCATACTTCAAAAGTAGTAATAAATATTATACTTTTGAAGTACCGCCCCCAAGCAATTTGCGACCTTTTTCCGAGAAAATCTTCGGTTGGTGCTTTAAAAGCTTTCGTGGTAAAACCACCGTAACCCTCATAATTTGCAGGTATAAAAGAAAGCGCACAATTTTATTCTTTTTGCGTCTTTCTGCACTTAAGCGTCCTCACAAAGCCCCTTTTATGATTCTGTGTTCCAATAGTTATTCTGTAATTATTAAATTATTCAGTACAATCATGATTTTTTTTTGCTGAACTGAACTGAATCAGCAACCTCTAGCTATGTAAGGGAAGATGTTTCTCTATTTTCTGCAAGGAATTCGCCAAGTTTCATTTTTTTTTGTTTCATAAAACCATCTTACAATGGCGTGTTAAAGCTCAAAACATTTTCGGGCAAAACATAAAGATATTGATGTTGGTTTGTGGAATCACTTTTGTAAAACGATTAAAATTGCGCTCGCTTTATGGATGGTGTGCCATTTGCAAAGAAGTTTCTCCATTTTAAATGTACCGATTCCTTCTGCAAATCCCTTTCACAAAGTTGTGTCATCATCACTCATAAAGAACACAAAGAAAACCATATCAGAAATACGCAAAAGAATGAAATTAAATGAAGAACAACAATGGGGGGTGGGACAAATGCTACCTTTTTTTGCTGGAAAAGGCCTTAGGCAAGGCCGTAGAGCTTCAAAAATATTTCTATATAAGGGAATCGTATGCGTAGATTCCGAATTCCGACAAATCAGACCTCGCTGACACGTCAAAAAAGGCGAAAAGGCAAAAACTACGCAACTAAACGCTTTTCCGCAGTTTTTGCCTTTTAGCCCAAGTTTGACGTGTCAGCGAGGTCTGATTTGTCGAAATTCGGAATCTACGCATACGATTCCCTTATATGGAAATATTTTCGAAGCTCTACGACCTTTTCCAGCAAAAAAAAGGTGCGCAAAAAAGGTCGCATTTGTCCCACCCCCAACAATGAAAGAATGAAATTGCGCGCTTTCTTTTATACCTGCAAATTAGGAGGGCTACGGTAATTTTACCACGCTCTACAGCGCCAACCCAGGATTTTCTTGGAAAAAGGTCGCAAGTCCCAAGTGTCCCCATAGGGAGAGCACTTTCCGAAACCGACCCCATAAAACCGAGCTTTTGGGGACACGCTGGCAAACTGTCCCCATGTATTTTTTATACTTTATGTTACTGTTACTGTCAGACTGAACGTCTGGAACTTTTAACACAATAATAATAATAACATATATTACAAAAGACAACTTAACAATGCGAAACAAAAACAATAAAAATTACAAATTAACGCAACATATTCAAATTTTCATACGGATTTTCCTCGCTGGCATCAAAAACGCATGGCTTCCCAATCGAGTCGAAGCATTCCAACCGAGCCATATCGAAAACCTCTTCAGCATATTTCCGACTGTAGCAACATGGAAATTATCTAAAATTCTGGTTAAAACAATACTATTGTCACAAATGTAACCTTTTAACAATGCTTCCAAGATTGGCATCATAAAATTTGACCAGAGATTCAACGATTGAAGGGAGTAAACGGCCTCTTGTTTTGTTGCCATAAATAATTCCAAGTCGACTAAAAGAAAATAATTAAAAAAATAAGCTATTAGCAAAATCACCTGAATAATCGCTCAACGGAAACTAAAGATCCTGGAACAGCCTTGTCCACATCATGCCTTGTCTGAAGAGATGTCTAAATCATAAGCTATTTATTGAACAAGGAAGTTCTAAGCTGGAGGTCTGCATTTGGACTACCCTCGGGCATACCAAAAATTTCAGCTTTAAAACATGAAGCTGAGACGCATTGCGATTCGAGCTGAGAAGTTTCTAGCACAGATAGCTATTATCGAGTATTGAAAACAGCGAACCTATTTATCGAATGATTTCCGTTTTTGCTTGCATCTTTTGTGATGAGGAAATGTTTGGCAAAGTTTTTGGGTTGAGAAATACGGCAACACAATGATGGGCATTTTCGTAGATGATACGCCAGTAGATGTTTTTTTGACAATCGCATCCACGATATTTGCAATTGTTTCTCCAGTTTCTCCAGAATTTATATAAAATTGGTCACGTTTTCAAATAGTACCTTTCATTGATTTCCTCCAAGGCCAAGATTTTTGTGTCCATTGCTTCGCCAGAGTCGATATAGTGTCCGAGAATGCCCACATACTTCACATAAAATTTCGGCTCATGCTTGGGCGACAGACACAACGATTTGCTTCAACCGTGAACGTTCGTGCTACATAGTAATTACCTAAACAAATCTGATTTGTAAACCTTATTAAACATTTTCAAACAAAGAGCAAGCAAAAATAGCTTTTAATACCCTTTCCGCGTACTGTTGCCCTGATTCTTCGTTCATAGTTGGGCTCTTGTTTTCCCGCAGGGTAAGCGCAAAGTTGTTTGTTCACCATCGGAAGATATTCTGCAACGAAAAAAACATTTTAAAATGTTTTAAATATGTGTAAAGATGTTGAAATAGCAAAAAAAATTAGGTTTTGGGGCAAGCAATGTACATTTTTGGCTATGGGGACACCTGTCCCCATCAGGTAAATGCATAAAAACGTAGGCTCGCTATAGCTTTACTGTGCCAGAAAGTGTGTATATGCATTCACAATGTCTAAATTTATCATAAGAAGTAAAAAAGCAAACGTTTTACTTAGAAACGGCGAAAAAATGACGAAAAACGCGAATGGGGGCACCTGGGGCGGTACTTCAAAAGTATATTAAATATTTGCAAAAGAGGAAAGAATTTAAGATATTCAGCTATGGTAGCCTTTATAAGAGCCTCGATCGGGCACTGCTTCTGTAAACTTGATTTTTATTGTTTGTGTCATCCAACTTGCGATGTCACAATCAGGTAAACTTTTTTATTGATACACTTTTACTAATGTGGCGCAGTCCTTTGAGGAACGTTCTAGTAACTTTAGTTCTGTCTGCGCATAAAATTTTAGCAACGAAATTCTGAAGCGTTAGTGTTTTACGAGTCTCTACCCAGGTATGTGGCTTTTTGCGCAGATCAGGCCGCCCTAAAAAAAATTAATTTGTTTGTTTTTATTTGTGCAGTTATTTGCGTCTGATTGTTTTGGCTCACAAAGTTTGATAACTTGTTTTTTAGGGATGCTTTGTGAGGGCTGGATTTCGCAAGACCTTTTTCGACGACTCCAAAATGAACATCGATTTAAACAGCAGCATCCAAGGGCCAGTGAAGGAAGTCTAAAGGGGACAATGGATTTTCGTTTTGCAACGGTTCGTTTATGTTTTTTCGATACTTTAACATTTCTTTTAATTCAGGGAAGCAATGGCACATCAAGCCGTGAAGACGACTTCTCTCTCAGTTCTAGCAGCAGCGAAAGATCAAGCAATGACTACAAAATCTCGCTTTGCGCAGAATTCATGGCAACCAGGAAATGCCGTTTTGGCGGTGCTTGCAGGTAAACATTTTTTACTTCAATTTTACATTTATTTAGGTATGCTCATGCTTACGATGAACTTCGGCTTGCAAAGGTTTTGTGAATTAACTATTGTTTATATATTGTTTCTTTTAGCCACGTGGAAAGTGCAATCCCAAGTACAAGACTCGCTACTGTGACAAGTTCTCAAACACGGGGTTTTGCAAGTATGGAGACAGATGCCAGTACATACACCATCTGCTAAATGATACGATCCGGGAGGATCGAAAAAGGCGCGGCGTAGCAATGAATATTGTGAGCTTGAAGTTTAAGACTTTACGAAACTATTTTTTTTAGAATGAGCGTCCTTTGGAGTCAAATGGAACTCTTGCGCGACAGGTAGCTTTTTATTTATTTCATGTCAACTAACACTAGTTTATTCGAGTCCATAAGACGTTTGTTTAGATGCGATATGACGGTGGGCTGAATGCTACGGTAGATGCGCGCATGAATGTGACGGTGGATGAGCGCATGAATGTGACGGTGGATGGATTCGCTGGACGGATTGAAAAACATACCAATGTGCACGAAAAATGGACGGTCAGCATTCCTTTTTATTTCAATCAATTTCCTATAGCCTTGTAGGTTTTTGTTTTGTAATGACTGTTCAACAAAAAAAGTTGAAAACGAACATGTTTAACTTGTCAATTTAGCCATTTTCAAAGCAGTTCTGGGGGTTCAAAATAGAAGAGCAGTTGAACACAAGGTAAGTTATTCTAGACTATCGTTGATTTTTACTTTTAGTCTGCCCGTGTTGCGCCCATCCTTTGATCCAGTCAGCATCGAAGCTTCTCTCAACGGCCTTCTCTCTGACGAGTCTCAGCGTTAAAAACATATCTAGTTTGGTGGTTCTGCCGACTTTAAAAGACCACGCTAAAATTTTCTTGTTTCTTGCAAAATGTTGTATTTTTCTATTTTTCTGTTTTTCTGTTTTAATTTCATAACGATCCGGTTGTGTTTGTTTTAAATCTCACAACTATTTTGTTCTTATTTTGATAAACGGTTTATTCTAAAGCAAACGTCAAAACTCGAGCGCCGAGATCAAATGATGCCATGAAATGTTTGGTTTGTCTGGCGGGATTTATGATATTATTGTACCTATTCAAAGTTGAAAGGTTTTGGATCACCAAGATTTATTCAGTCCGTTGACATTTGTTGAGAAAGGGATTGAGGGGGAAACACAATAGATGACAACGATTCTTCAAACATTGGCTGAAAAAGACGCCATTTGGGCCGTAGACTTTCTCTTTCTCCTCATCACTTTCTTCGTCATCAATTCCCCTTCCGATCGTCTCCATATAATAACCGGAATTTCAAACATTGATCTCACTGAAAAACGATTTCCCGATTCCTCTTTTTTTTTTACTTTCTTCCGTCACACTTCCTTGAATCACACCAAAGTTTTTAGGTCGTTTACAGAATTGTTTTTGTACCTCAGAAAAGGTTCTATCAGGTTAGAAAGAAAGTTCACGGAAAAAGTTTGACTGGAATTTCTTAAAAACGAAACCACCGAACATTTTTTTCCATTATTTACAAGTTGACTCCAAGAAATTACTGGTAAAAAAATGAGTGCAGCTTCCCCTTAAAATTTTGATTTTTGAAAAATGATTATTTTCCAGCCTAAATTCCGCTCACTTTTTGCACCAAAAAAACGATTCCTTATGAGATAAAGCTAGCATAAATGAGCAATACTCTATAATCCTTATGAGATAAAGCCAACATAAATGAGCAATACGCTCTATAATCTCTATTTTTGACCAAACATTTTTTACAGAGAAGCTTTATTTCAAAAAACAAATTTGTTTTTTGTGTCATCTTCTTGGCACTGAGTTTGGCATGCTAAAATACTGTTCATTCTGAAAAGTTAAAGCATTAGATCAAAATTTGCCTTAATCACAAATTTTCCCTTTATTAAGTACTTGATTTTAGGGTTTTGAATGGAACCGATTGCCTATCCATTAACCCATTAAAAATTTGTCTAAAGGCTGGTCACTTCAGCTGAAGAAATCTCTTATTTTTTACCTAAAGCCCACTCTGATTTTTTTTGTCAAAAACTTTTTGAAATATAGTCAAATTTATCAAAAAAATCTGAGAAGAAGAAGAATCTGAAAAAAGAAAAAGAAAAAACCAAGCCATATGGTTTTTGAGAAATCACCGTGCAAACTTTTTCCGAGAACTTTCTTTTCAACCTAATATTTACTGCTTGTATAGCACTTTTTTTTTTATTCTATCGACCAACATTGATATCTTTCTCCTAGAGAAGGCAAAGACCAATCAAGCCAGGGGTAATAGGATGTCAAAAAAATGCAAAAGATGATTTGAAATGTTTTCTATTGCAAAGCATTTCGATGGAGAGAACGATAGAGACAACTCCCAGTTACGAATTGAGCAAATTGTTCAGTTAAAATACCAAAAGTTTCGTGTTTTCTCAACCAAATATTTAAAGCTCACGTAAAAAAAAGGATGAATCATCGTTGGTTATTTTGACTTTTGAACCCGATTTTGCATGGAAATTTTTATTCAAATCTGGCTGAAGCCTCTCTGTTTTTTTTGTGTGAGAAAAGCTCGGGAAATTCATTCAAATCTCTTTTTTTCTTTTTCCTCTCAAACAACGACCTCATTTTTGTCGATGGATTCGGATTGTTCACGAAAATTTACACAGCTTTGCAATCAAATAAAGAACATTTGTACTATCATATAATGAGAGCATTTCTTCTATGTAAATATTCAAATTGTATTTAATCGAACTGTCGACATTTTGATAAGCATAAGCAGGGGTAGGCTAATTTCCGCTATTTTTTTTGCACAACAGGGTCATTTGTGCAACTCACCATAACTTTCTTCTAAGTCGGTCAATCTTTATGATTTTCGTTTCATTTTGTTGCACTTATTGAGATCTACAAAATGAAACCAAAATGATAAAGATTGGCGCACTTAGAAGAAAGTTATGGCGAGTTGCGCAAACGACCCAGTGGCGCAAATAACCCTGTCGCGCAAATAAAATGGCGGAAATTAGCCTATCCCGCATCAGCATGATAGATCTTTTTATTTGAGAAGCTTATTGCAGTATTTGAAATATCATAGATTTTATTTGATATCATAGATTTTATTTCGGTTTTGAATTATTTTTTTTTTCGAACCCTGTCCATGACATCATTAAAAGTGATGACTCAAACGAGAATGATCAAGAAAAACAATTTTTTTTTTCAATAAAACGGCTAATTGACTCGGGTTTTGAGTCCAAAACTCTTACTCAAATAAAAATATAAAAATAGACAATCGAAATTCTTTTTTTTTGAACGATCACTTTTTTCACTTTCACAAAATGAAATCAAAATTCCAAAATTTCAAAACTTTCCTCTCGAAAACTCGACCTCGATTATTTCTCGTTTTTATAAACCAAAATTCGCTTTTTTTCTCTCTTCTCGATTATCTTTTTCAGTAAATCAAAAAAAGTAAAACGATAATTTTGATGTTTTTTGAAATTTTGAAGTAAAGGTTGATCATTTGGAGTTGCAACAATGCTTTTTGAGAACTGTTTTTAGCGTTTCCACTTGAGAGTACTCTTTTACCGACAGTTTGGATCATAAAACTCAGCCTAACTCGGTCACTGAGATGAATAGCTGAGACTGAGATTTACATGAGCCAAGTGAAATATCAATATTCAATTACCAATAGAAAATTGGAAAATTGGATTTCAAACCAATAGAAAAATTGGATAGCTCAAAACAAATTTTTCTACCCAATTTTCTACCGTAATCTCTCCAGAAAATTGACTCAATTCTCCTAGAGCTCACTTCTATTCAAAAACCCATTTTCCCCTTTTCTCAAGTATGAATCAGTTTTGCTTTTCTATAAAAACTCATAAAAAGATCATAATGTTTTTTTTTCGATTTGGAATCAAGAAAATATTTGCCCTCTTTTTTCACATTGTCATTTCTCTTTGATTGTGAAAAGAAAAGAAAAAAACGGTTTTTGAATAGAATTCAATGCTCTCTGGAAAGAAATTTGACAATTTGAGAAAAGTGATTTTTGCTTTTTTTGAGACTGAGAGTTCCTTTCGCATTTGGTGTTTTCTAAAACGTGTCCACTTTCGGAAACTACCGTAGTCTAACATGTCTATCCAATCATGAACATTTACAGAATAAAAGTAAACAGTGAGTAGATCGAATAAAACTAGAAGCAAGATGACGCAAGTTTTTGCAAGCAAGTTAACAATTAGAAAGTTTGAATGAGGGTTAACTGTTAACTGTTAACAGTGTTAACAGTTAACAGTGTTAACAGTTAACAGTGTTAACAGTTAACAGTGTTAACAGTTAACAGTGTTAACAGTTAACAGTGTTAACAGTTAACCCTCACTCAAAAGAAACTTTGATTGTTTTACGTTTTCTTTCTTCTTTTCCCCTCATTGAAATGAAATTTTCACTTCTCAGACTTCTCAGACTTCTCATCAACTTCAACTTCATCAACTTCATCAACATCAGCCTCAAAAATGTTGTCATTTCGTTGCACATTGTTATTTCTATGCTTATCATCGATGGCCGGTACGTGCATGTGTAAGTGTCCTCTTTTCCCTTTTCTATCAGAGAGCTTTCATTTATTTCAGTTTTTCTAAAGACCAATGTTAATTGGTAATTAAAAATCTTTCAAATAGTCTCTTCCCTTTCCATCTATCAATTTTCCTTTCACACTTTGGGCAAGGGCAAATCCGATTTTTCGTTTCCGTATTCGCACCTCAACTCTCCTCAAGTTTCAGTACTCCCAGCGACTCAATATGTCGGTCAGAAACCATATTTCTTGAAACAATCAACCGAATGTAAAGGACCAAAAGTTTACGAGATTCGGAATGTACAAGTGAGTCGATGAAAAATTTTGGGTTTTGATTGGAAAGGGGAAGATTGGAATTTCTTTGTCAGCTTTTTGAATGATGACAGCTATTCTATAGAGGAGAGAGTTACAGTCGACTCTCTCTATAAATGAATGGAAGGGACCAACAAATTTTTCCATTATATAGAGTGCCGTTATATATAGCTTAGCGTCGACCGGGACCAAAATTCCCTTCGGTTATATAGAGTGGCGTTATAGAGAGAATCGACCGTGCTTACAAAGGTCCTAATCGAAAGATTCTATTGAATGGCATCATAAAATCGGTTTTTCTCATTCTTGATTCTGATATTTTGACGAAAAATGAAATGTAAACGATGAAATGAAAGATCCTGAGTCTAATAAGCTATTTTCAATGAATTTTAAACCAGTTCAATTACCCAAGGCAGCCGTGGCAATCTTGGCTGTGTGCTAGTTGGCGTTCAGATTGCTAGATGTTAGAATTTTAAACCAGTTCAATTATCCAAGGCAACCTTGACAATCTTGACAACCTTGGCAATCTTGACAATCTATGCTAGATGCCGTTCAGAGATTTTACGAAAACTTTTCAATTGTTAAATTCTAGCAAATCCTAATTAGATCAGTCGTGATTTGAAATCAAAACCCAAATTTTAAATTCAGGATGTGGATCAATGCAAAGAGGCTTGTGTCCAGTTCAACTGTGCTGCCGTCAATCTCTTCCAGTTGGGCGAATTTCAGTTCATGTGCGAGATCTTGAGTCACGTTTACACATCGATATCTCAACAAGGAGCCGCTTGTTATGTTGGCGGTGGACAGGAGAATCAATTGAGTGGAAATGGCTATCCGTATTATAATAATTATTGAATTGGTCATAAATCTCTCTAATAATCTTTTATTTATTCCCAAATTTCTTCAAATTCATTGAAATTTGCTTATCTTTTTATCATACTCGTTCCTGTTGACTGCCGTTTTCTATTGGGTTGTCCAGTTATGAATGCGCGTTTTTACTATTTTGTAAATTTCTCAAGATATCGAACAGATGCATATGAGTGTTATATATCATTCGAAAGCTGAACATCTCCTCTACATTTTGATATAAAAACCTTTGGAATTTGTTCAGCTTTTGGGCAAATTGACTGCACAAAGGGAGAAGTCGTTTTCGAAAAAACCCATTTCAGTTTAGCTATTCCTCAAGTTTTATGCTGTAAAATAACCGCCCAGAAAAGAAAAGAAAAGAAAAGATGCTCTGAAATTGTTATATTTAAAAAAAAAGTTGTATTGATATATCTATTGGCCAAACATCAAACGGTTAGCTCAATTTGAGCGGAGCCAACACTTGATCCAAAGGCACCCTTCCATTTTTTTGGCCACCTCTTCTTCTGTGCAGTCAATTTGCCCCAAAAGCTCGACAAATTCAAAAGCTTTTTATATGAAAATGTAGAGGAGATCTTCAGCTTTCGAATAAAACTCATATATATCTTTTTCTTGATTTCGGTATCTTGAGAAATTTACAGAATAGTAAGAAAACGCGCATGCATAACTGGACAACCCAATAAAAGGTATCTATTTTTTGAAAGCTATTGTAATTTGTAATTAAACTGTTTGCTTTCATCAAATCAGTTTAATTTTAGTATTATTCAATGAGAAATCATAAGATTTAGTGAGTGATACAAAAATTGAATTGATTAAATGTATACTGCTTTTAATGCAATAGTTTTCAAAAAAATAGATGCTCTTTATAAGTCTATTGTCTAGTCTTTCGTGTGAATATTTTTATATGTAAAAAGAATTGGCTTAACTATTGGCTATATGTTGAAAGTACTCGTCTCTAATGCTATTATCCTGAGGGGTAGGCTAATTTCCGCAACATGGATCATTTCCACAACAGGAATCATTTCCGCAACTCGCCATAACTTTCTTCTAAGTGCGCCAATCTTTATGATTTTGGTTTCATTTTGTAAATCTCAATAAGTGCAACAAAATGAGACCAAAAACATAAAGATCTCTCTAATAAAGATGTCCACTTAGAAGAAAAGTTATAGAGTTGCGGAAATTAGCCTACCCCCATCCTGACTGAATCTTTCATTTGATTATCAAAAAGAAATGAAACAATGTCTACATTTCAGTCATTAAAGCATTTTTGCATTCAGATTTTTGTACTCTTCAGCCGTGTAAATATTTTTATGAAATCTTTGATTTTTTATTGATTTCGTAAACGTAAATAAAGTAAATTTAGCACAAAATTCACCCGTTTAAAGTACCGGTAAAAGAGATAAATGAAGAGAGCACCGAATCGAAGGGAAATGAAGAGAAATGAAGAGAAAGATGAGATCGGAGTCAGTTTAATTGAAGAATTGAAGAGAAAGAAGGAAATTAAAGAGATTAAGGGTTTGTTGATGATTCGAAAGGATTGATATTTGATAAATTTGCTGGTTTGTTGATTGGAAAGGATTGTTATTTGATCACAATTTGTTCTCCAGATACAAACAGATACAAAAGGTATCTCGATTTCAGAAAGCTCTCAAAACTACAAGTTTTCATCAAATTAGCCTCAATTTTCGATAAATATTTCGATAAAGGAATCACAAGATTTAATCAAACAAAAAAAAATTGGACTGATTAAGTGGAAGCTGGAAATGAATACGAGAATTTTATATAGATAAATATAATAGATACCTTTTGCAATAATAGCATTAGCCAATCGCTTATCGCTTCCTCAATACGCACTCGCTGTCAGAAGGCTTTGTTCTCGACTTTTACTCCTTTCTTTTTGACCAATTGTGCTGCTATTTGCGTTTTTACCCTAAAAAAAACGAAAATTTTTCATCAATTTCTGATTTACTTATAAGCGAAAAAACCGAAAATTGAATATCTTCTAATTTTCAAAGAAAAATCCAACAAATTGGGCAGCTACGCACTGCGACGGAAAAAGCGACAGGAAAAATGGCGGAAAAACGTAGCTGCCCCTTTTCTTGTCTTTTTCTTTGAAAATTAAAAGATATTCAATTTTCCGCCTACAAGCTTGGCTCTTTTTGATCATTCGTTTAAAGCCAACGACAACAATTGAGCCAAACAATTGGGTAGGCTAATTTCCGCTGTTTTTTTTTGCGCAACAGAGTCATTTGTGCAACTAGCTATAACTTTCTTCTAAGTCGGCCAATCTTTATGATGTTGATTTCATTTTGTTGCACTTATTGAGATCTATTGATCTACTTATTGAGATCTACAAAATGATAAATCAGTTTAATTAAAAGAAAATGAAACCAACATCATAAAGATTGATCCACTTAGAAGAAAGTTATGGCGAGTTGCGCAAACAACCCAGTTGCGCAAAAAAAATTGCGGAAATTAGCCTACCCGCAATTGAGCCAAACAATTGCTTACTTTTTCTCTGGAGTCACATTTGTAGACTAGAGAAAGAGGAAAAATAGATTTAATTATAACGGAAGTGATTGTAAGCTATTAAAGCTATTGTAAGCTACAGTTAAAAGTAAAAGTATTCGAATTGAATGACTTTTACTCAAATGACAGACTTTTATAGGTGTACAGCTATATTTTGGCTACAATTCAAGTGTTCATTGAAAAAACACCCTTTCTGGAGCACTGCTCTTTTTCAAGAACATTGTATTATAGAGCTAAAAAGGCTCTATACTACAGGATTCTTCAGAAAGTCGTTAGGCGCGTAAAATGGCAATTTTTCGTGCGAATGCGTTTACATTGATGAGCACAAAGGCCACCAAAAGAGCTAAAGAGTATTCTACAATAATCTGTAGAAGTTTGAAATTAAAGAGTCTAAGAAGATTTTCTACAATTTCCAAACTCACCTTAATCTTTCTGATCAAACAGTGAACACTTTTCCGGAATTTTCGTATCCTCAGCGTGTAGATGAAAGGATTCGACGCTAATTTCATCATCACCTATACAAAATTTGTTTAAATATTTTGAAAATTAAAGCTTTCCATAAGCTTTCGACAAGCTTTCGACAAGCTTTTGATAAGCTTTCGATAAGCTTTTGATAAGCTTTCGATAAGCTTTTGATAAGCTTTCGGTAAGCTTTCGACAAGCTTTCGATAAGCTTTCGATAAGCTTTCGATAAGCTTTCGACAAGCTTTCGATAAGCTTTCCAATTTACCATAAAATTGACAGCTGTATTGATCCAGAGTGAAGCATAAAATGAAAGAGAAACACGATATTTCAATAGACAGCCCTCCTCGCAAACCTGTATTTGATTTGATTGGGATTTGATTTTGATTTGATTTTGATTTGATTTGATTGATAGAATGAAATTTATGTTTTGAATTGATTATAGATCAATACAATGTTGAATAAAGATCAATACAATGTTTTGAATTGATTATAGATCATGAAACCAGCTTTTAACTCAAAGTAATCTAATCAATGATCATAGATCAATTCAAAGTACGGTGAAACCCTTGCTTTACGAATTTCTGTCATCAAAACTGAATATCTTTAGTCTTAAAAGATATTCAAAGTTCAAAGTAAGTTCTCAAGTACTGTATTGTAGCTTGTTTATAGACTGTTTATAGACAAAAATCAGCTTTTAACTCAAAGTAATCTAAGTGTAAGCCTTGCTAGAAAGTCAGCTAATAACCCTGAATATCTTTTAAGACTAAAGATATTCAGTTTTGATGACTGAAATTCGTGAAGCAGTGCTTTTACCATATCCCAAAAGCTTATATTGTTATTAGAATTATTAAGATCAATCTAAAAGTCATTTTAAACAAACCAGCGTAAAGTAGAGAACACATAAACCCCATGAGAGACAAAACGAGAGAAGAATGAGAAGTGTCGTCCAGACGAGCTTCAATTTACCCGCCACAACACTTTTCCCCATACCAACTCGGTGAATCGATAATTGACTGAAGGAAGATTTTGTTGATTGATTGCTTTTATGAATAACCTCTCATTTCGACCGCTTTTCGACTCAAATTCAGCTTTAGCTTTCATCAAATGGGCAACGATCAGAGTGTAAAGAACCTGAAAAGGGAAATGAAAGAGGTTGATGGAGAGGAGAAGAGGAGAGGAGAGAAGAAGAGAAGAGGGAGAGGATAGAAGAAGAGAAGAAGAGAAGAAGAGTTCAATGATTCAATGTTCAATGAGATATCTTTCCAAGTTTTCTAATCTTAGTAATCAACGTAGTACAAGACATAGCCTACCGTAAATACTGTAATAGTATCCCACGCCGCCCTCGTACAGTCACGTAGTCGCAAAAGTTTTTTAGTATTTCATTTTTTTCAAATCGCCTGTACTTTCAAAAAATGCTTGGTAAAAAAAATTTGGTATCAAAAAATAGCCCTGAATTTCAGCTATTTTTTGATACCTAAGCGCGCATTGTAGCATAAACCAGTGTCGAGAAAAACGCATGCAAAGCTAGACTACGCAACACCCCGCACCGTCATTATGGGGGTGGAGTACTATTACAGTATTTACGGTAACTATAAAAGCCTGAAAAGTCTTTGTTTGCTTTCCAGTAGAATTTGGATTGCAAAATCAAATGCTCTAGATGAATGATTCATTTTTAAATTTTCAAAATCTTACCAAGGTAGCCAAAAGCGGGACGGTAAAAAGAAGAAAAACCGATGCGCGGAAGGGGAAACGATTGTAGAAAAAGAAGGAACATTCGGGAGAACGAAGACCGTCATCGGCAGACCAGGTAAACCTAGAGAAATTATAAGATAAATACTAAGGCTTAATCAATCATGATAATCGAGAATGTTTTGAAAAAAAAACCAACTCACCATCCAAATACAATGATCAATGGGATCACCCAGAGAGCGCCGAGGAGAAAGCGCATGCGACGCGTTGTCACCAACATCTGAAACCATAGCTGGATTCAGTTTTTTTGATAGAAAACTTCTTTCTTGTTTTATTTTTCCTTTAAATATTCGCTCACTCGATATTTCAATGGCCACATTGTGCCCACAAATTGATTGACAGCCAACGCGAAAAGATGCCAATCCGATGTCAGCATTGCGGCCACCTCAAATAAGATCGTTTTGATTTTTTTTCTTTGATAAATTATATTTAAGGATTTGCGGGTTAATATGAAAATATTTATATATGTTGTGTCCGATTTAGATTTCCGTCCGATTTAGATTCAATCTAAATCGGACGCCCGATTAAGATTGAACTTATCGCGGACGTCCGATTTAGATTACAGTCTATATCGGACGTCCGATTTAGATTCAATCTAAATCTTATATGGATTGAACAATAATATAAACATGCTTAATATATGTTCTTAAGCGTTTTCTGTAGTTTTCTGCATTTTTCAAAGGTCTTTTATTGATTACAGTCTATATCGGACGTCCGATACAGATCGAACAATAATAAACGTGCTTAACATATGTTCTTTGAAAAGCGCAGAAAATTGCAAAAAAACGCTTAAGAACATATATTAAGCACGTTTATTATTGTTCGATCTGTATCGGACGTCCGATATAGACTGTAATCTAAATCGGACGTCCGCGATAAGTTCAATCTAAATCGGACGGAAATCTAAATCGGACACAACATATATAAAAATGAATTTCTAATTGATTGACAATTGACAATTGACTAGGACAATTGGGCAAAAAAAATCAAAAAAACCCAAAACCAAAAAAAGTTAGAATCAAAAATTTTGGTGAAAACTCTTAGTAACTAGGTACTTTCAAGTTAATCAAATTTTCGAAAGCTAGATTTCGACTTATAATCTAGCTTCTAAACTTGTCTGTCTTTTGGGTACAAGGTACAAGACGTCTTTAGATTTTTCTTTCTTTCTCGAATCTCTTACCCGAAATGCTTCTAGAAAGGCTTCCATGCAAACGAATTTTTGTCGTATCCCGAGTACGACGGGCAGATATGAATTCACCAATAAACCTAGAAAAATTTTGTTTTTTGAGATTGATTTGAGACAATAAACACTTCTAAAATTGTTTCAAATTTTTGCCGGATTGATATGATCTATAGCTGGGAGTGGGACAAATGCGACCTTTTTTTTGCGCACCCGGACATTTGTGCACCTTTTTTTCCGCACCTTGCCCATTAGCGCACCTTTTTTCGTGTTTTAAAGCTAATATTAAGCTCTAAAAGCTCTAAAAAGCTAATATTAACCAATTTCTATTCCAAAAGTTGTTTTTCTAGGTAATTTTAGGGCGTAGAATCGAAATTTTGACATATCAGAGCTTGTGGAAACAAACGGACGGAGTTATACAAAGAGAAAGATCGACAATCGACGACTGTAATTTGATCTAGCCGTTTTGTCTTTCAAATTGGTTCCACAAGCTCTGTTATGTCAAAATTTCGATTCTACGCCCTAAAATTACCTAGAAAAACAACTTTTGGAATAGAAATTGGTTATTATTAGCTTTTTAGAGCTTTTAGAGCTTAATATTAGCTTTAAAACGCGAAAAAAGGTGCGCTAATGGGCAAGGTGCGGAAAAAAAGGGGTGCAAATGTTCGGTTGCGCAAAAAAAAGGTTTTCATTTGTCCCACTCCCTCTATAGCTCAAAAAAATAGAGAATCTCAAGGGCTTTCAAATGAACTAAAGCATACTCGAAAATATTAATGCTCAAGAAAGTTATAGTGGTTGAAAGTCAAAGTCAAAGTACTAGTACAAAGTACAAAGTACGATACTAGTCAAAGCGATCGAGTCAAGCTACAAACCATTGTAACTTTCTTTAGCATCAATATTTTTAGGTGTGCTCTAGTCTATTCGAAAGCTCTTTAGATTCTCTATTTTTTAACCTATTTATCATATCAATCCGGCAAATTTGAAGCAAGTTTAGAAGCGTTTATAGTTTACGTTTGTAGTTTACATTTGTATTTTATAGTCCCCTTGTCTAGTTTACAATATAACCTGCAATGAGAAGAGTGGCCGCCCAGAGATCAGCGGCTGACAGAGAAACGCACAATTTGAGATATGGAGAGACGGGGGAAGGCAGATGACGAGATGACACACAAATCACTCCGTTGCCGATGATGGCAATCTGGAGAGAGAGATGAAATCATCTCAAAAACGAAGTCCTACAGCTCTCTGGCATACAGAGAGCTGTAGGAAAAACGAAGTCTCTGGTCGAAGTCCCAGAGAGCTACAGCATCTCTGGCACATGCTAGTATAAAACCCATAGAACAAACTTTCAAAAAAGAACTTTGTTTCCACTCACCAACAGAATGATGACCATGAGTGGGATAACGATACCATAGAAAGCTTTGACAAATTCGAATACTGCTCGCTGAACGGCATCGGGTGTGGGAAGAGGAATTGGGGAAATTGTCGATGAAGTGATCAGTAAGGACATCTGAAAAGAAAGGGGATTTGATTGTGGAGCTAGAATGAAATGGGTGATCCGTGAATGATTTTATTTTCCGGGTTCTGGTTTTATGAGGCCAAGTTACACGGAAGCAAAAAACATTTGAGAGACAAAAGGCCAAGCCAAAAGAAATAATTATGGCCAAGACAAAAGAATATTTTTTAGAAAAATGGTTAGTGAAGCAAATGAGTGGGGGAAGAAATCAAAGTTGGTGGGAAAATGGGAAGAGGGGGAAGGGAAGAGGGGGAAAGGGAAGAAGGGGGAAGGGAAAGGGAAATGTGGGGGAGAGTCTACTAGTAGAGTGAAGAGGTGAGTGGACTAGGGAGGTGAGATTACTTCATTTTTGAACCCCAAAAAACGAAACATCATTCAGAAATGGGAGAATCTTTTCTGAAGTCTCTTCATCAACACATCGTTTTCCTTTTTTGGGTTATCCACAAATAGGTTTCGCCGTTTTTGTTTTTCCCCTTCAGCACAAAAAAATAAATACGTGAATTTTCAAAAGAAAAAAACATCTTTGAAAAGCTACAAAGAACTACAAAAATCTATAAACTAAGCAATGAAAGATTTGATTTAAAAAAAAAAAAAAAATACCGACTGGGGCTACCAGTGGTGAATTTATCGCATACACGAAATATATCAATCACAATACAACGACACACACAATACTAGGCTATATCTAACTTAACCCACGTCATGACAGACGGCTCTCTAACCCTAAGCTCAATGGGGAACTAAATAGCTTTTTTGGTGGTGAAGGGAAGATGACGATGAAGGAGTGGCTTGTCACTTTAAAGAACTGGGGCCACAACCACCAGACTGCCCTCCAGAAAACCTCTCAACCCGAAGGGAAAGGAAATCCGAAGGGGGTGACCATGTCGCATGTGGGGTTCGAACCCTCGACCTTCCGATTAAGATAAAAGACACTTAACCAGTCAGCCACGTGCTCAATTATAAAGAAAAATTTCGTATTTCACAATTTATTTCATTTAATTAGGGGGTTTGTTGTGAGAAGGTTGGAGTTGAATTTAAAATTTTAAACCTACACTACTGGACAATGAAATATCATATTCGAAAAAAGATCGTCACTTTCGCGCGTTTGTAACTCCCTTGTCTTTACCGTATTTCTAAATATTAATATTACCATTGTGTAGCCCTTGAAAAGAGCTTTCAGAAAATGTATAACACTAATAGTTTAAACTCAAAGACAATGGAGTTACAGACGCGCGAAAGTGACGATCGTTTTTCAAATATCATATTTCATTGTCAAGTACTGTATGTCGTGGCCGATTATGAATGAAATTTTTTTGACAAATCTTTCTAGTAGAGCAACCCTTTAATTTATGAAGACAATATTATATCATCTTGTAGCGAATTAAATTCTGCGTCGATTGGTACCAAATTTGTGAGTTTAAAAATTGGCTAAAAATTGCCGGCGCTACAGCGTTTCATTCAAAATCGGGCGAAAGTGATTTCAAATATGATATGAATCAAGGAATTTCATGAATCAATGATATGAATCAAGGAATTTTATTGTCCAGCACTGTATACTCGACTATACTGAATATTTCTTGACTAATTCCTTGATTTAGAGATATAGTCGAATTTAGAGAGATGATTTTTCTTGCAAAGCAAGGCCATGTGCAGGTACAAAGCCAAAAAGGGAGAGAAAGAAAAAGGATGAAAATCGTCTCCTCTAAAGCAATCCATCATCTTTACCCTTTTTTGAAAATGATCCCAAATTCTGGGCATCGAAAAGAGAAAATGGATAAGCGGTCATCAAAAATTACAACTAGAGGGGAAATGAATGAAAAAAAAAAAGAAATATCTAATTCAAAAAGGCAATTCCGGATAGGCTCAAAGTTGTTCTTGCTAAAAACAATTGAAATAAAATTTTGCGTTAAAATGATTTCTGAAAGAAAAAGCTGACACTTTGAATGCAAAACTCCCATTTGGCTTGGTTTACATTGAAACATCTTCAGCTTTTGGCCTATTCTGTGGGGGATAAAAAAAAAGATAAATTAGAGGCAATTTTACCTAAACTACTCGAAAATGCGGTTTTAAAAACCTGTCAACTTTCAAAAACAATCGTAATCTTATCTCTAGTTTTTATCTCACATTAAACTTGTTGCCTGATCTGTGAGTTTACAGAAAATGCCAAAAACTAAACGTAGATTGATTGGAAACGACTAGGACAAGACTAGGACAAGACTAAAGCATGACAAGACTAGGACAAGACTAAAGCAAGACAAGACTAGGACAAGACTAAAGCATGACAAGACTAGGACAAGACTAAAGCAAGACAGGACTAGGACAAGACTACCACAAGACAAGACTACAGCCAGACTAAAGCAAGCCTACGACGAGACAATGAAAAGACAAGACAAGACTACGACAAGACTAAATACTACGATAGGTTTTTAAAAGTTGGCACGGAGAGTTGACAAAAGTCAAAAGAGAAACAGTCAGAAATTGGGGATTTGAGCCTTCAATAGCCTAAATTTTGTACAAAATCGAATGACTCATTTGCTAATCAAATCAATGATCCCTGCAAAAAATGAAAAGGGAAAAATGGCTGCAAAGAGTCTGAAATGGCGGTGGATATTCCCCGATTTCTCCGCGCGCATTTGCGCCAATCTCTAGCAGAGAAAATCATTTTGAAAAGCAAATTGAAAATCTTAGAAATTTTAAATATCAAAAGTGCTTATTTTTCTAGAAAGCTAAAAACAAATTTGTTTGAAAATTTATGAGTGAAAAGGAAAAAGAGAAAATTCTGATTACTTCTATACAGGGAAATTGTTTTTTCAAGCAAAAATTGAGTGAAAAGAAAAGAAAATGAAAAACTTTATTTGAAAAGTTTGATTTATCAGTGATTTCGGGAGTGGGACAAATGCGACCTTTTTTTTGGCGCAACCGGACACTTGCGCACCTTTTTTTCCGCACCTTGCCCATTAGCGCACCTTTTTTCGTGTTTTAAAGCTAATATTAAGCTCTAAAAGCTCTAAAAAGCTAATAATAACCAATTTCTATTCCAAATGTTGTTTTTCTAGGTAATTTGAGGGCGTAGAATCGAAATTTTGACATATCAGAGCTTGTGGAAACAAACGGACGGAGTTATACAAAGAGAAAAATCGACAATCGACGACTGTAATTTGATCTAGCCGTTTTGTCTTTCAAATTGGCTCCACGCGCTCTGATATGTCAAAATTTCGATTCTACGCCCTCAAATTACCTAGAAAAACAACATTTGGAATAGAAATTGGTTATTATTAGCTTTTTAGAGCTTTTAGAGCTTAATATTAGCTTTAAAACGCGAAAAAAGGTGCGCTAATGGGCAAGGTGCGGAAAAAAAGGGGCGCAAATGTCCGGTTGCGCAAAAAAAAAGGTTTTCATTTGTCCCACTCCCGTGATTTCTCAAAAATTACAAGGAATATCCAATTGAAATTTGAATTGAATAAATCGAAATATGAAAAAAACGAAAAGTCCTTCTCAAGAGACATCATTTCTTTTTCTTTTTATATATGTCGTAGCCAATTATGAACTCCAGCTGCTTATGAATGAGTGGGTCTAGAGGCTCATCTAGTCTAGGAGCGTCCAATCATCGTCTAGAAGCGTCCAATCATCGCCTAGGAGCGTCCAACCATCAAGTATTTAGTATCATTCAACGCAGAATCATTGATAATTATGTTAAATTTTTGAAATTGGAAAGGTTGAATAAAAAGAAAAAAAATTATGGGGCTTCAAAGTTTTCTCTTGAACAAACAGTTTTTTTGCTCTAATTTTTTTTCTTTTTTATCAAATCTTGCTAATTTTAAAAATTTAACATAATTATCAATGATTCTGCGTTGAATGATACTAAATACTTGATGGTTGGACGCCTCTAGACCCACTCATTCATAATCGGCTACGGGGGTCCCGCCGATTTTGAATGAAACGTTGTAGCGCCGGCAATTTTTAGCCAATTTTTAACTCACAAATTTGGTACCAATCGACGCAGAATTTAATTCGCTACAAGATGATATAATATTGTCCTCATACATTAAAGGGTTGCTCTACTAGAAAGGGCTACTAGATTTCAATCGGCTACGACATCTATATATATATATGCTTTATTCAGGAGGCGAATAGAGGCGAATCAGATAATCATAACCGCATATAACATATTGCTACAATACTTTCACAAAAAAGAAAGAAAGAAAACTAAAAATAATAGGTTGATGCATAAGTCTTTTCGTTTTTTTCGTACTTCTGTTAAAAAGTAACAAATTCACCAATTAATCTATCGTTTGCTCTATAAAAAAAGTGTTTATTATTCAATTTCTCATCATTTTAAATCAATTTGAGTTCATTTTCAAGCAAATTCGAAAGAGAAAACGTGCTTTTTGTAAAAATCTATAAAAAACTCTACGGAAAAATTGGCTGAATGAATTTCTCTGAAATTTTGGCGAAATATCAAACGTTTTTTTTCTCTATCTTTTATCTATTGACACGAAGATAGGTTTTCTTTAGCTAAGGTGTCTAAACCGCATCATCGAGTTAGCCCTTTTTGACTACCCGACTTCATACTCTCAAGAAAATCCAGGCATTAAATATTTTTAAACCCGTTTTAATGTTATTTTGCAGAAAAATAATTGGTTTTTCTAATGAAATCAACCGTAGTTTAATTGGTGCATTTGTTGGCTTGAAACGGCAGACGAAAAGGAACAAAAACACTTATGCATCAACCTAATAGAACAGTAAGATCTACAGTTAGGAAACACAGGTACAAAAAGATTAAATATTGGGCAGATTTGACATGGTTACAAGATCTAATTCGTTTACAGATACTTTCAATTTTCCTACAGACGAGAAGATACCAGACGGGGAGCTTATTCGGGGAGCTTAGCTTATTCCAAACCCTACTAATTCCGGTAAAGAATGATAAAGGGAAAGATGATGGGGATGAGAACCGACCGAAATTTGATAAGGATGACTATGCGTACTTCTAG